TCATTGCGTTTGTTGTTCATAGTTGTGGTGCGCTGTATGACTAATTGAGCTACATAAAAATAAAACAGTTCTTCCACACGTTTAGACATTCAAAATACTGTCGATGATGCTAATTATATATTTTAAGAATATTTGAGTGAAAACGGTAGACAATTTGTTTAATAAAAACACATTAAAATGAGTGGGACATTTCTTGGCGAAAGTCTTGTACAAATTCATTATGTTGTTAAAAAAAGTAGATATATATAGTGATTAACTTATCTCAACGGATCATCAATTAGGACAAGCGATTCATAGAAGATGGAATTGGATATCGTGGTGAGGCTTGGCTAAACAACTAAACACTAGGTGTGTAACAGGGCGGACAAACAGAATTTCAAATATAAGTCAAAAAGTTTGCATGTGTATTGATGACAATATACAATAGCATGTTTTCATGTGCACCCTGACATGTCTTCATATTTTACATAGTACTGGTATATAGTGTAAATGTCAATAAATTGCTAGCAACCAATAAACATAAAATTTTATTTATTTGTAGAAATTTAGCCAGAAACTTACCACATAGTGTTTTTAAAGTCGAGAAAATCTTAATGTTGAAATGATATATAGCAAACACAACCAAATCACAATATGGAAATACTCTAACGTTTCTGGTTCAGCAGTTTGAATAGATCCGCTATATGGTGATATAGAGTCGGAAAATGATTCTATCAAATGGAAAAAGGTCTGCAAATGTCTCACTGTACTTTTAGAAAAGTCAAGCATCCATTCAAGCTTAATCAAAACAAAAAAACTTTCAGGATAGATATTATTGAACAATATAACTGGTTTAAATAGCTTTTTCGAATGAAAACCAAATACAGTAGGCCTACATACCAATGGGTACTCCCGACGTACCAGGTTAGGGTTAGGCCACAATTTTATTCCAATTTTCCTTAATATTGTTTGATTACGAGTTTACACAACTTGATGTAAAATAGGCAAAGAAAATTAATTCCCTCCATATTGGTACACACACTTCTGGTGCGCCCACCAATGTGATAATTTAGTGACAAAAGTGTGTGACAAAAGTGTGTGTGTGGACGTCTTTGCCGTGGTGCCACTGTGAATGCAAGTGATTGATTGTGTGAATAAATAATTATAAGCTGTTCTCATTTTACTCTTCATTACGTATTTTCGTGATATAATATGTTGAGCAATCTCATCGGAAACATGTCAAAACGCAAATATTTGCAAGCTGCGTTTCATGTTTACTCTGTCGGTGTGGTAAGGTCTATCGGTATGCGAGATTACAGATTATTATGAAAGCAGACCTATACGTGAGAATCCAGTAACAGTCATCTTCGGGCCACAGAAAATTGGACTAAATCACGACATACTTCGTTTGATTCGGAAGTCGATTTTTAATCTACAAAGTTCGATGTTCATTTTTCCTTCGGGCAGTTTAATCTACGAAAGACAAGGGATGACTAAGTATGTGCAAATACCTTACTCGATAACAGTGATTCTCTTATCGATTACCATGGGAAACAATTCACAAAGATTTCCTTTCTAGCTCGAGAAAAGCATTGAAAGTGGCATAGTAACTTCAATATTAAATTTTAGTGCATTGAATTTCATATATATATATATTATATGTCATTTCGTAACAATTTCAGTCCTATTATTAGCCAAGAATCATAAAATCATTATTCAAGCTAATTTATTCTAATGTTAGCGGATTTAAAACATATGTATCTGAATTTTTGAGTTTTGGTTTTGTTTTTTCGCTATTGTAAACGCACTGTATCGTCGTTAGTGACCCATTACGCTATTCTATAACCAAATACGGAACGCATTAAAATAGTAGAATTTTACGATCGTCGTTTGTAAAGGTATACTACTATGTGTATGGGTGTGGTAAGCGGAAATGTATTTGCTTTTGCAAATATTTGTTACATTGACGACATACATTTAATAAGTTGAATGAAAAAAACTCAGACTTTTTGAAAACCCTGTCGCCAGAAAAATTCAACCTTGTATGCTCTGCGTTTAACTTTTATCACCGCATATGAGGGTTAATTAAAATAATATATCTTCTGCTTACCTGCTTTAAAAGCAAACTGTGAATAACTCTGATACAACAGTTGAAAGAAAATGTCTAAAAGCCCCCATTTTGTCTTTGCGCGTGTACTTATTATGGTCAGACTTCAGTGCGAGTTGATAATGGATGCAGAATTTCTGTACTCATTTTCATATATGGTAGGATGATGCACACAAACGCTAGTTCTACCACTATTTCACATGGAACAATTAGATCGTTAGGAATTGAATCCTTATCTGTTTGATTCTCAGAGCATTATTTTTATCCTAGGGTTAACGCACATATATCTCATAAATTTGAAAGTTAATAGCATAAATTTATTCAGATTTTGGGACTATGAGAGTTTAGTGGAAATTTACGCAATTAAACGTTGCTGGGCGCCTCTTCCCACGTGCTATTCCGATGGCCTTGGAATACGTATGTACACGATCTGCCCATAGATACCATTGTTGTATATGTTCGCTCGTCGATTCACGTTTAAAAAATTTGCCAAGTTTATATTCCATAAAAAATATGTCTAATTCAATTTACCTTCGGGCACTGTTTGCATAGCAGCGCCGCATTGTTGCGTGGCGAACCAACGATAATATAGAATATATTAATATATAAATTTTAGCCCTGAGGTTTGCCGCAGAATGGGTTATCAAGCTTTTGAGTTCTTCACACAATCACCCGCTGACCACGCCAGATGACGAATTTCAATTGCGACGTGAGATAACCGAGGTAACAGTTTCTCCCAACGCAGAGATAGGTCACAGTCGACCGCACCCTTGGCAACTGGTGATGACGAGCTGAGCTATATTTTGGAACATATAAATACCCGTATGTGTCTCATGCCGTTAGTATACCGTCACAGACGTGTTGCTGATAAAAGCGGCGGATTTCGCCTGATCTTGTCCCGAAGGTATTTACTACGTCGAGGCCTATTCAATGTTGACCGTACCGGTACCTTGAACAGGTCATAAAATTGGTTTTTAAGTGATTGCGTGGTACTTATAAAGTCCGGTTGTTTCTGCGCACAAAATGCCGGCAGCGTTGTTTTTCATTGCTATAAAATTACTGCAAACACTCTTTGACATATATATCAAAACGCGGGCCTTTTTTTATTGATAACATTGTTTTAAAAAGTTCATTAAATTCGATACAAAAATACGAATACGAAAGTACAAATTCTTTTTAACCGTAATTTGGAGAAAGTATCACTAAGAGCAATTTCACCAGACAGGTCAGTGCTATTGATGTCCCGCATACTACTCAACTCAAATATGTCTTTTGTTCGCGGAACGAAGACTAATCAACTGAAAGACCTCTGCTACAACTGCACAATACATTTTCAATCAGGATATCTAATTATCTCTGAATTCGAAACCTACATTTGTTGGGTACTTCGTTTCAGGGCAGCCTTTGAATAATACAGATACTTGATTATATTCAATCTGAACCTCTTTTATGGAGCTATCGTATTGGAGTGTATACCAATACGGGGAAGCAAAATATCTAAACACAATCCTATTGTTATTCGTTGGTCGCTATATTGAAAAATACTGCCAGATCGCAGTGACAATTATTTTGTTGCTTAGTTGCAGCTCCTCACTATGTCTGCATATTGCAACGGTATGCAGCTGAATTTACCTTCGCGTTACCACTAAGCAAACAACCGCAAAGTGCATATCGGTTCCATTTGGCCTCCTTTGCTAAGAACAGAATCTCTCGTAAGTCGAAAACCAAATTGGATGGAAAAATATCATGTTCGGTGCTAGTATTGTCCGCTTAGATCTAAAGCAGAACATAGACCCGGTATTGCAACAACCTTGTTACAGAGGCCAGGGTTGTCAAATCAAAACCTCATCCACAGTTTAACATAACGAGAAGGCAGTGCTGCTGTAAAAATCTCACGGCAAAGATAGGTTAGTTGTGAACACACAAATAAATTGTTTTGTTGATCCTATGGTAGAAAAACGCTCCAACATGCCATGAAAAATTTTTTACTCAACGTTTTTGCTTTCGGGAGATTCAAGCTTGATTCGCCGCGAATGTTTCTGCATAGTGACATGCGTGTCTCACCGGGCCAGACTCGATCTTACTTAGATGACTACAAGAAACAGACCTAAAGATCGGACGGGGGATAAGAAGTACGTATCTCACGAGGCCATATTCGACCTTGGTTGGGCAAGGCATACCGATGTCGAATAAGCCTGGTTTTACTCGAGAATAGAACAAACTCTCAGTTGGTAAACGTCAACCCTGGATTTGAACATTGGTCAAAATTCCCCAGCTATTGTCTGAACGAGATGGCCTTATTCAATATATTAATCAATAAGACATTATTCAATATACCGAAATCATTTTTGCAAAGGATTTTTTGTAAAAAGCCCGCGCCAAAGACACCCCCGCCACCGATCAAAATATGAAAGAAAAAACATTAGTAATTATCCAGTTATTATTACGGCTGGGAATGCAGATCGCGCTTGAAATGCATATCATTCCTAACCCGAACTGGATATTTACTAATTTGGTATTTTAAAACGGGCGGGGGTGTTTTTCTCAAATCTCACATTACAAAAGATCCTTTGCAACTGGTTGCATTTTTGAAAATTCCCAAATATCAGGCACATTTTTTTAATAGTCACCAAATAGGGACTTAGTAAAAACCCCGTCCTATGACTCAAGAGCATTGGTTCATCTAAGAGGCCTTCGAACGAAGCGAAATAAAATAAATATACAACTGTTTCACCACGACAAGGGTATTGAATTGGGTAGGTTTCAAAAAAATCTATGAACCACTCCGTTGTTAACCCTGATGGAATCTTTTGCCTTACGCACGTCTTGGCGTGAACTCTACGCAACGTCATGTCGCTTACGCCCAATAATTACCACCATCACACGTTGACGTCAAGACAATAAGAGAAACATATAATTTTCATCGTTGTTCATCAAATTTTATTCATTATTTGTGGAGAGTAGGCATTATCATTGTTTGATTGAGTTCTACAGATGAAATATATACCGATTCACACCATAACGACATGGAATGCGGCTAAACTTAGAAAAAAAAAACGTGTGACTAGTATGTTTTATAAATAGCAGGAGAATAGTATTTATCATGGTTGGAGGGGGGGGGGGGGGCTGTGATCCAATTACCAAAACATAATGCTTCACTTTTGTACCGTTATAAACTTATTTGTTCACCTCAAGGACAGATGGAACCATATCAGAAGAAGAAAACTGTATAGTACCCATCACGAGACAAAATCCCACTAGGGGATACCGTAAGTGGGTAAACAAACATTCCTTAAATGAGACCTTTGTATGGTAATGTGTACTTTATCCATGGGACAGAAAAACAAACAGTGTTTGGCCATGAATGAAAACGGCTGAGAAAAATGAGTGACATTGCATGACTGGTATATAAGCTACAAAAAATGATATTACTTCACTACTATACTACCTTGTACCGGCATCTAATGTAATTCTACAATGAAAAATCGGCTGTGATAGATTCTTGCCTAAGTGATGCCCAAAATAGGATTGCAAAATTTTGAATTACTTCTTCCCTTGTTATATGAGCACACATCATGAAATAGCCACATATTTATGCAAAATATCAATTTTTTTGGTCACCAACCCTCTGAAATGTTTAAGTGTTCTAGCTTGGGCATCACCGTAATTGCTACACATATTAATTAGAAGAAAAAAAAATGAAAGTGGACACAAACAAATCTTTATCCTACCATCATAGTCATTATTAGTCCTAAAAAAGTTTCAGGCAGAGCTTAAATATATATATATGTAATAGGGTCTTGATATATAAAAAAAAATATGCAATTGCAATCTCAATTCTCGAATATATGTATGCTGTAATTAAATAGACCTGTTTGGCTAAAATATGACACAATAATGTAGGGAAAATACCTAGTGTGACCATAATAATACTGGGAAACAATCAACCAGTGAGATGCTGATTCTGACAGGTTGCTGATGCGAACACAGTACTTTGAGAGTGAGTTCACAAAACAAATTCTCCATATGAACATTGGATTCATTTTACCTTCAAGAATTCAGTATAGCTAATTTACACTTGTCTAAATTAAAATTGTTGACTCGAAATAAATTTTTCAGAAAAAGCATCTTGGTTGGTTTTAATCATTTCATCACATATATGAGATGTACAATCTATGATATGAAAGAGTTCTCAAACACTTGAATATTTAACATTTGAATGGCACAACCTCTTTTGCCTGAAAGTTTAGACAATATTTTTAGGAACGAAAAATTTAGATAACATGTAGTCATATGTAACGAATATTTTTTGAAATGGACACATAGTATCTTGAAATTAGTTCCAAGATCAGATAAACTGTGAGCATTAAAATTAATAGATTGAATGACAGAATATGAAAATAACAAGCCTACAATAATTGTATGAAAGAATAAAGAAATTATCAGCAGCTATTTCATTTGATAACTCATTTCGGTCATTGAAAATCTTAACAATTAATATCATAAGGAACGATTGAGAAATGCTGTGGCCATCAGATTCTAGTGGTGGAAATTTAACAAAAAATGGAGAAAAAAAGGAAAAGTATATATTACATAAAACTACTTTTACATGATTATAAGGTAAATTAAATTGAATTCACCATATATTAATACAGAAGGCCGTAAACAAAATGCCACAAAAATTTTAAGCTTCTATTCCTATGAGTGAAACAATAGCAAATTTGGCACCAGTGTGATCGTTAAATTCCAGTTCTGGCTAAGGATGATTAATTAATATTTTGTGTTTCGTGGATCAAATATAATATGCGATCATGTTTTCCGACTTCATACCTAAAACAGATACCAGACGAAGTTTAGGCTCATGACTGTTATGGTCGTTTATTCATCAATGGCCCATGCATGCTTGAGTGGACAAAAATGAACATTTATTTTGAGGCTGGAGTGAAATGGTTTTGGTAGACAAGATCCTGAATTATTCAGTCAGAAATAGTTTTGCTCACCCTTGTTACATATATTTCAAGGTATATTTTTTGACAAGTACCGTTCAAATCATATATTCTAATGTTTCAAGTAGTGTTGTTGAATGATAGGTATGAACTAACAAAATAAAAATAAAATACAATAATACATTTGATCTGCCTAAAGTAGAAATCATTTACATTATCAAGCATTCACCAGCAAAATCAATTTGGTAAAGAACATTAATTAGAAAATGAAACTAAAAGAAAAACATATTACATAAAGGTATGATAATATATATGCACCAGCAGACAAATCTGCTACTAACAGTTTTTTTGTGTGAAATCTTTTATTTTTTAGACAAATAGGAGGTTTGCTAGGATATCAAATTCAACAGACTGGATCAAACTAAAAAGTATCTGAGGCTGGTATGATGAAAAATCAGGGAATCTAACTCAATTAAACAAAATGTTTAATCATTTGCTACAATCACATAAACAGACTTATTGAAATAACAAAAAAAAAAAAACTATGCCAGGTGCCCTGCCAAGCTAATATTTGTAATAACATAGACGATATAACCAAGATATAGCCAAAATGGGATTGGGACAATTTAAGAAAAAACGCTTGACAAAATCATGGAACAAAAGATGGATGAATAAGGAGTGCATCAGTCTGATAGTTGATATCTTAAAATTTAGCTGCTTTCCCTAGAGAATATGGACTGCATATGATAGTGCGTTCATAAGCTACACCATCAGCAGACCGTGTAAAAAAAAATATTCATGAATCATCTCAAATTACTGTGACAAGATTGTATAAAATCTGTTTGGCCCTAAAATTAATGGACAATTCCCTAATATTATGATACAAATGCTCAGTTGTTTGCAAAGTGCTGCAGGCGTGCAGTCATCAAACTAAAAATCAAGTTCAAAATCGATAATAGTAGGCAGAGACATAACACGATGTGATACTGCCATACTCGATTAGGCAATAATATACAAATTGAGAAATCTTTTTAATAAATTTGTGACATGGATGTCGCATTACATCATGAATCTCTTCTCATAGCGCCTCAAATTCGTCAATTCTTTGCTTTGTATTTCCGCATCTGATCTGCTTGAGGGTTTTGTATTTATCTCGTCCAGCTTTAACATTTTCTTGATGGAGGATATCCATGTCTGTGTTTTTATTCTGGTCTTTAAGATTTGCCAATTCAGATTTCAGAGCTAGCAGCTGTTCTTGAAGAGCCTTATCCTTACTTTGAGCAGTCAATCTATCCTCTTCACTCCGGTCATTTTCGCCGGGACCACCCAGCTCCATTGACTCCACTTCTATTTCCACAGGTGGTGGAGGTAACATCTGTTTTTGAGCTTCTTCTTTTGCTCTGTCAAGTTCCTCTTTGGTTTTTTCAACTTGCTCCTGCATTAATTCAGCCTCTCTTCTCCATTTCTCAGCATCCTGCTCTTTTTCTAACTCCTTTTGTTTCAGAGCTTCCAAATCAGAAAGGTATTTCTGAATATCTGCCTCCATTTCAATATTGCGAGTGCTTTCCTCAGCATTGCGTTGTTTAGCTCGCTCATACTCTTCCATCACCCTTTGACGTTCAAGTTCAGTCTCCTTTCTTTCTCTTTCTGCCTGTTCTATTCCCCTTCTCACAGCATTCAGTTCATCCATTTGCTTTTCCTGACGTTCCAGTAACTCTCTATTGTTGAGCTTCTCTTTTTCCAGCAACATTTTTATTCTTTCGGTTTCATTAAGCGCTTCCTGCTGTGCTTGAAGAGCTGCCATGTAATTAGCGTGTTCTCGTTCCATGCGCTCTCTCTCCTGTTTCTTTTGATGTTTTGCTTCACGAGCTTGTGCTCTCATCTGCTGCACTTCGATTGAGTCTGGTTTTCTGCGTCTCATGTACAACTCATGATTTCCCATGCAGAGGGCAAGGATACGTTTGTTGATGCGTAAACGTTCAACATAAAACACAAAATCCGGGGCTTTTTTATCGATTGGCTTAATGACGAACTTTTTGTCATTGAATGATATGTTTCTAATTTCACTCCAAGGGAATCCAATTTTGGGAGTGAGTTTGTCATGCTTCTCATATATATTCAGGCCAAGAGCATCTACCCCCAGAAATAAATGGGTTTTCTTTTTGTTCTGAATTTCAAAATAATTTACTCCATACATTTCCAAATCCTGAGCAATCTTCAGATACTCAATCATAGCGTCATCTCGAGCCATGTCCCGATGTTCCGCATGCCAGGTTTGAATACGTTCTTCCCATTCATCCTTGGTAAGTTTATGCTGTTCATATACTCTCTGCGGCAAAAGTCGATCTTTAGACAAATATTTTGGTCCATGTCTATCCTTCATATATGGACCATATTTTGCAAGAACTGCAAAAGAAGCTAACAGTACTGATGTCTCGGGAGGACAGTAATATTCATCATTCAAAATGCTTTCCTTCACTTGCAAGAAAAACAGCTTTTGAGTAATTTCTTGGATAAGCTCATCAGCAACATCTTCAGGGAAAAACTTGCACCTGAATTTAAACTGCAGTGGATTTTCCTTGCGAACATCTTGGGCTGTAACTTTTTTATTCAATTTCAGCCATGTAGTATAACCCTTAGAATCAACATACTGCAAGCCAAAAAACCAGATCTCTCTGAGGCCAATGGTTTTGACAACCTGATCGAAAAGCTGTTTGCCAGTTGTGCTTTGCTGGATGGCAAACTCCAGCTCAGCATCCATCGTAGTAACCCGGACATTGATAGTCTTTGGCATGATGCTCGTTAATGGAGATCACTTTTCAAGATAAATAATTATTGAGACTTGTAAATAGACAATCTGAGAATTGAAATGAGTTACACGTATATTAATATTATATATAAACTAGCCAAAACGGGAAATCTACATTCTGAAATCTATTTTCAATATGATATATCGGCCCTTTTTTAAAATGGGATTCATGTTCAGCAGTGAATATGTACAGATTACTGATATGGTATAGATACCCATTTTATTATGTAGAAAGATTAGTAAGTTTTTCTTTTTCCTACAATTATTAGTAATTACCTAAGCCTGACTTTAACCTGCCTATGTTATATCAATATCTTAAATGTCAAATCCAACATACCGGTATGTATGAATTTTGATATTATTTAAATATTCAATTCATTTTGGTAATCCCTGCCCATAACTCAAAATTAATACTTTACTTGAATAACAGCATGCACAATTAATGCCAAAAATATTATAAATAAACTCAGAATAAAAAAGTTCAATGACATAACTAGAAGGCCGTTCAATTACAAAATCAGTAATTCGACGCTACTTGTTCATTTTCAAAATCAAACCATAAATTAATCATTCCTATCTTGTATGCTAACTGGATAAGTTCATTGGGAATACAAGAGTGTTCAATGGCTCTTGACATAGAATTCAATACACACATTATCCTCACAAAAAGAAATATTAATATTGGCCTAAACTTGAACACAAAAGTACACAGCCTCTTGAACTAATTACCAGAGTCTGAATAGAACTCTCACCATATTACTAATTAATATTTTAAAATCATAGATCATGATGGACATAAATTTTCCCAGAGTAGCCCAAAAATGAACAATACCTGTATTTTGTGGGCATTGTTTACTTACCAATTTATATACTACCATCTTGAATAGTCTATCGGCCACTTCTTCGATAGGGCAAAAGTGTTTGACAGTTTGGCATTGCCTACCGTACCTAATCTATTACACTCTGGGTGATATGATGGGTATAGGATCTGAACCAGAGATGTTTCACCTTCGATCCCAACATAATTCAACGTATCTTACTCTAAGCTTTATTAAGTCATCGAACCAACAAAATTTTGCACAGACCTACTTTTAAGAAAGTTTTTTCCAAATATATTCCCAAGATCAATTAGATTCAGATACATATGTATGTTTCTGGGATACTGAAACCTAAAGGCACAGTGGGATATAAATTAGGAGAACTGTGAACCAGGCTATATAAGTAGTTATAGAACATCAAGGGGTGTGAACTTTAAGCTATGAATCATTCTATGTTTGCCAAACGTCATTAATCAAACCTAAACCAAAAAGGTGTAACAACTAACAAAAAGAGTCAGGGATTTTGTTCAAACATAACTCAGTTTAAAATAATAAAGAGAGGACTGTTAAAAAATTAAGTATTATAAGATCGAGTTAAATTCACTGTAATAAGAAAATACTGAAATGTGAAACCTGTTATCATTGCCTTACCAGAAATATGCTTCATTCTCAACTACTGTTCCTTTGACACAAATATAAATCTTTTTACAATTTGGTTTGTTATTAGGTATATTTAATGATTGTATAATTGTAAAAACAACTTTACTTGACTAAACATTTATCAGACGTCAAAGAAATCAATTTTTGGCCGATCTAGTTGCTAACAATGCCTCAAAATATTAAAGGTTGATCGTTCAAATACAAGTAATTTTCAAATTTAATTATTCAAATGATATTGTGACCATTGTCATTCGGACAGTCAGGTCTAAATGGTGATAAAGTTGCGGTTCAATTAAATGTAATGGTAATGTAATTTTTCCCATTGTAATTGGTAATCAAACTGTTCGGTATTTAACTCTGCTTAAGAGAAATGATAGAATAATTGCTCAGTAAACAGGGCCTGTATTGAACAAAGACTGATTGAGAGGCGTGGTGTATGACAAGTAGGAAGATACACTTCCTTGAGCTATTAAAGAAAAAATATCAGCTTTGTGACGCAACTCAATCCTCCTACATAATACTGTATATTATACTTATACAGAAACATAGGTATAGTGACACAACTTCCTGTATTTTGAATCTACAATGAAGAGAGATGATTTAAGAAACATGATGTGAAATTCATATTGTTGAATTATTATACCACAATAATTCAACAATATGAAATATTTTCAAATGTAATCAACCTCTTATGTATAAAAATTATTCAAATTGGTTTCAGAATTATTAGCTGAACAGTACACTTTCGTGTATCACATCTTGAGCAATGCTATGTGAATTGCTTGATAATCATCACAACCTAGAGATGGGCAATTACCAAATCCGGAGGATTCGAATCAAAGTATTCGAATCCAAAAGGATCCGATAACAGGATTTGGTTTCTCCTTGTTTGTTGGCAAGTTATAATTTTTGTATATCGTTTCTAATTTATTAATCAACAACGTGTGTTTTCTCTAGTTGATTATACAAAGAACCCTTGAAAACAACCGACATCGAACATGATAATCTCATCCGACATATTTAGAATGAGAAGACGACGATGAACACCTTACAGCGAAGACTCGTTATTGCGCAATTTTTACACTTCCATCTTTACTCTCTTGTTGACATATAATAATTATTGGTGCTGACTTACTGGCGATATTCCGATTACCATGCTTCATTTTACATTAAAGCGATTTCTGCCGAAATAAATGATGTAAACCAAATACCAGGCATTAAATGTTATACCATTAAGTGGGATGAATTTCGATAAAATAATATTTGCGCATATTCTGAATACCTTTGAACCGCGCCTTTACCGAAAATAAAAAGTTATATCCCAAAACAAGGCACTTTGTCACATTTATTTTGCACTCCCAAAATCTTACATATTTCTGGAATCCAAGTCGTCTTATCGTTCAAGATCGACACAAGTTTGGTCGAGTCTCTGTGTTTTTTTAGTTGATGATAAATCAAAAAAAGTTTCTGCATTTGGTTAAGACAGTCCGACCCAACTATTACAGGGCATTACACACTAACACACATATTGAGTCGGGCCAAGTCTTGGTAGAAATATACTTATGAGAACAAAAACTCAAGATTTTGAATTCATTGATGTGACGAAGTACAAAATCATGATTATAGCAACTTTCTTTTTCTTCCTCGCACAGCATAAAGACTGTGGCCCATAGTTAATGTGATTCACAATGATACTCTATTATAACCATGATACCAGCCAGGATATCTGATTGTATAGAACTTTGCCAATATAGTAAAAAGAAATAACTACGGTGAATCAAAATCCCTTATATTTAATTTTTTTTTTCCATCTCGAAGAGTTGTTTGTTATGAGAGAACTATGTTGCAAACACTTTTTTTTCAAAGCTGTTATGAGAGTTCGCAAGTTAGTTTCATGAAAATTTACCGTACTTAGGGTGATGTTGATGTTGAAGTGAATGAAACTTGATTTAGTCTGTCTTATATTTGACATTTCGCATGCCAACTTTATCTTATGTAATCCCTTTTACATGAAATTTAGTAAATTGAAAAAAATAAAAAAACGTTGTTTCCAATAACAGTAATCAATCCTACAGCTGTTTCAGGCTTCTATTCAGAATGAAATATTGCAAAAATAATAAGTATAAATACATTGAATAGTCAACTAACAATGAGTGACTGCAACTCTTCTCTTAAAACCTTCACATAAGTAACTAGGGCCAATGATTAACTTACCGTATGTCTGGCTAAAATGGAGTTTAGCGACAGTCTCTTTTGTTACTTGTCAATATTAATATTTTAATGAATTATAATTGTTCGTTGTTGTAACATCAGTTTCCAGTTCACAATAACTCAAAAATCAATACAATGGCAAATTTCCCTGAAGTGATTACACTGATACCATGGTTAGACAAATTACAGTCATACTTGTAAAAAAATTCTAGCCTAAAACACAAGTTGAACATTAATGAAGCAATTTACACAAGCATATACTTCTTTATGTCAATAGTCATTTAAAAAAAAATTAGGCTAATGAGCATACATACTATGGAGATTATATAGTGTACCGATACCTTATATTCCTTCATTTTCAACAGTCAAAATATTACATTAATCACTAATCAATATGAATGAAACTGTAAATGTGTCTGGTTCATTGTCTGCTTAGTTATTATAAATTTCCAACTATGAAACCAAAGCCTTCAAGCTATATGCTTTCGTGTTTATGAAACAAAAACCAGGCACTTGATTATCACTCAAATAGACCAAGTAAATTAATTAACAACATTTCAAAATAAGCCACAAAATTATATAACATGGTAATGGATAAAGTCCAACGAGAATACATATTAACAATTCGCAACTGTGATATACTTTGTTTTCATTGGCACTCAAACACCAAAGAAAACAAAGTACCTTACAATTGAGCAGTGGGTGCTTTGTATCAATGTAACCATCAAAGCTTCGTGAAGTCAAATCCAAACTATCACCACCTTAACCTTGTTGTTATTATAGTTCTAAACCAAATTTTCAAATTGGTAAAAACGAAAAATTGAACCCAGTCAACCTACATAAAAATTGTAACCGGTAATGGAATAAGACTGAATAAAATGATTTAATTGTTTATAATCAGGCACATTTACTTCAGATATTGAAGGCAAAACGAGAGACAATAAAATTTGAATGGGCCTATTTAATTGTTTGTAGTCAGAGCCACAAATTAACTTCAATTATTGAAGACAAAAACGAGAGACAATAAAATTTGAATAGGCCTATTCAAGTCTTGCGAAAGATATTTCATAGGCTTATGTGCTTCGATATTGGAATGCAATATATCAATGGGAAAAATCATTTTTTCACTCTGAAAATTTTGAATGGCTTGCATTCCGGATAACTTAGAGGGATTCAATCTACTCCAATGATTGAGTAGTCATGTGAAACAGAAATTAGCATACTCACACTTCAAACCCATAACAATAAGATAATTACTGATGATTCTTGTGATAATAAGAGTATACCGATAAGTCATTTATCTTATTTTCAATAATTTCACAAAGATTCCAAATATACTCAATAAATCAGATGAAAGACTTTTAACATCTCTTGGAAGCACTCAAGGTATTACGGAACTACTGAATCCTTCTTCATAACAATTTCAGCAATGTCATGATCTTTGATAAATATTGCAACATGACACCTTGCAGCATATGATGTTTTACAGAATTGGGTCAAGAGTTATGGAGATTTCATTCACAGTAACTCCCTAAGTTACATGTAATATTTAAGGAGGGTTTTAACTAGAAGTGATTATATATATATATGAATATATTAATATATCATCTGGAGCTGTGTTCTGAAATTTTTAGGCTTAATTTCAAATATTCTAATGCAACTATTTAACAATAAAGTCATGGTAATGTGCTAATATGTAAAATCTGGCATATATTGAAACTGCACTAAAAATGTGTGTCAGATTTTACAAGGATAAAACAAATTTTAATGATCTGAATATAGTTTTATTAAATAATTTTAATTTTAAAATTGACACAATAAAAAATAACCATAACAGCATTTATCATGCTGTTAATCAACTTCGTTATTCAAGTTTGTGAAATATTTTGCATGTTATATCACTGGCACCTCCAGTAATATTTTCATTGGAAACGCTTTGGAACTGATTAATCTAAGCATGCATTCAGCTATTCAAATCCTGATTGAACATTTAACTTGTGGTAACATGACCATAATATTCGGTGTCTTATCAAGTTCAATACTGCTGTTGGCAAAGTTGGCTTACTCATAAAGGCATGAATACTTAATTTCACTTGAAATGTTGAAGTTTTAGGATTCAGATTTTACTAATATCACTTGCAGATACAAATGATATCCCTAATGAGAAAATCATGAAAAAACATGGTATATAATATAACCTCAGACCAGTAGCAATAGCTACTGCAATTTTCACTTCAAGTCAATACACAATTCTAAAAATTATACAATTTTCATGCAAAAATAAACTAGAAAGATCTTATCTGATGACATGAAAGGATAGTTTTAGTTTGGGCACAAATATTATTGTAGTTATTCAGCAGAAAAGAAGCATGTCATCACTAAATGATTGAAATTGCAAATTGCCAACATCATGACTTTTCTTATAGTATGGTTGTCAAAAAACCTTATAAAATTACAAAAATATGTTGTTTCAGGGGTGGACTTTAAGTTATAAAGTTAACCTTCGGAAGTAACAAATTTATTCTAAAGTGCATGGTGTACAGATGTAGGGAAGATTTCAGACCATAGCATGAAAAATTGTAGGGTCAACATTGCAAGTTCAGACTCTGTAATGCAATTCTGTAATTTTTATTTGCTTAAGAACGAAAAGAGTCCACCAAAAATTTAAGATTGGTGCACTTGAAAATGCTGCACACTGGCTAGAATTTACATATTTCTTCCGGAGGAAAGGAAAGCTGATAAGACAGCTTAGTAATATGGCAAAACACCCCTCTCATAGGTGTGGTGGCAAGGGTATTCAAAACGCTCAGCATGATGAGCCACACCGGCGAGCAGAACATAACTAGGGTGGTGCAGCCAGTCTGCGGACAATTTCATTCGAACCGATATAAAATAAAAACCAATATTTCTATTCCGTTAATTTTTTCACTGTAGGTGCATTGGCATTTATTCTACACGCAACAACTCAAATTAACTTTCTACGACTAGGGTTAAAGCTATACAATCCACCAAAGTAAGACATATTTGCGACCGAACAACCAGTGTGCGACCACAGATTTCGAGCCTTGAACATCATTTCTGCTGCGTCGGGACGCAGCATACTAGAACATACGCAGCCATGCCTGAAAAAATTAGGCTTTTAATTGCCTTTCTGACCGCTTAGATTTTAAGAACACGTTTTTTTCAAACAACTCGTCAAATTATAAACAAAGCACCGCATCGCAGCAATCAAATACACAAAAACATGGTGGTCGCAAATTGGTCGACAAAGATATTATCGACCTATTGGAAATGCCACCCCCCCCCCCCCACTTTGAATGTGGAAACGCGAAACTTTGAAGATGGTTGAAAGAAACACAACTCTACACACCTGACACGTTTCATCTTTTTATTTCTTGTGTTTCTATGAATTTTCAAGCTTTCCTACGGGGACAATGGGTAGTTGGCGAAATGGAAAAATGGTCCGCTTTTTTGCTTCAGTCGTAACTTCGTTGTTTGTGATCACATTTTAGTGTAATTCCGCAGAGCTCTGGAGCTACGAGGGATAAGTGGACGATAACTTGAGATAAATATCGTCGCGGTTCGTTAAATTTTTCGACATTAATTAGGACTATTAAGTTGTGGGCTGCAAATAGGTTGTGGCCTCAAAGTGGCTAAGCCACCCTACTGCCCTAGCTCAAATTGTGTTTTCTGGTTTAAATGTATTTAACATCATAAGTAGTCTATTTATTTAAATATGGAAAATTAGAAAAAAAAAATCTTGTCCTATCGCAAGCTTCCCAACGTTTCGACAATATATAAAATATGGGATTGAAAATGTTACTTTAAAACCGACTTGAATGATGATACTGTGAAACCTCTGCAGCTAAAAATTATTCCTTATAACGAATATATAACTTACAACGCTATCTAATACACTAAATATTCATCTATCTAAATATATAGTCAACACATGGTGACACTCATTGAAGCGCAGGCCCATGTACTAATCAAAGCAAAACGTATGAACCGCGAAAGCAGCAGGACAAGACAAAACGCTCACCTCCACTTCACGCTCGACAACGCCCAGCAGATAAAATAGAAATACCAAAAATCCTCCCGGCCGTTAATCGAGACGCACTTTAATATCGGCTGCGCCCGTTTTGAAAAAAAATGTTATAATAAAGTATCTCCTTCGGGACATTCCTTTTTATCATCAGCTTGTAAAAAATTAAACTTTTAAAACGTCTTTGTGTCATCACCCATTTATGATTATTCATTGATATAATCGCGAAGCTAACTGCACATACATTTCCGCGATTTAGTGCAGTTTCCAATGCGAAAGAGGGGGGTGAATGAGTAAAAATAAACTACAGAATTAAAAACGTTGAATGGAAACTTCTGGTTAAACCGTTAATATTAAACTAAAGCCCTATGAAGTGTTTTTACAAACTACAAATTTTATTGTTCATTTTTCGCATATAACAATCAGGATAACTATGTACATCCTATTCTTAATTAAGACGTGGGATGAATATGTAAATAATATCCGAAAGCAGTATAGATATGATAAGGGATAAATAAATACGGTGGGGAGTCATAAATTTGATGGCACCGTATATTTCACCTTTCCAATTTGGTGATATATTACCTGAACTCGGCAGTTTATGTCAATCCTCGGGAAAATTTTTTTTTTAAAGAATCTTAAAATTCTGTCCCGTTTATTTTTGTCTAAGTTAAGTGTACGTGAAATGATTGCGTGCAAAGCTTAATGGATATTTAAAAATAAGCTCTTGCCGCAAATCAGAAATAACATACCTGGAGGTGAATTGAAGATTATGAACGTGGATTTTTTGAGGCTGTTTGGTTCTTCCTGTAACAAGATTGTGTAAATACGAAATTTTGGCGTGGCTCTCTTTTAGGGGACGCAGATTAAACTAATATAAAACCAGCTTCCTTTGGCAATCCTCACGCAATTTAATATCAAAATAGCATCGCCTCACCTGGATTAAAGTTTGAAACATAATCCTGCCCCTCACCATGGCAAGATGTTCTCAGCTTTACACACTCCCACAGTTTTAGAAACAATTAAGGGCATCCGGTTAACTATTCTTATTCCAGACCTAGCAATTTCAAGACACGCCGGCCCCAACCCGTTGAATACAAGAACTAGAGCCCAATCTGTCACATTTGTTCTGCGACATCAACCGGTCAGCCAGCTTTTACCAACCCTGTCTGCTTAATCCTATTGCTAAGTTTTGATCTTTGCAAATTTCAATATACAGCACCACATTGTTGGTCTACTCTAAAGAGAATAATGAGCAAACAGAAAAAGTGCACAGCCGTTCAGAGATTTGAGAACGAATTCTGAATGCCATGAGTGTATTTTCTTCAGTTATTACACAGACCAATAAATTTTACAAGGGCACACCAGACTCAAGATTTTTGAACTTAACTTTCGCACAATGAGATATTGCTTGAAAAAAATCAAAACTAGTATAGTTTCAAACAGGCATTCAAGAAGGCTGAACTAGTATAGTTTCAAACAGGCATTCAAGAAGGCGGCATCCCAACGAAAATATTGAAGCGCATATTTGAAGTCGAACAAAACAGGCCACGGAGGCCAAAATAGATTACAATATAATAATGAATCTTCTTGTCTACTATATGTGCGATCATAAATCTAAAAGTAAAATCTGTGGATCTTCCACGGCTTGCTTGATTTTGCGTAGAAACGTGACAGCTTCCCTGCCATCCACCAGCCTGTGATCATACGTTAAAGCAACATACATCATGGGACGTATCTCAACCTGAAATTATTTAAAATAACATAGGTTTAATAAAACAGTTGGCACGGTGGAAGATTACAATCAGTAGGATGACTGGCCTAAAATAGAGCAAAGTAACTCTGTTAAAAATATGCTTATGAAGTGTTTATTATACCATAACTTGGACAAATAAATACCTTCCATACCATACACTTGCCTTAAAATTATTCATCAAATACTACTTACACTAAATGGTCAAACTATTTAGTAAAACATATTTTTTTCCCGAGAAGCTGTAATGTTTACCTTCAAAAATTCATTTTCTTTTCTCAAATTCACACATTCAAGTTTACCAATCCTATTTTATGAATCCTATTTTATGTTTAGCAATGCAACAGCCATTTCAAAACAACATATAAATTATCAGATTCTTACTTTTCCATCAATTGCAACTGGCCTATCAAAAATAGCATGCATTCCCAAAATTGCAGATTGAGGTGGATTAATAATAGGTGTACCAAACATTGATCCAAAAACACCACCATTGCTAATTGTGAAAGTTCCCCCATCCATGTCTTCAACTGCAAGTTCATTATTTCTTGCCTGAAAAACCAGCAAAAAGTAAACGCTGGGAAAATCAGTTGCCGTAAGTTGAAAAACAATTTTATAAGTTACCGTAGTTAAAAACCAAAACTTTTTCATTTTTCAAACCAAATTTACCAGTTTATAAATTGTCAGTAATGGCCAAGTATTTACGTGCATTCTGAATTATAGTACTGATGAAAATTTGAAACATTGCAAAATAACATGCTTATCCCCAATGGAGAACTCATACATAAGAGATACTGAATTTACAACATAAGAAGTAAATTTCTAGGCAAATCATATCACTAATAATATTGAAATCTGTTTAAACATTACTACTTGCATAGCAGAACCAAAAGTAGTAAAATTAAAATGAAGGATACAAACATGTTACCTGAAAGTCTTTTAGCCTAACTATATATACAAAATAGTAATAAGGCACATTCCATCACAATAGTGTGCTCCATAACACTGCATGATACTGATAAGGGCTTGTCTTTTATTCAGTGCCTAATTTCCAGAACAGTAGCATAAACTCAAAATACTGCTCATGTTTTGGCAAGTATCTACTTGTACATATGATGGAATTAAAGTATGAGTTTAAAAAAACTCAACTTCCCAATTCCCCTATTGCATTACCCAATTTAATATACCTGGTAACAGACAGGAGTTGACCATTGAACAAACACATAGTCAAGCTTCTACTTAAGGAGCTAACGTTATTAACCATGCACCACCAATTACATAACAGGTACCAATCTTCAGACAATCATGGTTTGAATCAAACCTTAGCTGCAAGTTCGTTCATTTCTTTTTCAATTTGTTTATAGTTCATGGCTTCACAGTTCCTCAATACAGGAACAACCAGGCCTCTGGGTGTTGCTACGGCGATACTGATGTCAACATAGTCTCTATATATCATTTCTTTGGTAGCATCATCAATCACTGTAGAAAAAATTGGTAATTACATTACATTAAATATCCACTAACAACACTGGTGTAAAAAGTGAACAAAAATAATGTAATAGATAGTAATAGTTATTAATGTAATAGTTTTGTCTCCACATTATTTGTGACACGAGCATGTACTATTAGTATGGTATCTTGATAATTTAACCTTTACAACTGAAGTCTGAATTTTTCAATATGCAAAATCCTAAGATTCCTTCAGAATATTGTTTCCAGCAACTGACCAAAGTCAAGGTTAACCCTTCTTATTCTAAAAATCGAAATTTACCGAGAAAACAGCATTAATTACAAAACACTGTGAGACATTGATCTGGCGTAATATAATATTTAAAAGCTTAAAACTCACTGTGGATATCTACAGAATTAAATGAAAAATTGTAAAATTACCTGCATTGACAACAGGTTGGTCTTGCAAAGCATAGGCAGATGCTTTAATGAATGCTGACATGAAACTTAATTTTATTCCATGTTTCTTCAAAAAATCATCTTTATACTTATTGCGCAATGCTTTAATATTTCTGTAAAGTGAAAAAAGACATCAAAAGGATGTTACAATAGCAGAATACTTGATTGACATGAGTAACAAAATATGTCATACTTTGGTGAAGACAAATTATGGCTGATGGTCTGCTTTACCCTAGGTTAGCAAAGCTGGTATTTTACATCTGAACATACTGCATATACAGGTTGTTACAAATACATGTAATGTAAAAGTTTGTCTCCACATTCTCTGCGACCGAGGCATGCACTATTATTATGGTATTCTGACAATCAATTCAAACTTAATAACTGTAGTCTCAATTTTTTTAATATGCAAACTCCAAATAAAAGACCTTACGTCATATCAATTTCATTGAATGTGGTTAACATTGCAGCAGTATTTTGCGAATCTTTCAGTCGTTGAGCAATCCTCTGCCGCATTCGGTTCATTTTCACCTAAAATAGTACAGCAACAGATGTAGCCTATTACAGAATTTTACGAAGACCATTAACATTTATGTTTATTTTAACCATATAAATACAAATTACAAGATCTAGCGAAATAGCATAACACTAAGCTGCTAAAATCCTTTTGTTGATTAAGTCTGAAAGAGTTGTTTTCAAACTTTTTGGCAGAGCGGAAACCCCAATGGAACATTTCAGAGGTTCGAGAAACCTTTGTGCAATAGTTCAAATGTCTTTTATTGTCTAATTGTGTTTTCAACTGTAAATATATATAAAAGCAAACCTAATGCTGTCAAGAAAAATGATCTTTAAAGTGTTGCAAAATACAACAGTGGAAAACCTATTAATATAGACTCTGGATTTGATTGGAATGTTGCAGAACCCCTGGATGGTATTCGCAGAACCCCGGTTGAAAACTACTGGCCTGGAGGGACAATCAGAATTCAGTATTGAAATGACCCGTTTTATTTCACTTCACTGGCCAGCAAACATTATTAAATCAGTTAAAATAAATTAAAAAGATTTCTCAACAAACCCTATTTTCTGTTCTAGCTCCAGTAACTTGCTCTGTTGAAACAGATGGCGTTGAAGTTTTGACAGGTGTGACTGGAACACTAGCAACAGGAATGGTTGACAATGGTTGGGTAGGTACAGGAGGAGCAGGAGGTAAAGTTGAAGGAATCTCTTTAGGGGGAGATGAAGCGGGAGTATCAGGGGTGGGTGTTGGAGGAGCAGGAACATCCGCTGGCTCAGATTTAGGAGTTGCTGCTGCCGCACCGTCTACAATATAGAATGTTACAGTTCGATTTAATTTAAGTCAGGGGTGTGCAACCTTTTTTATTGGCGGGCCAAATACAAGTAACTGGGTGATGCCGCGGGCCGCACCTTTATTTAATTTAGGCACAAAAATTGCCTATATTTGCTATTGATCTTACAGCATTATTAGGGGTTCTTGCAGAAATAGTAGATTTAAAACGCATAAACTTCTGAAGAATCTGCTATTTAAATTTTTTGTCACACCGACTTCAAACGAATGCAGTGAGAAACACGTTTTTGTAATATAAATCGTGTATTTTGCCACAGAATTTTGCTAGCTCGTTTTGCTAATATGACTGGTATGGGCTTTGCGACGAAAAAGAATAAATACTCGTTTTGCGGGTACACCATTCGAAATTGTTATTTCTCCGCGGGCCGCACAACTTCTTCTTGCAAGCCGCATTTGGCCCGCGGGCCGCAGTTTGCACACCCCTGGTTTAAGTGATACAGCCTATTAAGTATTTCTGGGAAACATGAACAAGTCAATTTCAATAGATTCAAAATTCCTGAGCCATTTCAGAAGGTTTAATACAATATTGACGCACTGCTTTTTCGAAAAACTTAACTGGGTAGAAAAAAATTAAATCATTTTTTCCAAATTAATAAAGTATGAAGAAATTACTAGAAGGAGTATAACAAAACTCAACAAATGAAGAATGCTACATATCAGAAATACGATTGCATATATATACCCGAATTTATTGTAAACAGAGGTGTTCCTGGGGTAACAGTTGAACCATCTTCAACAAGCAGTTTTTCAACAACACCTTTTGATGGTGCGGCTATTGGAATTGAAGTCTGTTTTTTATAAAAAAACATTTTTTAAACTGTGAATCACCTGATCAATTTACAATATTGGATACAAGTACCCATATTCAAGTTGAGGAGTGCAATAAGCACCTGTAAAATTCATCCAAACAATTAATTTTTATATCTTAACAAATTTATTATTAAGAGTAAACGAAGACATTTGAAGATATTATTACCATGAAGATTCTGGTAGTTTGTTTTTTATTTGATCAACATTTCCAATTGACATTATATTTTGGTTACTTTTTCACTTTGATGCAGGAATCTGGTCAAACTAAACAGAAATGACATACCTTATCAGTTTCTATTTCAGCCACAGTTTCATCTTCTTCAACTGCTTCACCCTCAGCTTTAAACATATGAGAAGAAGTTAGAATACAATAAAAATATCTAAATATTAACTGGAGGAAGAGGTGTTACTTGCACAAAATGTTTTATAGCTGAGGCAATGTGTTTGCAAAGTTTTACCAATTCCAAAGAGTAAATATATTTTAATAAATAGATAATGAACAGAGCCATTTCATGTGATATCAAATTTTGTGGCAATCAGTGAAAATTTAGTTGTATACTGTAATTTATTTTAAAAAACATGATATTTGTTATCAATATTATACTCTTGTCCACGCCCCAGAACAATCAAATGTTCACAGCCCATCCTATAATGATACAGGAAAATACTATGCTTTTCAATGTTTGCAGATTTGAGCAATTTGAATCAAAGTGATAATTTCAACATACTAGACCAGGGGCGGCCAACCAGTCAGAGACCGAGAGCCGCATTTCGTACTTTATTACAGCGAAGAGCCACATTATCAGCGTGGGGTATTTTTCCATTGGCATGCTTTTCCATAACTGAATGATCACATCCCTTAATTAAAGCGCATTTCAGTTGGTCTTCCTCATAAAGATAGATCATCTTCAACTCAATTTACTAGAGGAAATTTCAAACAATCCAGTTAAATGAGTCGTTGACACTGTAATCTGTAATGTTTTATCTGTACTTCAATTACTTCCTTCAAATGCGTGTTTGCCTGCGAAATTCGTTTTCGATACGATGTGAAGTGAATGAACGCGTTCACGTATCTTCGACGTAAAAGAAAAATGCACTATGAATTCTAATATGTTTAATCGAAACATGATGAATCGTAGTTTGCAAGTTATATTTTTCTTAAAATAACCAAGACGAAAAGAGCTGCATGAAACCAGAGCAAGAGCCACATGTGGCCCGCGAGCCTTGGGTTGGCCACCCCTGTACTACTATCATTATGTTACAAAAGTACGAACGCATGTTGGAGTGGTGAAGAAGAATATACTAATAAATCCATATTTGTTATTTTAGGACGACAGAAGTAAGAAGACAATAAAATCATATAATGACATAAAAAGCCAAAAGTGACTCGCGGCTAAAGTAAGAAGAATGCAAGTTCCCAAGAGACAAAACTGTACAAAATTCGATTGTAATTAAAATATGTACACTACCTTGTAGATTCAATAACAATTTAAAATGCTTATTGTCTTAAATACTTGCATGAATGCTACTATGCATGATTACACACACACAAATACATACAATTTATAATTTAAATGGCCTAACATCCCCTAAATAATACTCTATAGAAATGTAGAAAATGGTTCCATTACATTTGAACCCACGACGATTGCATCTGCATACTATTGCACCTACAGAAATTTTTTTTGTTTTACGGATATTTGAACCCATACTAACCTAACCCATGGGTTTTAGCACCCGCATATAGATTGAACCCGCGGATATACACATGGGTTCAAATGTACTTGGGTTCAAATGTACGGTCACCGTAGAAAATATACCTTTTTCCCAACGAATGTCACCTTCTGAAATAGATTCAGCAAATGCAGGACAGTTTACTGTGACAGCCTCCACTGAAAAATATATGTTATAAAATACATATTATATATTAGTAGTGACATTTAACAAAGTAATGATTGACAACTATGTAAGTGAACATACATGAAGTTGAACTTGTTTGTATGAATCTCCAGAAATATGTTTTATCAGTCCTACTCCATTTTTGCAACAATTGTGATCTGAAATCAAAATTGAAAAATAGGTAAAATTTTCAATAGAAAATCAATTTCCTAGTTTTGATAGTTACAAGAGAAATACGAAACTTCACAAAAAAAATTAGTTTTTGTCAGTACAAATTAGTTGGCATTAGGAACCTAGAAATAATTTTTCTTTTTTCGTATGTTAGGTAGAATTTTTTTAAAGGAATACATTTTATGTTCCTGATTATGGACTATTGAAAATAAAATCAGGTACAATGTCCAAGACATATTTCAGGTAGCACAATAAATGAGGCAAGATAAATCATAAACACACAAAAATTATGAATTATAGTAAATACTGACTGTTGTTGATTGTCTCTTGCCAAATGCTTCGTTGACATGTGAAGATTTGTTGTCTGTAAAAATCAATAAATAAATTCAAATAATAGTGGTGCAGTGGTGATAGATTTGTCAGTACAGCATTCTCAGAGCCTGTGGGCTGTGGATAGCACATACAGACATATAGCATAAAGAACAAGGTTAAACAACAAGGTCTGAAGGTATACAAAAGTATAGAAAACATATTTCATACTTCAGTACTCACTCTTGAGGCACCTTCAATCCTCAGAAGTCGACCACTTCCGACACACTTTAAGTGATTGGAACATCTTGACAATCGCACTAAATTCGCCGCCATCACAACAAAAGAATAAGTTTTCTACAACTCATTAAACACAGAATCTAAGGTTAGTTATTAGACTAGCATATGGCCAAGAATCCTGAAATACAGATTTAAAATGAGAACAACTGAGGTACGGTGACAATACAGCAATAGGCAACGTTTTTTGAAACTGTCAAATGCTATCTCAGTATCTAAACTCGGGCACTCAACACAATTTAACAATCTGAAACAGAAACAGACAAATCTCACACTCTGTCGTGACAATCTGGAAATCGAGGCCATCTGCATTCAGATGGTATTGCAAGATCCCAACCATACCGTACCGTAACGGTACCGGTACCGGTAACTCTTTTTTTTTTTTTGCACCACCCCATATGAGTGGGATATAACCAGACAATTACAATATTAAATCAAAAAAAGTATTGTAAAATAAAATAATGGTATAAATATTCGAACCAGTTTTGTTCCCATTTTGTTCCCAACCATAACTCATGCTAGTCTACAGAATTTCTCAAACAGTCGACATAGTCAGGTAAAGAACCCAGGATCCCAAGGACAGTTAAGTATTTTGTGGCGCCTGAAGCTGCCGCAAAACCATGGCGGTATTTCCAAACCATAGCCGCTATGGCCAAACTCATGGCGACTGACTTTTTAGCTGCCTCAAACTAAACCATTTAATCTTTAAGCACTGGAAATTTCGAAGAAGTTGGTCGTGTAATGAAAGATAAAAACGGTTTTTCAATATCAAGAAGAATAACACGATGAAGGACAACAACAACACCACAAAAACAAAACGATCGTTATGTCCACTGACGTGTCCAATAATTGTGTGCATGAATATGTATTTCCAAACATCGATGGGAATTTATTCGCATGGTTTGTCGAATTAGGATAGAGTTTTCCTTCAAGAAGATCTGGCCGCGGGCCTTAGGTTGCCGACCCCTGATCTACAGTAGGCCTATTGCATTGAGTAACTTTAGTGGCACATAGAGCGTCCCATCAGTTACTGCACCAGAAAATAATATGGGCTCCTGCTGTACCATCGCGACAACTCACAACACACTAAAAATAAATGCATGATATACTTGCTGTCTCGTAGTGTTACGCTATATTTTGCTATATATTTTGTAACCACTAAGTAAGTCGTGTGTGTTACTTTTGTGCAGTTTTGTTCAACCAACATGAGGCAACTGATTGGCCAATGATCGAATTGGTGTTGCTGGCAATATACATGCAAAATTCCCGGAATTATCCCTTAGATTCACTTGGAAAATACCGACAGACCGAGCTGTCACTACGTTGCGGTAAAACTATGACGAGTTATATATACGACGACGATCAATGCTCTACCGGGAGTTCAGGGTCAGCCAGCCATTGGATGTTCGTGCCATAGCGGAAGTAATAGGATAGGATTTACATATTTTTTCCCGGGGAAAGCAAATCCTATAAGACGGCTCAATCATATGGGTTGCCAGTCTATGTTGGGTGTGGGATCAGTTAGAGGCCCAGGGGTCGGCAACCTTTTGTCGCTCGCGGGCCAAAATTAAAGGTTGCAAGTCATTGGCGGGCCGCACATGTTTTTAGGAAGTTAAAGACCGATGAATCACACGTTTTCGCACAGATCAGAAGTTATATTTTAAGCAGCAGGGCCGTAGGTTGCCGACCCCTGAGTTAGCCAATTATTTGTTTTCAGATGCATAGCCTAATGGTTGCTGTAAAACATCGAGACTTTTTATGTCACCCCGAAAGAGAGGAAACCCAAGCCTGTAGTATAGATTATATGGCAGTCTCGGCCGGCAGTACGGTTGTAAGTCCATTTTGGATATGGTTAACCCTTTTATTGTATCTTATAGATCTAAACATAGACTTTGATTGTGGATGAATCTGCAACCAATTCGCGGTTTCAAGAACCGCCTTGATAGGAGGAGGATGTGAATGCTAATTATACATTACCATATAAACCAGTCTCGGCCGGCAGTACAGTTGTAAGTTCAGGTTAGATATGGTTAACCCTTTTATTGTACCTTATAGATCTAAACATAGACTTCGATTGTGGATGAATCTGCAACCAATTCGCGGTTTCAAGAATCGCCTTGATAGGACGAGGATGTGAATGGTAATTATACATTACCATACAAACCAGTCTCGGCCGTCAGTACGGTTGTAAGTCCAGGTTGGATATGGTTAACCTTTTTATTGTACCTTATAGATCTAAACATAGACTTTGACTGTGGATGAATCTGCAACCAATTTGCGGTTTCAAGAACCGTCCTGATAGGACGAGGATGTGAATGGTAATTATACATCACCAATCACCATACAAACCAAATAATTAGGATTTGGGCAAAATCGAATATTTTTATCGAAAAATTCGAATATTTATACCGAATAATACTTGCATGATCGGGCCAAGACGCCTGGGGTCGATTCTCCAATCGGGAATCATCAAAAGCCGCAAAAGTCGGATGATTTTCTTATGAACGCTGAGTATTTCTGTCAGCGTCATATTGGCAAAACATCGATAAACTATCTATTTTCTTGCGAAACCGTACGTTCAGTAAGATAAACGCGAAAGTTTATAAGTGATCATTGACGACAGACGTTAAAAGTTATTAAAGGGGCAAATTTGCAATCCTAATTAAATATCCGAATTCCTATCTTTAGTATTGGCCCTAATCATCGTTTTTACCTTTTGTAAATAAACCCTCCTATCTACAAGTGCAACTTTATTATCATTACAGTAGCCTACATACTTGTGATGCAAATTTGGCCTAGGCACCGGTGGCCTCGCACCGTCTAAATATGGCCTGAGTTACACTACGTTCTCTGAGTCTAACTCGAATAATGGTTGGAAGGAATGCTTTACTCTAGGACTAGGTTAAAGAAATTTTCCAAAAATTTCTCAGCCAGGTACTCTTCGGCTTTGTCCGTAAAAAACATGTTTTTTAATGCTAATGCCAGTGACATATCCAGTTCATAACATGACATACTTGATAAATATAAAAAAACAAAACATTATAGCTGCTAATAAAAAATAAAGGTGCATATCAAGCTAGGTTTTATCTTTTGCGGTTGAGTACAGAATATATATATTATTGAACAAAAAGAATTGGAGTCATGAGCAGGTAGCAGATGGATTTTTAAGAGTGAGTGATGGCGACGAGAGTAGGCTAAATAGCCTGCTTTAAATGACTGCCTGCTGATATGAATCTAACCGTAAATATATACTATTACGATCCAACACAGAATACGACACAATATATAATAAAAATCAATTAGGCTACACGTTACAAGACGAACACAGATTTGCGATCACTGAAGTTCTGAGAAGATTCCAACCGTGAACCATTGATTAAAAGATACCGTGGTATATTATGAATTAATATAGTAAAATTTAATTTTCTAACTTTTTGCAAGTTTGTTATTGAACCAGACTGGGTATGTTAGTCGTTGAACCAGACCGACCACACTTATCAATGATGTCTTTTCTTAGCTCGAAATTGAAGCATGACGAAGTCGTTGTAATGAAAGCGTCTACCGTCGCGGGGAGACGGTTAGCAATTTCTGTTGGATTCCAAGTCTTTGCAATGAAGCAGTAGCCGATGCAGTATTTATGTTTGAATACTTCATGTGCCTTCATATGAATGAAAATATTAATTTAAGTATGAGACCTTCCTAAGAATAAAAAAAAATGTCAAGTAGGGAATTCATTGCGGAAAGCGGTGAATCAGAGCCAACTGGGACTCTACCAACACCAGCTACAGCTACAAATGCGGCAATCAGTAGGGCATCACAAACACAGGTTTGAAATTAATTATAATTATATTGTTTCATTTTGACTATTACCGGTATAGGTTATATTGCATCTTTATTTCTGTTATTATTGGAAATATACAAAAAACATAAATTAATAATAACAGCAGACAGGCAGAGCAACCATGGTAGGTCAATTAGTTGAAACTTAAAGATTTTTGGGTTCAAACCCCATGTCTTGCTCCGAACGTAATAGATTAGGCAGGTAATGCTGAACTGATATAGTTTCAACGCTTTCTAAATAGTATCTACTTACTGTATGTATCAGAGTCTGCTTGTTTAGAGCCTTGTCTGGAACAAAGATGTAAAACGTCTTAAAAAAAAATCAATTAGGTTAGGTGTATGTAATCAGGTACATGTATCAGTGCCGAGAAGGTTCAAGTCATTTACTCAACTTGTGTTGGAATGAATTTACCATTCATCGAAGACTCAAAGTGACTCGAGTCATCTTGATAGAATTGCTCCGACCCATCATTGACTCAACTGGAATGGACTCAAATCTTAGATAACCCAAGACTATACTTTTGATTTGGGTTCACCGTTCAGGGACTTTTATCCAATACTGACAGGTATCCCAATAAAAGTAATGTTAACATTTCTTAACAGGTTTGAACTAATTTTATCAATTTAGTAATTCTCAAAACAAAAGTATATTCAAATTTTTATTTTGATATTATTGGTTTGTTTCAAAAACATTTTAAATGGTTCAATATTACTATATTAACTAGTTATTTCTTTTCAGATGAAAAGCGTAGAAACAGGATCAATATCCCAACTTGCTTCTAGAAGAAATAAACAAGGATCGTTTTTGGCACCTGATGCAGAAGGAAAAAAGAAGGGAATTGTCAGTATATTGTTATTTTTTTTGCCTTCAATAAATGAATGAGTAATATATAATGTTGCATGCATGTACTAGATTACTGGGCAGAAGTTGTGTAAGAAAAGGAAGTGGGTTTATTTCGCATTTTACCAATACAAACTGAGCTATGAAATAGAATATGTTTTTCAGTTTTTAAAAAGCACTATTGAAGTTAGGTTATTAAATGCTTTGTAATATAAATTAATTGCAAGCGAACTGCTGTAATATTTTGCTGGCAAAAATATTAAATCTGATATCTTTTTTCCTGATTTAGGATATGATGTCTCGCCTTTATGATAGAGCAGAAGATTCACTGGTGATTAAATCTGTCAGCAAAAGCAAAATTACAATGGATGACGCATCAAATGAACTTACTGTTGTAAGAGATTTTACAAGTTAATGTTTATGGATGGGCTGAATAAGTTAATCAATTGGTATTGATTAGTACAATATTCAACTATTAAGAACTTGAATTGAATAATTGTAAATAACCAACTCTGTTTCATTTTTGAATCTCTCAAACTATCAGCTGTTAGTATATAACTACTATTATTATGAACATCTGTTTTTACTTACAGAAACCGAAGCCTCCTGAAAAGGGTGTTCCCAGACATCGAACAACGTTTAGAACCACATTCTTCAAAAAAGACCATGAAAGAAAAATTCTGAGAAATAAAAATAAGACGATACATAAGTATTTTGAGAAGCAGAATGTTGTAGACATCGGTGCTGGAGATCATCATGGAAAGTATGTATGAAAAATGGTCCGGAAATTAATTTGCAATAAGTGGTAAATTTGCATTTGCTTCACGCAGCCTCAAAATATTAGGAATTGAAATTCTTCCAGATGCCCAAAAAAATTGTTGCAAATTTGTGTGAATTTTTTGGTATCAAGTTTCCAAGGATTCTTTCCACAAAGAAGCAATGGCGTTCAATGTGAATGAATATGCTTATACATTATATCAGACAAAAAGGCTCAAAAATACATAAACTCAACTTATTTATTTTATGATTAGACACAGCCTTTCTGAATCAGGAAAAGCTGAAAGTGATGTGATATCCTTACCGATTGATAATGATGGTGATACCAAGTCACAATCTGAAGGTAAGACAATATATATTTTTGAAGCTGCTGTATAATAAATGCCAGTTATTTGACTTGAACTTCAAAAAATCTTTCTAGATATAATAAATTTTTTTTAATTTTTCACCATCACTCAATGGGTAAGCAGTTATCTTCTGAAATGAAATATTTTCAAATGTTATCAATGTTGGAAAAACCTTTTTATGTAAACTACCTACACTTTTCAAAATGATCCTAATGTTCATTTATAATTAGGATCGGAAATTGAAGTTGTCTGGGAACCAGTTACCACAGCATCACAAATGGGTCGCAAATCTGGTACATTGGATGGACAAAACACTCATAAAGGACCTCATGATCTTAGTCATATTTTATCAAAATTACGAGACAACATGTATGATAATATCGGTAAGAAATTATTTATTTCATTCCAATAAATCCATCATTCCATTAATTACCATTCTTTTAATACAGAACCAGCAGACGATGATGTCATAAATCATATAATCCGACTACGATTAGCACTTAATTGGAAGACAATGCTTCCTAGACATGGACCAGGTGTTAGGAGAGCAATGAAGTTGACAAATCACAAAAATCCATTGAAGGTTTTATGAGTTCTTTCTAATTGAGCATGATTTTCTCCAATCTTGATTTGGATCTATTTTTGTCCATTTTAGTTTTGTTTGATGGTTGCCACAGTGGAATAACTTTTATAATATCTTTGACGATTTATGATACTTTACTCGTCTAATTTCCTTAATTTTCAGGAACCAGTATTTCTTCTACAAGATGCCGGTGAATATGTTTATGCAATAGAAAGATCAAAATTTCTTGCTGGTGCAGGAAGAAGAACCAATCCATTCGATTTACAAGTTGTTTCTGCAGAAACTGCACGGAAACGAGATTGCTATTATTTGATAACGGCTACTTCTGTTACGAAGGTTTGCATTTGTTATTCTGTATTGTATTATTGTATACAAATTGAATTATTAAAAAGAGCATTTTATAGTATAGCAATAGTATTTAAGGTTATGTGTCAGGCAGTTGGTATTATGTGCTTCTCAAGAGTTCAATGATTTGGATATTATATGATTCTGAAAATAATTTTATACCTATAGTAAAACTGAATTACAAAAAAGATTTTCGATTTTTCACCTTTTTGTTTAATTGTAGTTTAGAAAATTTCTGAAATTATCCATTGTAGTGTAAGAATAATCTATGATTATCTTGATTTATGGCGAATGATGTAGTTTTTATATTCATTCTAGGGGAGAGGAAAGTCGATGAGACATTTTAATCATATGGTCGCTAGCCATGGAGTCGCTAGTCATGGAGTTCTTTGTGCAGAATTATCCCCCACTAGGTTCAAAACTGCGAACCCATGCAGGGTAGATGTTCGATTGATAACATGTTCTTATCACATCCACCAAGACATCCATGCTGATTTATCTACTTTTTAATATTAACATTGCTGTTTAAGAGGGGCATCCTTCTCTCAAACTTTTCATAGGCTGTTAAACAGTAATAAATAATTTCAATCCAAGAAAAGGAATTCTCATCACTTATCAGTATTCATCTCTTTCAGAACAAAAAGAGTTCAGTTGAAGGTGTTTTGGAAACAGAGATTACTCCTGTAATCTGGTGGATTTATGAGCAACGTCTATTTAACATGATTTGTGATCTGCCCGTTTTTGTGAAGTTTCGTTTGTGGAAACAATTTGTTTTATGGAGAAATATCATCAGAAATCAGAAAACATCTGGTTCAGGGTAATAATATCCTGCAAATTTATATTTAAATCTTGTTTTTAGGTAAGGGCTGTTCACAGCCTCATTTCATGACAAAAAATATTACCATGCTTGCCATCTTGATGTGTTAATATGATTAGAATGCTAAATCTAGTTTTGATGACTCTGCTTGCTAAAGATCTTGAGTTCAGATCCCAAGCTCATATTTAAATCCAGAGTGTACCAAATGGTCCATATGCCAAACAGGAAACTTGATTCTTGTTCTTCCAATTCATAACAGTAACACTCTATGTTTCAGTGACTGCATGTACAAGGCCTTGTTTTGAGTGAAACTTTGGAGGTATCATAAAAACAAAAAATTCCATGCTTCTCTTACATTTTCTGTAGCTTAGTACAAACTGGTTACAGTAGTTTTTAAAACATCTCCAACATTTATTACATTATATTTGCATTATGAGGATAACAGTCCAGATGATATTAGAATTGGATATTGAAGCTCTCCCATCTACATTTTTAACAAAAAATAATTGTACGAAATACCATTTACTGTAAGCTCCTCGCATTTCATGTTTCACACATCAGATTTTTAGTTAAAAGTACGATTGGAATTTTTTTACTTTTTATATACATTATTAATATTCTTTTTACAGATCTATGCTACAGTGTCAACTATTTCTTGCTGAAGAAACATTACAAAAATGTTTGGTCTCTGTTAGAAGTATATGTGAAGATGCTTGTGGTAGCAGAGATGGTTTTGGTATTGGAGAGAATGCGATTCTCCTTATTCAATATAATAACAGGTACTGATGGGTGACAGTAGTCAGTGCATTATACTTTGCTATGGTTTTCTCTAAGGCTAGAGAGCTCAAGTTTATATCCCATGCCAACCACTTAAAATCTGTGTTACCTATGTTGAAGCAGAAGAGTTTTTTTCTTGAAATGATGTTGATGTACACAAATACCTTGTCTGTAATTATATGTATACCAATTGCTTCAAAAACAAAATTTCAGAAAAATTGTATAAAATTATTTGAAGCTTTTTTTTGGAAAATTCAGTTTCCCATCAATCTTATATAAAAACTTTTGCGCAAATTGCAAATTTAGCAAAATAAGAATCATTGTGAAACAAATAAATTATCACAGAAGATTAGAACATTTGGCTGTGAAAAAAGTTTAAAGTTGCCCTATTTTGTACATGAAAATTCAATATGTATAAGAAAATTCAATATCATTTCTGTAAAACTTCAGACACACATATTCACTGGATGAGTTTTGCGATTTACAAAATGAAAAATGTTCAGAAGCATCAACTCAATTGGAAGAATTGAGAAAATCGATTGCCGACATGTGTTACCGTGCTTGTTCTGTGAGTACTTTGAATCACATGATAAAATAGTTTTGAAATTGTGGAGATGTGACAATCTTTAATTCATTCTAGCTTACTTTTTTCATTTGCATATTTTTATCCAAGACATTTGTTGCTTTTCATACTTTTAAATGATAATTTTTTGGGGGATTGATAAATTTGGTATTGTCTTTTGAGGAGTCATGAGGTTATATTTTTCTGATCCACCAATGTTCAGACGACTCTGCCAATGGAATCAGAGGTTATACACTTCGAACATGGCACTGCAAATTCAAGTTTAAAGAATTCTCTGAATAAAATGATACTTCATAGTATACTTCAGAATCTATATTGACAGAATCTATTTTTTCATATTTTCTTCTGTTTAGATTGTTGCTGAAAGAGACGGCATTACAAAGGATGTAAGACTAGGAAAAGTTGAAAGAAGAAAATACACAACTAGACTTACAGTGGAAGAAGGTAGGATGAAAATTTGAAATTAGTCGCAGTGTGTATTTCGTTTAGTTGATATTGATATTTTATGTATTGTAATTTCAATATTGGCCCAACTCATATTTGAATAATCTATTACAGTGGTTCTTAGCCTTTCTTAGTTAGCAGACCGGTAAAATTTCAAAACTAATTCTGCAGATTGGTGAACCTTCAATATCAACCCAGAACATAATTAATTGAATGTAATTACGACAAAAGTATGCAATTCAAAAGCAGATAATTCAATTTAATGAGAAATTTACTGCTGTCTTTTCGATATCATATGTGTTAAACATGGTTCCAATTAGGTTTCTGCAAGGTAGAGAGCATTGACTTCCTAACAATTTCTTTGTTTGGTTCTGATGAGACGATGAAAAGCTTTTCTAATATAAGTGACAGGGAGTTGTCCAAAAAACGAGCAGTATATTAATGGATTTGTCACTGAGCTTAGGATATTCGTTTTGATGTGATATTTGAAACTGTGACAATGGTTTCCAGCTGTTCATGGCTTGAAATGGCCGTATGACCCTCTGATCAAGTTAAGTTCACGCATTAATAGGAGGTAAAACTCACAAAATAAATGTGCAGGCTATCAATGACTTGCATTTTGCAATTGAGATATAATTCCGGAATATATTTGGCAGACCGGCAAGAAGGTTGATGCAGACCGTTAGTTGGGAACCACTGGTGTATCATACTAGAGGCTTTTTAATATCTTTTCAAATTTTTTTAAATTATATTGGGACTTGCCTAGCAAGCTTTAAAATAAAAATGACTTAGTTGCATAGGGGAATTATTAAATCGATTAAGTTACTATTCCTATACCTCAATAAAAAGGTGAATTCCTTTTTTTTTTCTTTCTATTTTCATTATTTATTTGATAAATAGAATTCCTTTTGTATTAAAAATATATTTGGTATTCAGATACTGGACCAACATTCGCACAACTTGCATCTTGGAGGCAAATTCTATCTCGTTTAAAGCAATTTATTCGTCATGTTGATAATATTTTGTTGGAAACATTACATCGACTTATACAAACAGCTGTGAGGAGTTTTCTTGCTTTCGTTTCTTCATCAGTCAACTACAAACAAGACGATGGGAAAGAAAATATTTCTTCTGATATAAATATGCTGCAAGAAGTCGCAGCACTGTAAGTAAATTAGTTTGATTTTGTCTATTGCTGAATTCAAACAATGCGACCTCTGAAGTGAAAAGTCTCCATTAAGTATGGCATTGTTAACCATTAAATGCTCTATCGAACTCTATGGAAATATTTCCCATCTTACTTGATCTCATTAAACTCCCATCAAGTAAAATATGAAACAATGAAATAGGAATTTCTATAAACTATCATTTTCTTGAATATTTTCTACTGAGGGAACTATCTTATATTAGTTTTTGAGCATGATATGAAACACCGTCATGTTTTGTTTTTATGAAGCATTTTTACTTATATGTGTGGGAAAATACCATTTTGGGCATTTCTGGCAACTTTCCGTTTCGACTTTGCCCAATCTAAAAACACCTTGAAGGAGGTGTTGAGATTGGGTTTTGAACTTTTAATCTTTAATCTGTGACATCAACATATTCAGATCTGACATTATAAGTAGGATGCACCCATGTTTTGTTCATTGTAAGAGGATTATTTTTGCGTTACGAGAAGAGTATGATGGTTTATAGAAGGCCACTTCAAAGCTTGGGAAACACTGCACAGTGTTATTTTCTGTTATATTTATTAGTAACATAATCAGAATTTATTATTTTGGGGAGGCTCTGTGAAATTTTCAACAAAATCCACTGTGATTCATAGAATAACTTCCTCAGGGTAACATTCTCATCAAGGTGTTGGCTAGATGAAATTGGTTTTTAAATACATTAATATTACTTATATTGAATGACTGAAAAATATATTTTATTTTTGGTATTAAAACTGGAACTTATAGAATACCATTCCTGTTCCTTTTTATCCAATCTTTTTAAAGCCTTTCTTTTAGAATTATTAACGGTTTTTAATCCAATATTTTTCAAAATGGTAATTAACTCATGGAATTGTAATTATCTTTGGATAAATATCATTTTAATGAAATGCTAAAAATATAATTTATCATTTTTCTCAGATATAGTAAAGTAACAAACTATGGTCAAATAAAAGGTCACCAATCAATGCTTCACTTGCGTCGGATTGTCACTGGAGTTGAAGCTCGTAAAGTTGAGGAACCGACAGCTAAAATAGTTCATGAAACACATGATGAAGAGCAGAGTGAAGATTCATCAATGAATAAATATAGTCCTCGACAAACTGAAAGTATCGTAAGTAAAAATTTGATATTTGATCCAGTATGTTGCACACATATTTTTTATTGTCTGTCTTTCGTTGGGGCCACATCTCAAAAGTCATTCTGAAACAAACTCAAATCTACACTTGGATGATTATGAACAACAATTTCTTATTGTAACAAAATATTTTTAGGATGATTCCAATCGTGACAATTTTGAATTTCAGGTGACATCGGAATCTGAGGAAACAGATACAAAAACAATAGAGCAGATAGAAAGAGAAAAAGAACTTGATACTTTACCGCATTCAGTGTTTTTGGTAAGTATATTTCGTTTTCATTATATTCTCAGTTTTTCGTTGTGTAAATTAACAATGAGGTATACAATGATCAAGTTATAATATTATTTGAAAATTTTGTGTGTCGAATGGTTTCATCTTATATTTTTCATTTACTTATTCACATTTTGTGTGTTGTTATTCAAAAGTTTCCATAGATTTTCTATTTCATATGTATTTTTGAAGTCGAAAATTTCATCATGAGATTGATGTCCACCATTTTGTACCCTAAATACCCTGGATTTTGCATTCAGATTAAACTGGAATTAAGTATTGGCGGTTCAACATCATTTAGCCGACCTAGTAGTGCAAGTTCAAGATCTAGCAAAAGAAGGGCCATTACGTAAGATTTCATTTCTAGTGTATTTTTGTCTGTTTGAAACTCCTAACATTATACTTAAAATGAACAAATTAGTTTGTATTGCAAATGTGTTATCGCATTACCTAAAAACTCTTATTTCAGTTTCCACAGTTTATGGATTGCTAATGGAACATATCGCCAGGCATGATCCACGTTCAGCCTATCATTGATAAACACACAGAATAGGATAACATTTTCATATTTATCCCACATGCTTAATGATTTGGCTGAATAACGCAGTAAGCCGTGGCGTTTTGTCCTGTTACTGATCCGTGTTGGGCATTGGAATTGTAATCATCACTGTCCAGCACAGGACTGTCCTATGAGGGTGAGGAGTCCAGCAATCTTTTTTCACATAATTGTATCATGACCGTGCAGGAGAGTTAGAGGTGTGATGGCAAGCAAGTATGATCCTTGATTTCGTTGAGCACAATGCGCAAACTATAATTTATACAAACATACCTATATGAAGAGTCATGCAAGCTACTCGTAGCATATTTCTCTGTCATTGGTTTTTACATCTCATATTTATTTATTTATTTATCAGGAGACGAGCATCATTTATTGCCAATCAGGAGTTGGCTAAGAAAGATGAAGCTGAAGCAATCCGTGATCGACGTGGTAAAAGAGTTTCTTTTCCAAACCTTGAAGCTTACTCAGATGATGATTTTGATGATGCTGATGTAAGATCTGGTACAAGAGATGATGTTTCTGAATATGACTCACAGAGTCAAGCAAGCAGGTAGATTTGCTGGAAATTAAGAAATGAGTGCTATTTATTTTAAAAATACTCTAATTGGCAAGGTGTGAATAATATTTGTCTTCCACTTTAGACTCTACTAATACCTTTTTAAATTGCCGCTATGAATCATTTTGTTGAATTGATTTGAATAGCTATGATTGTTATTGGATAATACTTTCATTACCTCAAAACACTATGAAGTTCTTTGCTTATACATGTCATTATAATTTTTGTGAGGTGTCTCATACAAGGTACAAACAAGAATTTAATGATATTTAGTGAGCTATTGTGTTTTGTGAGAGCCCGTTTCTCTTAGGTCTGAGATATAGCCACCTGAAACATGACTTTTAAAATCGTCAAGTTGTGTCTGACTTCAAAAACAAGAAAACAAAAGATAGGATGGTTTGGAAATCTATGGGGAGAAGAAAGCTTATAAGATGCCTTAATAGAATGGAAAACTACAGACCCTTGTCTAATTCTATCGATCTTGGACATGGGAATTTTAAATGAATAATTTTCCAATAGCAAGTGGTCAAGCAATCATTTCTTTATCTATTAATATTTCATTTAAGCATTGATAAAAACAGTAACTAATTTCAGTATATTTATTTTAATGTTCCATTTTTTTTAAAACAGTTCATCTCGTAGAATGTCGAAACAACTTGATGGGAAACCTCGTGTTGTTTTGTCTCCGACAAAAGATGAATTCGAAAGATCAATTCAAGATTTACTCGATACTTTTGAAAGCGTAGTAGCTGGGGTGAGATATCATTATCATAAACATTTTTGTTCTTATTTGTGTCAATTTTTGGGTCATATTATTTTTATTGCAGTGATTGAGGTTAGCAATAAGATAAAATTGATTAATGAATTGTGTGTGATTTTTTCCTAAATATTTGCTGTGCAGATCATTGCTGCGGAATGGCTAAATATCTATTAGATTTCCTCCGCCAATCACAGTAACACATTTTATAAGGAGTTTAAGTTTTTCTCCGAACAAGGCCCTGTATAGGTAGCTACTGCTAGGCAATAAACTACTATTTTTGTACGTATTGCAATCTTTCTAGTTGGCATTGCTTACGCAGTTTATTCCACCCTGGGCAAGGTGATAGGCTTGGGTTTTGAATCATCGATCTTCAACCTGTAATGCTAATATAGTTCGATCCATTGCATGACCATAACCATGAAGCATTTTCAATCCCAATTTGTACTTGTACAATCAAAATACTGGTACTGTTGAAGGCTTTTGTCAGTTTATGCTATGTTAGTGGTCTCTTTCCTTTGGATCAGGTATGCTATTTGAACCATTTATCTGAACTAACCTTTATATGGAAGTTTTATGAGTAAATCTAATTTTCAATTTCAGTTTCAAGCAATGTCTCGTGAACCATCGTTATATGAATTCACAAGAGCACCTGCTTTCGATCTTCGACTTAATATTGACGATGAAGAGGATGCAATGGAAGAAGAAACTAGACGACCATGGCCTGATCTTGATTTATTACTTGGTGGAGATGAAGAATATGTCAACAATGTTGAAATTATGATGAACCATCTTGACAACACTGTGGATTTAGTTGATGAATATTCAAAAAAATATGGAAAGTAAGTTTTTTACATTTAAAATTTTAATCTTGAATCATTTTTGCTTTAGTTTTAATGTTCAATGTGCTATAACCTAATTTATTAACTTTGAATTCCAAGTTTTATGGCTTGCTAATTGTACTATGCTTCAGGTAATCTTTCACTGATTATTGTGTATAGCTTTTACATTATAGGTATTGTGAAATGGTTGAACATTCTCGTGCTGTAGATGTTAATGCATCATTGGAAGAATATGAATGGGGTCCAGATGAATTCTCTGCGATTCTATCTCGTCATACTGATATGCTTTATGATATGAAATTAATGGAACCACGAAGACGTATTGGAATGTTGCATGTTGATATTAAACCATTTTTTCATGCATGTTTGCCATTTCCACAGGTATGGTTTGATTTCTCAGGACTCTTTTGCATATGGCTAGCGCCTGAATATTTTCTCTAGTGTGTTTAACTGCCTAAAGTCCTTCATCATTTCATTTTTGCTAACTATGAATTATGAAATGTGCAAAATTAAAAAATCAACTTCAAGCGAACATAGGCATTTCAAGAAAGTAAATTATTCGTTCATTATTCGAGATTATGATTCTCAAATGTTTGATAAATACCTATTCCATAAAACCATGCTAAACCATAGTTCAAAACTTAAAATCTCGAATATGATTCATTCTCTTCCAATTGACTGATTGCTAGCTATTTCAGTTTTACTTGAATACTCTATATATTTTTTCTTCTTTCACACAATTTTCTCCATAAAAATATTATTGACTTCACCTATTCATCGCTGAATTGAATTACATCTTTCTTTGTGTTAATTTAATAGGGTGTTGTTGACACCGTACATGAACGCCTTCCTGGTATTGCGGTTCATAGAAATGAAGAATTACTTCGAGTCATCAGAGCTGCATGTCGGAAGTTAGATTCTGAACCTGCATCTGTTGAACAATTTGTTGAACACCTGACGTTTCTCGCTCGTCTTGAAACTGAAATGACTACACTGGAAAAAGAGTTTGCTGTTGTTAATCGGTAGTTCTTTTTTGGGTACTCCTGTAATATGTGCACCAAGATGGCGGACACCATAATGTAGCATGTGTACCAGGTTAGGGTTAGGCCATAATTTCATGTACAAATACTATGGGAGTCATTCGGCTAGTCCCCGAACTTATGATAGAACTGAAATAAAGAAAATTATGGCCTAACCCTAACCTGATACACATACTACGTTCTGGTTTCCGCCATCTTGGTTCACATACTTGATGAGTACCAATTGTTTAGTATAACTATAAACTAGCAGAGTTCTTTGGTTTAATTCTGTATATGCAAAGTTTATGAATTCCCGAAAGTTTTCTTCCACAAAACCAAAACCATGTACTGGATTGAAGTTTGGGATTCGGAAATAATGTATCAATCCTATTTATTACACTATACAAATATTTTACCCATCACGAGTGACTAAAAGTGACCATCATAGAGCATTATTGTGAAAGATTAGTTTCGATTAATTTTTTTTTGATTTAACCAAATGTTTAAAATTGCACCCAATGGCATATAAATTTAAAAGTTAAATTTGGGGTAAAATCCCAGAGCCAAGTCACAGAAAAGTTGAAAAAATTAAAAGCTATAGCCCGCTAACAATGTCTTCCGTCATTAAGTAACGTAAATCTGATTGACAAAATTGATTGATTCATTAGTTTGGAGAAAAGTAATTTTTCACAATAATTATCACCCTTACCAGAACAACTAGCTGACATTTTTGAAATATGATTCACTGGTCCATTTTGTGTCCAAAAAATAGAGATAGAAATTTAGTTTCACACAATATCGGACATAACTTTGTATTTTTCAGGTAAATTCATATAAATTTATAATATTTTATTACTCTTCTTCATTTAGATTGTTTGCTATAATGCGACAATATTCTGTAGAACTTGATCCTGAAGACACAGCACTTTATCAAACATTGGTACCAACTTTTCAACATCTTAAGTCTACTGTTTTGTTCTGTCAAGCAAGAAAAGATGAAAATATTCTGAGATTCAGTACTGATCTTGATCAGCACATACATGATCTCAGATATCAGTTGTTTGAAATTAAGAATAAAGTAAGCAAACGCTTTATTGCATAAAGATAACATTGCATGGAAATTGAATAACAACCAATGTGTCAATTTCAATAGAAAGCATGATCTTTATGGTGTTTTAACACTCGTGATTTATACAAGGCTTCCTCCCCATAAGTAATCAATAATACACAGATTAGTATCTTGTATGTTCTGCAAGGCATATCCTATTTGATTGCACCGTGGGGGTGGTGTGCATGGATTTTGAAGCTGAGGTGTCCAATCTTCAACAACAGCATAGGCCAATAAACAAAACAGCGCTAATGTAGGAAGGATTTTTCATATATATCCTGGGTGAGAAGAAAACCAATGAAACATCTCAAATAAAATATGGCATACCATGGCAATTCCTCTGGTTCCCGGTTCATGTCAAGTATGAGAATGCTTGGCAAGTTATTTGTTTCAGATGCATGGACTTTATGTTGATCCTGTTAGTCGATTTTAAAAACTTGTTCATGTTCAACGCCATTGCCTGATTACCCTTCGTGGGATCACAGGTTCGAATCCCATGCGGGGATGATTATGTGCGAGAGGATTACTGAACACCTTGCCGCTGTAGGGTGGTTCATGTAACAGCTGGTCGGTTACGGCTTCCTCCACCATCAAGTCTATGCTTTCGAAAACAAATAACTGGCTAACTAATCCCATACCCGACCTGGACTGGTAACCGGATGAGAGCCGTGGTTCGCCGTATGATTAAGCCGTCTTATCGACTTTTCTCTCTCTCGGGATAAATATGAAAATCCTATCCTATTTTCTTTTGCAGACTAACTAACACATTTGCCTCACACAGAACTACTTTTGTGTTCATCAATAATTCTGTGGTTTGGTACACCATGGGGAGCCTACACCTTGGACTGTTAGATCAATATGCTTACAATGAGAAAACTATTTCAGGTTGCTTCACCACAGCTTCTGAATGCTGACCTTCTGTCTGTTGTTGCCTTGGAAACTTTGAAATTATTGATGGAAGAAGTTGCAAATTTGACCTTGAAAGCAAAGAGTTATGCAAATTATCAGGATAGATTTGGTTCATCATATTCGCATAAAGGAAAAAATATGTACTCTGTGTATGTATACTTTTAGTATTGATATTTTGGAGTGGTCATGCCATAAATGGAAATTAGGAAATATATTGTGTCACGAATCTGCAGCATGTGCTAGCGATTGGATCTCAAGTAGACTTGCTGTCGGTATCTAACATTCTATGCTACATTAAAGCCGATTGGGTATCCTATCCCCAACTGGAAAAATTTCAGCTATTTCAAATCTTTAAGTCTTGCTGAATTTATACCAATGCTTATTTTGAATGAAGCTGTGAATGCATTTCAAAGAATACATATCAGTAAATAAAATACCTGCATAAAATGTATGTAGAAGATTAAACATTTCCCCACTCTAGTTATTATTTTGTCATTTTCCTTAAATAAATGTTCATCTTTTTTAACCATTTATTTTTCTGCTTTAGCGAAGCATTATTGGCTGATACATCAATGAGTAGTGTGAGTGCTCAGCAAGTACAAGCTGAATTATCTGAAGTTGAAAGAGATTTAACTCTGAGAAAATTACTCTGGGAATCTCAAGATGAGTGGGCTAGACTTCTAGATGAGTGGAAAGTATGTTTGATTTTTTAGGCATGAAATTGTTTTTGACGCAATGCTTCATTCACATGGGATCAACTAATGGTCAGAAGGGAGAGATAAGCTGGTTAAGAGGGGTATAGGATAAATATTTTGTGATTAGCCTATATACATCAATTAAATCCAATAAGAAAAGTAGCCCTACATTTATCGAAATTATGAAATTGCAACTTGGAGGAAATAAGTTTTTTTACTTGCTACTTTGTTTTGCTCATTTGCTCATGGTTGAACTAACTGATCCTTCACTGTATTTGGTTTAAAATATAGGAGCATTCTTAAACTCTAACTTCGATTAGTCTGCATCACTTTTAGCTTTATGCAATATTTGTAATTCCAACCTACCCGTTGTGAACTACTATCATGCGTTTTCTGCTTTCAGTTATAGGTTTTTAATTAACAGTTAAATTTACAATGAGCCTATCAACTTTTCTAAATGTCTAGCAGACTTTAGTCAAACTAATCAGCTTTGTTAATAGCCTACGCTTGGATAATTTGTTTTTTTGTTTTTCAGTCGACACCATTTCGCAAGTTGAATGTGGATTCCTTGCAGAAGAATGTGAATCGTTTCACTCAAAGTGTATTCATGTTGGAAAAAGGTCTTCCACATAATGAGATACTTCCCAAGTAAATCATTCTATATTTGCACTTGCATTTATTATCGGAATGGCTTATGATTTTATATTTGTGATCAGTTTTATCGTCTTCTCTTTCTTATCGTCTTATTTTTCAATTGACACAATATTTCGAAATCTATGTTCAAAATTGTTAAGAGCATGTTGATAAAAATATCAAGATCCCCCAAATGTCAAATTTTGGTTCATCTCAAAGTTAAGCTTGCATAAAAGAGAAACCATTTTTTTTAAATTTCAATATCAATACGAAAACAGAACAAACATAAATTTTCTCCATTTATTATGTAATTTTGCATTGCAATTATTATTGATTTGGAATATTCTAAAACGGCTCTTCTTTTGTATTGAAATCATCAATGTGCCAAATAATATGGAGCTTATCATGATTTTAATACAAATATGGGGTGTCTCAAAAATGTCATGTCCTACTTTTGTCCCCTCTGTCCCATACTTTTCCCAATTGTATGAATCTCACTTCATATGAATATTCTAGTATTAGTCAAAGAATTATATCTTTGTTAACCCAGAACATAGCACGAATTCCTTCCTTGTTATGTGATTACATTAACCATTTGTCCATAATATTTATATATCCTACCCAAATTTAGAACAGTGGAATAAGTGGGGCAAGTGTTCTAAAAAGGACAACATTCTTTTAAAAAGCTACTCCCAATATTGTATTTTCTGTAAAAAAAAATTTAATTTAAGAGAGAATTACTGAATTCAATTTCTGATAGCATACACCTGAATTCTTTTTGCATCTTCAATTAAATATTCATTCTATTATAATTCAGAGTCAAGCAATCTGTATTTGACTTCAAACTTGGTGTTCCTGTGATTACTGCATTACATAATCCTTGTCTCAAGCAAAGACATTGGGATCAGATTCAATATGCAGTTGGAAGATCCATTATCAGAAATGCAGATTTTACTCTGGGAAACTTCTTGGAACTCAGAGTAAGTAATATTTTATTTCTAAAAGGGTCCATAGTGCTTAGAGATCAATTCTGTAACTTCCAACCAAATTCTTTGAAAATTTTCTTTTGTAATATATATGATACAAAATGTATTGCTAATATACCATGTGAATTTTTTTTGAATGTGCATGATAATAATCCCACTATCAAGATCATTCCCTTTATATCAGTGGTTCTCAAACGGTGGGGCTAGCCCGGTAAGGGGGCCTAGACAATATTTTGAGGAGACGTGAAGCTAACTGAAAATAATAAAAAAAGTTAGATTAGATCTTTTGTATATTTACTTTTCTTCATTGTTTAGAGATTGCAGAGAGCTGTTTTGCTTGTATATTTATTATCCTTAGCTTGGAGCATGTTGGGAGTTAAACTTCATGTTGTTAGTTCGCAGATTCTAGAACCCTCCATACAATCGTCAACATGTTTACAACCTTGAATCTTAGGACTTCATTGTTAAGTAATGTGCATTATCCACTACAGAACCTTGAATTAAGCTGAATCTTGTCAGCTAAAAAAACTGCACTAGTAAAAATAACAACAAATTTTGCTTGTTTTTAAAACTTATCATGTATTTCATTATTTATATATTTTTAACATGTTTTCTGAATAAAACGTACTCTCGTCCTACTATCTGTTTTTTGTAACTTATGTTAACTACCGGTAGTTATTTTTGGGGTGGCACACGAGACTTGACAAATTCTAAAAAAGGGGCGTGGCTCAAAAAGTTAGAGATTCACTGCTTTAGATTAACGTTTTTCTATTGTGCTTTTTGTGTTTTTAGAGGGATTCATTTCCAAAATAGAGTAAACAAACTAAACTATGAGAAAAGTAACTATTGTATTTCCTGGCGAATATGTCTACCCGGTAAATGAGTCGAGGCCCGTTCTTATGCCTGGAAAAATGGGGTTTTGCATATAACCTGCCAATAAATCGGGTAGTAAAATCGCGTCAACATCGGAAACTCAAATTACCATGCAATGCTATTTGACAGTTTTGAGCAGTTGCCGCGTTTGCGCATTATTTAAAATACCTTATAATGACGTTTTCTTGTAGCGTAATATTCAATTCATAATAACTACGAGAATTTAAACTGTCTTTAAATTTTAATCTAATTGTGTTCAAATTGCGATTGCGGCCACCATAAAAGAACATTACCTAATACATAATAAGGCGACACAGAAAAAAATCAGGCCAAAAATTTGGATCTAGAAAAGCGACTTATTTGCCAGGAAATACGGTATGTCTGTGGTGGTTCTATTTTGTTTTGTTGAATTTACCATTTTAGATTGACACATTGCATTCCATTCTTCTTCCAGATTTTCCAACATCGTGATTTAATTTCTGAAATCTCAACCCAAGCATCTAATGAATCAACATTAGAAAATATGCTTTCAAAATTGATTGACTTATGGCATCACACTGATTTCAAGTAAGATTCAAGTTATATTTTAGTTTAATGACAATCTTTCTTACTAACGACTAATTAACTACAATCAATGTGATATTTTATTTGTATAGATGGGATAGGCTTTTCATTTTTATCCTTGAGGAGCTTGTAATCTGATGTAGGCCTACTCATATTTTTTCCATACCGCTTCCAGTTCAGGTTTGGCATAAAAATATCTAATGACACGTGTTACCTAATATTTCATACTACTGCAACTACTTTTCAGAATAGCTCATCAACGTATGTAATAATAGTATAGCTGCCACATATGAATTAGAAGCAGTGAACTGAAAAATTTTGCTGACCTAAATTTTAACTTGGTGCAATTTAAACTTTTTTTAAGAAATTTCAGTTCCACAACTCTTCCTCAGTTATAAATATTATTACTTTTCAGGCTTGTCTCACATCAGTCTGGCGCACACACTGTCATGATTATCACTGCAGCTGATGATGTCATAACATTACTCGAGGAAAGTCAAGTTACCATAAGTACAATTAAAGGTTCAAGATATGTCACTCCTATAAAGGTAAACTCATGAAAATAACTTGATCACCATTGACTATAGTGGTGCCTGTTTTCTTATTTTACTTGATTGGATTTAGACTCAAGTTGAAGATTGGGACAGGCGTCTTGGATTGTTTTCCCATACTCTTGATGAATGGATGCAATGTCAACGTAATTGGTTGTATCTTGAAGCAATCTTTACAACTGCTGATATTCAAAGACAATTACAAAGTGAATCTCAACTATTTAATCAGGTGAGTGGTATCTAAATATTCCAATTTGTTTTACAATTTAGTCAGATATTGAGTTTGGATCTTTCTTCATCTGCTGTTCAGTGTTTTTTTTGCGATAATGAGGTTGCCCAAATTTTCCCAAAAATGTGTCTCCTTAATTTCAAAGTGAGTGCACATGACCTCGCTTTGAGCAAATCTTCTTAGAAAGCTTTTAGAAAGTCTCTTTTTCACTAAACTGCTTATTTCATTGTGTAAGTATTCATATTCAACACCTGTTTGGGGTTGTCATGTACCAGAAATTGTAGTAGGCTACTCTTCATCATCACAATATTGATGCCACAGTTGGTCCTTTATCTAACCATTCTTGAACATATAACTACTTTGGACTAATCCCATTTTAACAGCTTTCTAATGTAATGGAAAATACCGTCTTATACATGTAATAATAAGCATGGTAAATGTAGAAGCCAATGTTCTTTAATAACATTCTCTACCGTTAGAGATTGGAGAAAAAAAATTAATCCTGATTTTGCCTCAGTTGATGCAAGAACTTCTCACATTCTCGATTTTCCTAAGCATTCTACCAGTAAAGATAATAGGAAATGATGAAAGTTACAGCTAGGTGATTTTAAGGGCATTTAATTTTTAGGACAATCATCATTATCGATTGAACAAAAAATTAATCTTGGAACTGTATCAGGGATTGCAAAAAATCACGAATGTCAGTTTTTACTCAATATTAATTTTAATTTTCTTTATTTCTGATATTAGGTTGATCGTTCGTGGAAGGAATTAATGCGAAGAGTTGAAGATCATCCTAATGCATTACGAGCTGCAACTGCTCCCGGTGTTTTCGAAACATTGCAATCTAGCAACTCGCATTTGGAAAAAATACATAAAAGCCTTGAGGTGAGGAGAAGCTATTGGTTTAAAACTTTATGTAGTTGTAAAACTTCAATGAAATAAATTTAATTTCCATGAGATTTCATTCGATTATGCTGAATTCAATGTTAATGTAGCTGATGTAAATAAAGTTATGTCAAGTTATGAACTCTTTTGAACTTTTTGAAAGCTTTTTTTTGAACTACCGTAACTCTGTTAAATCTATATTAATAAACCTGCTAAATGTAATCCGAATTATAATATTTCATACAATATTCAAATATCATAAAAATATCTGCGGAAAATATTGCATTGAAATATTCAATTTATTCTCTGTGTTTCCATTTATTACATTATTACAAATTTTGGTCATATTTTTATCTAATCTATAATTATGTTATAATTCTATTTTTTTTTATTAAATATATTTTTTAATATCAACTCATTCTTTTCAATGCTATTGGGGTACTTAAGTATAAATAATTGCTCCCTATATTGAATTCACATTCAACATTTTGATTATAATCTTGTAAAGTTTAATTTTTTCGTTCTTGTTACAGGATTACTTGGAAATGAAGCGTCTTTCCTTTCCTCGTTTCTACTTTCTCAGTAACGATGAACTTCTTGATGTTCTTGCGCAAGGTCGAACTCCATCAGCCATTCAACCTCATCTTGGCAAATGTTTTGCCAACATAAGAAGACTTGATATTCGACAAAGTGCAAAATCTGGTGAAGGTCTGTTACTAATGCAACAACTCCTCTGTTGTTCGTTCAATGATTTCTAGACAGAAGGAGAAGAAGTTGTATGCCGAATGCCGAAGTGAGTGTTTGTTGAATTGTAGGTTAGTATGGAATACTTTTATGGAAGTTTACTATCTATCTGTATATATAGATCACGCAGCCTCTTCGGTATTTCAGTTCGGTCCCATGATAGATATTAGACCACCTTTTACATCTAGTGAAAGTGCGTCAAACTTTAATTCTGGCAGATTCTTTTGAACAAAATGATGGCCTCATGGTTTGTGTGTAAGAAAGCAAAACTGAGTCAGAAATCCCAATTTCAAGCTTTGTGGATTATAGTGTGTGTACATAGATAGAGCTTTATTTGCATCAAAGTGGAAAATGCCTCGTTTTTAAAAAATAGAATAATGGGTAGCTTCTATTCTATGTACTAGTCTGAAAAGTGTTTTAGATGACAAGTTATATTCATTAAATTTTACTTGGAAGAGTAAAGTTAGAAGCCAGGCTGCTTCGTTGAATATACTGAAACTGACTGAGAAAATCTTATGTGAAACATTTGCTGTTTCTTGTTTTCATAATTGTATGCTATTTTACGCAGTTATTATGACATCTACACGGCCATAGTACCTGGAACAGTATATAACAAACTATCTTATTAGCTTGAACCATTAATAACCTGACAATATGAGTATGGGGGGTCTTAACTCATGAGCTGATGAAGATAATGTAGTTGAATGCAAATTTAGTCATGTGATAAATTTGTTGTTTCGAAATTTCAGAAAATTCTATCTCTTACCAGATTTTCATTGGAATCATAGAAATTGTTAATGCTAAAGTCACTAGAAGTTTACTCTTTCAATTTCAGGAATGTACGTGCAAGAGGTCCAGTTGAGCAATGGCTCCAAAATGTTGAGACAGCAATGTATGATACTGTGAAAAAACATTTGAAAAGTGGATTATTAACTTGGTCTGCTGAATTATCTGCTCTCAATGAATGGGTTCTTCAGCATCCTGGACAAGTTGTATTGACTGTGGTAAGATCAATCGCACATAAAAAATAGAAATGATTAGAAATGTCAATTGTTCATAATTTGAGTTCACATACGGTAGTTGAAATCCATGTTTTGGAACAAGCATATCTTGACGCATGTTTTAGTGCACTGTGGAAAATAGCTTATAGCAATAGGAATAAATCGGGTTGCCATTTTTTAAGGAGTTACTTGATCTGACAGTTTATTACACATATTGAATGTCTTATCAAGTGTTTTCGATATGAAAAATTATCTTACTTTTGGCTACATGAATTTCTAACATATTCGTTTTTAAATTTTTAAATGTGCTCTCATATGAACATGCCTTCACTATTATTGATTATTGAATAATTTATGCTTATCCTGTTGAGCAATCAATGTCCAACACCTTACCAGATGTTCAACGAGTAGCGTTTCTATTTTCTCGCACTTCAAATTTACAACAACTGATTAGGTATGTACTGGACTGCAATTCTTACGAATTGAATTCTAATATTATCAATCAATGTTTTCTAACAGGCTCAAATAATGTTCAACAAGAGTGTTGTATCTGCTTTAAACTCAGATGATTGTCAGAAGAATATGACTGATATTTACTATGGATTCCTTGATTCTTTGGAAGTTTTATCAGGTATCATCATTTGATTTTGCCTACAATAGGCAATGAGATATCAACACAGTATTCAATCAAATCTTATCATATTTTTCAATCACACTGTATAATATCAAGATCACAATTTTAAATATTTTAAATTTTTATTGTTCAATTTTAAATTGAAAATGAAAATGAATTTCAAAAAAGATTAATTTGTAAAAATTCACATGCTGTTTATTGGGAATTCTCTAGTTGTAATTGCATTAAATAGTTCTAGCATGTGATACAAACTATTTAATGACTCATAGATCAAACAGAATTGCAAATTGCTGCTATAAGAAGAGATGTTTACCAAGAGTTTGACTAATAAAAATTCTATTCTTTGTGAAATTCAATATTTTAACCTGAACTTGTCAAGTTACCGAGTTAAAAATTTCCTATAATATGACCAGGTCAATTGATCTCATTATTAAAAAATCAAAGGTCATAATGAATTGTAAAACAGATTCATGATTTGAATATGAGCATCTATAATACTATCAAATCTCTGTAATTGCACTTATCTTCTTTTTTTAGGATTAGTCTCTGAGCAACAGATTCCTCCACATCAGTATCAGATGATGGAGGCACTCATCATTATTTATGTTCATTCTCGTGATATCATCAAACAAATGATTCACGATGAAGTTTCTAGAGTTGATGATTTTGAATGGAAAAGGTAAAAGTATAATATGGAAATTTTGCTCAACTTTTACTTTTTGCGATAACAAACGATAATTATTTAAATCTTTTTTTTGCATATTTTATTAATTAAGAGTTCCAATCAGATTGCCAATATAACCTTCACCTCGTATTTACCCTTGATAACCGGTAGTTTATTTATTAGATTGTAATATTTATTCTAGTATATTATTTGTTTTCCTATGCAAAAATGATTTTCAATCTACTGCATCACTGATAATTGTGGGCGTTAATGCAATCAGGATAACTGATTATACTGCTTTATTGGGGGCAAAGGTAAACAAACCCTCATAAAATATTTTTTATTTCAAGAAAAAAAATTGTTCTTTTGTTCCAACAAAATGCCTAAAAGTCTATTTGTTTCAAATTTCAGACAACTTCGTTATGAATGGCAAGAAGCTACAAGTTCATGTCATTTATTACAAGCAGATGCAAAATTTCATTATGGTTATGAATATCTTGGTTGTGCACCAAGACTTGTTATTACGCCTTTAACTGATCGATGTTTTCTAACATTGACTGGGGCCCTCAGTCTCCATCTTGGGGGATCACCCGCTGGCCCAGCAGGAACTGGAAAATCAGAATCAGTAAAAGACCTCGCAAAGGTAATTTTGTTTTATACTGTTTGTTGATAATCAAGATAATGGGATAAATTTTTGTTAGTATCAGAGAAGGAGATTTCAGGTATGCACTGAGATTGTAAACACAGGACAGCCTTTTTTCTAAAATATCGATGGGTATATTTCTACAACTTAAATGCGCACTTGTTTAATAACATTCAATAGTCATTCTCAAAATGCTGTTGAATTTTTAGTATTCATTAATTATCTAAAAATCGATTAGCCATTATCAGTCATAGTTACAGTATTATAAAACAAAAAAAGTAATATAACTTTGTGTTATTACTGCACAATGAATTTCAAAACTTCACAGAATATTTCAAAATTTTCAGTTTTGCTAATCAATTCAGAAGATCATTTGTTGACAACTCCAATATTACAATAGTTTATATGGAATGAACCTCAATAAGACCATTTGTTCAGTACACATTATTTTACCTCATTTTTAAATTTCTGTACATTCACTCTTAACAAGTCTGTGTACAAACTCCACTGACATTTACTTTACTCTCTAGCATTGTTTTCCTAATCGCTTACCCTATAAAAGGTGGGCATGCATTTGAACTTGAGATATTTAACCTCTCATCCCAGCATAATCAGGTCCAGCGCTGCAACTGCTTGTTGTTTTATTCCCTCTGGTTGTAAATAGAATACTGCAATTACATTTCCTGTTATTTTCAATTTATTGCACTACAACCTTCTAGAGCTATGCTATACACCATTTGTAATTACTTATCGATCTTAAGATCGGTAAGTATATTGATAGGTATTTGTATGTATGTCTGTGTATTAGATGCTCGCGATATCTCACGAAAGCGAGGTTGAATCTGCTCCAAATTTTGCATGTGCATTTATCATAGCTCGGATCAGAAGACTATTGATTTTGGATGGATTATGTCTTATAATTAGCGAGTTATGAATTAATTAGTGATGGGACAGACGGTGTCACTATGGAGTAAGACCACTGTTTTGGGGGATCTCCTAACCTTCGATCGATAAGTCTTCGGTTTCTAACCGATATTCTAGTTTAAATTTTGCTGATTCAAGATTGCTTGGAAAGGTTGTGGTCAGGAATCACTGACTGTAATTTTTTGATTTAGTCATGTTTTAAATAGATATTATATTTATTTACAGGTGCTGGGTAAACAATGTGTTGTCTTCAATTGTTCAGAAGGATTGGATTACAAGGTTCGATACTTTAATAATTAAATATTTAATATTAAACAAGAAGTATTGAAGTTGTTGTATATTTTGAGTTATTGAAATACTGTTAAAAGTCTCACATCATTTTTTAATATCTAACATTGTTATGAATTTTACTGTTTTTAAAAACTGTTATTTTTCATGATATTGTCACATTGATTTGTACGTTAACATAACAAATAAAAATTTAGACATTATTCTCATTTAACCATGAAACAATTTTCAGATGATGGGACAGTTTTTCAGTGGTTTGGCACAATCTGGTTCATGGTGTTGCTTTGATGAATTCAACAGAATCGATGTTGAAGTGTTGAGTGTTATTGCTTCACAAGTTCACACTATAAAATCTGCAAAGGATGCCGAAGCACTGAGGTTTGTAAAGAATCCATGTAATAGTTACTCCTTTATTAGCAGGAATAGGGCAGGGGGAGATAACAGTAAACTGTTTTACCCTTAAAAAGAGTTGTAATGTAATGAAAATTTCATCATTCAAATATATAATTGAGAATATATATAGAACTTGATAGTTGATAACATCCAGTAAAAATATCTATTTTGAGAACTAGTATAATCGAAATTACATTTTTTTTCTGTAAAGTTTATCCATCCATTGTATTGAATCATGATTTAACCCAAATTTATTATATGCATCTTGATATTATGAGGAAAACAATTTGGATTTTTCAAAAGTTCTAGGAAATTTTATTACAAAATTTTACAATTATATCATGATAAACTATTTGAAATGTTCATCAATATATATAACAAATCTTGGCTGCTCTTCAAGCTCAGTTCACCCCACCTTCGGCAGACAAGATATATTTGCAATTTGTGTGCATCAAGGCCCAATCTTTCTCAAGATTTCCTACAACTATCAGTCCAACGGGTTTGGGATAATTGATAATTCATTTAGCACATGCTTGAGAGTTTTATCGACTAATTTTGTTACAAAAACAAAACAAAGAAAGCGATCTTATGAACATAATTAAATTTAAAAGTTGTTTATTTATTTTTCAGATTCATGTTTGAAGGTCGTGAAATACGACTTAATCACTCCTGTGGATTCTTCATCACTATGAATCCTGGTTATAGAGGAAGAGTTGAATTACCTGACAACTTGAAATCACTCTTCAGACCAGTAGCTATGATGGTGCCAGATTATGCTTTGATTGCAGAAATTATTCTTTATTCTGAAGGATTTCATGAAGCCAAAGTTTTGTCACGTAAAATTGTTAACCTGTATCATCTGGCAAGCAAGCAATTATCTCAACAGGTAGGTGGTACGAATGTCTCTTTTAAAATAATAACATGAGTAAATGATTTATCCATATCCAAAATTGATAAATTTCTTTGCTTTTGAGCTCTTTGTATGAATTAAAACTGTTAAAAAATCATCAGTCAATGTTTAATAGTTATGGCTGTCAATCTGGTGATATTTGGTGAGCTAATATTGTTTTGAAGTTCTTTTCAGTTGCTTTGAAAAATCATTCTTAAAATAGATATCAATCTTTTAGTAAATTGCTATTTCTTCAACAGACTACAAGAAATTGTCATCCATTAGATGAATATAATAATTTTCTCAACTTTGCATGTCAAACATCAATAATTAACTTACATTGGATAATATTCTAGGCAATGTAATAAAGTGTTGTTGCGTCCTTGCGTGTATTCCATATACAGCTTACTGGATTATATTGAACCAAGTTGATTGAATTCCGCTGCTCACAAATGAATTGGAACAATCATATTTTGTTCTAGTCTAACATAAGCTATTTAGTGTTCCAAACAAAATAGGAGATGAATTAATCAATGCATTAGGGTTTTAACATAAGGAATCTCTAAAAACAAAACATTTGCAACTAATCATCATTGCAACTACAAAAGAGCAAAAGTTCTATCAGGTTTTCGTTAAAGCATAATATATATACCTGATGAAACTAGACTATTACCAACTGATATCTTGGTAAAACTTCTGTTGCCCAGAATAAGATTTTGCTTTTTTATTGCTATGAACTCTTGACTTCAACTGATTCAAGCATTGTTATGAGACAGATCATAAATAGATCCTGCAAAACAAGAAACATGGAACGAAGGATAGGCAGTTCCTCGAATGCCTGCGCAACATATTACTGTTTTTTCATGTTTGCTACCCTTCTAATTTCTACAGGATCATTATGACTTTGGTATGAGAGCAATAAAATCAGTGTTGATCATGGCTGGACAGAAGAAAAGAATTGTAGCTTTCAACAGAAATTTAAGCAGAATAGAAGATGATGAAAGTATATCGTCTGAAATTGTAAGTTTGAGTTAAATAAGACTTATGTTTTAGATGTTTTTTCATTTAATAATTCTTTTCGTTTATGACTATCATTTGAATATTGGATTTTAAACAGTACTGTTTATACTGTTTTTAACTTATTACCCATAAAAAGCATAACTTGTAACAACATTTGCATCACCATCTATGCTTGTTTATAGGTTGCACTATTGAGTTGTATTTAACGAACTTCAATTAGTATCTAACATGCCATTATCTTCATATTTGAGAATTCTGAATTATAAATAAATGAAGGCCAATTCTATAATTATTCGATGTAAATTTATCAGTTCTCTGCAATGTAACAGAATGTAGTTTGTCATAAATCAAAATTTTGATGCAAACATACCCGAATTCTCTGCAAAAGTTGATAACATGATTTTTTCAAAATAATCTATTTTGAAATAGCTTGACCTTCAAGTCTTGTTTAAACCAATATTTTTCTTACCTGTATTCCCAGGAATATTTTTTTTTTTTTTGTAATTTGATTAAAACAGGGTCTTCATCCCCAAATAAAAATGGAAAGAGTACTAATAGAGGAGTTGAATGCAACGCTGATGCACCCCGAACTATATTCATATATGTTAGTAGATAGTAGGGTAGGCTATGCTTGCTGATTGGCAGTATACACCTTGTGCAGTTACCCTACAAATTAAATCTGATATCTGTATGGTAGCCCAATAGCTAGTCCCCTTCTCGAGAAGCCATTAAAATGGCATTTGTGGTAACCATATATATCCATCTTCATTCCTATTTATGTACATACAGAGAGCTGATGAAGAGGAAGCAAGAAAAAAGAAAATATCGGAGCAGGAATCCTATATATTGATTCATGCTTTACGTGATGCAAATCTACCTAAATTTTTAGCAGAAGACGTTCCGTTATTTGAAAGCATTATGTTCGATTTATTCCCAGGTGTGGAACCTCCGAGCATGGATAATAAACTGCTTGAGGTAATCTTCTTAAAAAATTCTCAGTAATATGTATAATATGAATGTGCATTTCTATTCCTACTTTCTCTTAATTATCATATTTGGATATAGTGCCTATTGTAGTATTAATATATTCAATATTATGTTTACAAAGTGGATTGCTGATTTATAATAATATTATATATTATATCTATTTCAAAATTTAAGTAGTTTAAAATATCCCTTATTAAACTAATTCCAAATTACTACTAAATCAGAAGACTGACCATATATGTAGGTAAAATTTTTTTTTGATATCTTAATATTTGTTTTCAATATTTTAATCGTATTACTCCCGTAAAATGGCCTATCGGTATGTATACCCTGCAATTTTTTGGTAACATATTGTTTGTAACATGACCATTACATGTAAAAGCTATATTATTTTATGAATGCTGATTTACTATTATTTTATACTGATGATACATGTTCATGTAAATGGCAAAAAATTGTTCTATTGTTTTATGCTACAAAATGTGTCAATTCAAAATTTGCTTTTGTATTATTACTATTATACATTTATCATATTGTAGCAAGCCATTGACAATGTGGTTGGTGAATTAGGAACCGAGAAATGGCCAAATCAAATCCAGAAAGTTATACAATTGCATAGTCAATTACTTGTTCGACATGGTGTGATGCTTGTTGGACCGTCAGGAGGTGGAAAAACTACAGTTCGAAACATATTACAAAAAGCTCTGGGTATATTACCGACACTAGCTCCAGGATACCATGTCAGTGATGAGGTGGGTTTTATGTTTCTGGTATTTATTCATATTCAAATGTTGATTATGTTTCTGAATTAACTTAAGTATTCCAAATTATTCATTAAGTAAGTATTGATGATTACCACTGCTACATTTTTTATACAACATATTTATATGCACTGCACCAGGATCCACTGGCTAGGTTAGGAGCTAATCCAGTTTGACATTGCCTATTGAATTTTATACATTCTGGGTACAGTTCTAAAAATGGGTGGTTGAATCGACATTTTGAGCTACAACGTCATCATAGTTTATTTTAATGATATAACTGCCGGCCCTACTTTTATGGTCAATTCAATATTACTATTTTGCGATTAGTCTATTCCATGATGTGGATTTGTCTTAGTGTAAAACTGTAGTAATATTCTATATATTTTTAGGGTTTGTAGTTGTACACATCTTCGCTTCAAAGGAAGCATTAGAGCAAGCAGTCATTGATTTGTAGAGTGCGATTATATACTTGGACAATTGAGTACCTCACTATTTATGTCATTGACATTATGGTCGATTAAAGCTTGGAAAAAAGTTTAGTTTAGGACAATTTGCTTGTAGTGTTACTCAAATCTTCCATGTACTATATTCATGATCTTTTCTTGAAAATTCAGAGACAATGCATAGTGATATTATTTTCAGTTTTACTCGTTAATTACTTCCAATTGAAGTGTTTTGGAAAGTGTTGTTTCCTCTTATTTTTCCAAGTTACACTTTTTTTAACTTTAGAAAAACACTCGACGAAAACGTAACATTGAAAGTTATTGTCTCAATCCAAAATGCATGCAACTAGGAGAATTATATGGACAAACTGATCCTAATACATTGGAATGGTCAGATGGACTTCTTGCACATTTTGTCAGAAAGTGAGTTTGAAAAATTTACAAATTGAAATTATCTTTGGATGATCTTGTTTAGAAGAAAATAGGAATATAGATATATGTTCATAACACACGACAAATTTATTCATATTATTATGATTTTTTGCATTATTGCTTATGCAGGATTGCTAAGGAAATGTCAGGAAATAAGGAATCAGAAGAAAGACCTCCAACATCTGTATCATTCCACGAACATGCAGTGAGTTAACAGTGAGATAAAATTTCACAAAGTGGATTACATTTCACACTGTTTTATTCAATTTCTTGTCACTCCGGTTTATTGATATAACATCACTTTTGTAGATACACATATCACTCCAAAGCGTAGCTCGAAATTCTTCATATGTTTCTTAAATACACATTTTGCCACATGTCACTTCAGCAAGCTTCTTTTTATCCAGGAGACTTCACTTAAGCATTGAGTAATTTCTTATTATTGTATTTTACAGACCATTGGGCGCACTTTAAAATTTTTTTTTTCAAAAATCAATCGTGTGCCTTATAAGCCGACGCGCCTAATGTATGGATCAGGTAGTGCTTTAGGCTTTATGTCTGCAGTTGAAACCAGTACCGGTTGCATCTTATGGTCCGGTGCGCCTTATGTACGAATAAAAACCCAATCTAAGCAATTTATTGACAATGCGTTTTTAACTCGGTGCACCTTATTGTTTATAAAATACTTGACTTTCAAAATGAGAGCATTTTTTACTCTTGAATTCACAAATACGGAAAAAATATTTTAGTTTATTTTGGGACATATGATTTGGTCATCTGTTTCCCCTCTCATAAAAAAATGAAAATTTTATCCTATCCTATTTTTTATTTGGGGGGGCTCTACTACACACATCCAAGCCCTATTTTTCTTTGCATGAGTATCTATCACTTGCATGATGTATTTGCATGTTTCTTCATTTTCATCGTTATAGGCAAGTCCAAGTGATGCAAGTCGTGCAAGTTCTGCTACTCACAGTTCTGTTATAACTGAACCACCAAAACCACCAAGGTTAGAAAACTTTATATAAACCTGGAACCCCTCACTTTGCATGTGAACATCAATTTTTAAAATATTAAAATATGCTAAAGTTATGTTTATTTAATAATGTTTAGTTTTTTATAACTTTTTTATAACATTTTTTCTTTTTTAAAAGTTTTATACATCTGCTCTTAAGAAGTATGAGACGAATAAGCAAAGATACCTGTTTGTCAAAAAGATCTTAGCTTTGACAAGTTATAGCCAGAACCTTATGTCACTGATATGTGATGCAAAGTATAGTCTTGATATTGTGTTTTAATAAATGGTTATAAATATAGTTACCAGTTAAAATAATACCAGTTCACATTTAATGCATGTACTGTTGAATTCTTACTCTTTGAAATTACTAATGAGAAATCAAAGATGTATTCCATTCTTAGCATGAATCTTTCATGTACAATAAACTTCACAGAACTTTACCTTTGTTATCCAGTGTGTGAGTACCATGGAATTGTAAAAGTTTTAAAACATTTTTTGAATGTGGTATATCAAAATGATAGCTTTTGAAACTCAATTGTAAATAACTACATCTATTCATATTAGTCCTGCTTTCAAAATTCAAGAAAATATATATAAGTATATGTGTGGTGATCCTATGATGCCCATCAAGTGAAATTGTATGTTGTTCTAAATGGGTTCACTGCTTATGCTTTTTATAAGAAGCCTTTCATTCTGAACAAGGCTTTGTATAAGCAGTCCCTGTGAGCAGGGAGCTACTACTGTTGGGAAGAAATGTATAATCTTCCCGGTTCAGCATTGCCTACACAATTTTTTTTTCCTTTTGTGAGGTGCATGGCATGTCATTTTAACCCACTATTTTTAACCTGCGATGTCAACACATTCAAACCCAACGCTACAACCACTAGGCCGCAGCATGTTTTACAAATGCAAATATATAATCAAGAAAACACTTCACTTCAGCCGTTTAGAAGATCTCAATGATCCAACTCAATATCCAGAATGGAGATGGATTATATTGGATGGCCCTGTTGATACAATGTGGGTAGAAAATCTCAACACTGTATTAGATGACACAAAGACCTTATGTCTGGCAAATGGAGAACGAATTCCTATGTCTGACGGAATTCGTCTTTTGTTTGAAGTTGATGACCTATCCCAGGTATATTTATTTAGTCACTAGCAACTTTGGTATTTCAATTTTTATTACTATTTATTATTGTTTCAATCTTGTGAGACTTGTTTTATTAGCTTTCAATTGTGAAAAAGATCTCTGATTGAAAATATATTTGACAATTTTTGTGAAGTATTGAGATATGGAGACACTCCTTCAATATATATAAATTCTGGTACATCAACAACTGTTTGCTATTACCATCTGTCACAACATACTTTAATTTTTATGTTGGATTATATAAAATTATTTGTATTCCAAAATCCTTGTGTTAATAATCCTTTTGCATTGAAATGTATCTTAACCTTAACTGAAATTCTATATTCAAACTGTTGTTTAGCAATTCAGAGGTAGTTGCATGAAATTTTAGTACCTAGTTGAGTTTGTTCATGTCTTTGTTTGTCTAACTTCTGAAATATTTATCAGGCAAGTCCAGCAACCATTAGCAGATGTGCCATGGTTTATCTTGATCCAGTTGATTTGGGATGGCGTCCATACGTTACATCTTGGCTTTCACACTTACCAAAAGGATTTCCACAGTATGGTAAGTTGTTAGTATTTGCAATCGATTAACTCAAACTTCTTGTTTTGTGCTTGACTGGTGGCCCATTTCGAGCTTTTAAACATCGAAGACGTAGTTCAAAAGAATTGTAATTTACTTCAAATCTGCCATAGTCCGCAGAGTTCTTCATGATCACTATGTGATTGGCCCCCTGTAATGAATATAGAAATTCTGCTACACTAACGAAATATTTTATAATTCAGGCAAAAAGCACTTGTTGTCTATGTTTGAATTGAGTGTTGATGCTGGACTTCAGCTTGTCAAAAGACGACGAAAACTTCAACATCTACCTGTTCCTAGCACAAGCTTGATATCTAGTTTATGCAAATTACTTCAGGATTTTATTTTTTTCATGGAAACTAATGGGGGATTTGGTGAACCTGATGAGGAGGAACAGGTTGCGTTTTTTTGCATATTAACAAACTTATGTTAATTTTTACTATATAGCCTTGACTTGTTGAACCAAAAAATACAGCACCTATGCATTTGGTAATTACCTCCATGAAAATGAGGAAAATTTATTGAACACTTGAACTGTTCTTAACTTGTGTTCAACATAATTTTTCATTTTGTTCACAGAAAGACGATGATTCTGCCAATGTTTCAAGATCACGTTCATCATCAAAAAATATTCATAAAGTCAAAATTTCTCAAGACATTATTGAAAAGAAGAAGGGTGATAAATGGTTTATGGAAAAACATCCTGATAAATTGAATGTTCTGATCGGAAAACTTTATGTATTTGCATTTACATGGAGTATTGGGGGAACTCTTAACAGGTACAAACAGTAATAAATCAACAAATTTGATTTTGTATGTATTTTATTTTCAGATTATTCATAACTTCACAATAATTTTCTTACTATTATTCAACATTTTTTAAAATTTGTAATTAAATGCATTTTATGTGAAATTTATACATGAATCTTTTGCTTGTCTTGTTTCTGTACTTTGTTTGAAGGTATTCTGTTCATTGCCACAAATGAGAAAATCAATTTGTTTTTACTTCTATTTTGAAAAGAGGTTCTGCTCTTTTTTGTCATTTAATTATTGGATTTATCCTGTCAGCAATTGGTTTACATTCAGTTCCAGTACAATAATAAAATCTGATGCAACAATTTGGCAGGCTGATACGAAATTTATTACACTACATTTCAGCACATTTATTAGTTATTTAGCCGTAAGATGATCAGCGAAATTTTGAAAACTAATTTGTCGTTGATACAGGAGAAATTTCCTTCTCTCTATCTAATTATAATATTTTTGCTACCAAGCTATAATTTGAGAACAGACCATACACATTTAGAAAATGATTGGTTATTAATATCTCATTGTTTGATAAGATATATAAATGAATGTTACAACACCAAAATTCTCTAAAATAAAAATGTATTGTCAAGAATAAACTGACATTTTCTCATCCCAGGGAAGATGATCAAGAAGATGACACTTTGATAAGCAGTACTGTGATTGGTCGAGATGAAATGTTGATTAATATGAGTTATGATTTTGATCATTTTGTTCATGAAACTTTCGAAGGGGAACCTCCACTTGGTGTAAACTTTCCATCTGGAAGTCGTTCCATTTTCTCATACTTTGTAGACATGCAGGTAGGATTCATTGAAGGCAAAAGTGATTGACGAAGGCTGGATAGTTAGCTTTGGATTATCAGTTTGATTATTGTATCGTGGTGCTTCAGTACCAGAAGCCTGCTCTGCTAATAAGTGTTACATTTTCCATCAATTGAAGATGGGTCACCCAAATAACACAGAACTCATAAACTTCTTAATTGCTTTTATGAAAATGAAGAAAAGTCATTTTACACTTGAACATTTTAACTTCTATTTGTGTATGATTGTACCCAAAAGTTTCAATAATCTAGGATACTTTACACAAAAGGTATGTTGTCTCTAGATTATGTTCTAAATGACCTGTTTTTTTTTTTTGGTCACCCTGTATATTACATTCATGAATCTCATCATTATATTTCATTTTTTCTAAAGAAATGTTATTGAAATTGAGTTGTCTTCAATATATCATTTTAATTTTTCTAGACTGGACATTTCACTCCTTGGGAAGATCTTGTTCCCGAGACTAAATCCTTGATTGCAAGAGGATTGACATATTCAATGGTTAATGAAACGATGGGTTTATATTCTGATCATAAGAAATCTCCGGCTACTGATACATTGTCTACTCTTGTTCCCACTACTGATACAGTAAGTTATCTTTGTTTCAGTATCCTGAACCCTGTAAAGTCATAGTCAAATATTTTCCATCCTGTAAAAAAGTAGCATGCTCAAACAGCTCAATTTAAAAATAAATTGAACACACTTGACTGACACACTTGAATACTTGACTGGGGAAGGGAAGTCGCAGGAAACCAAAGCTGGTTGTCAAGCAGCGACACCCAGGGTTCTGATATCAAATTCAAGGTTGATAGGGAGGTTTTCACTGATGAAACAGGCTTACAAGAAGCAATAATGCTGGACTGTCAAAATATAATTACTGCCTATACTTTGGGAGATTAAAATATTTTATGTAATATATTCAGATTAATGATAGAACAATTTACCTACCGTGCTTTCAAAGTGAAACCATATGAAAATATGAATTTTCTTTATTTTCTAGATTCGATATTCATTCTTGTCGGCTCTTTTGCTTTTGAACAAACAACCTGTGTTGCTGACTGGTGATAGTGGAGTTGGGAAAACTGCTCTTCTACAGGTATTATATATTAGGTTTAAAACTTTATTATCTGTAACCAAAAGCCTATTTATAAACTGAATTATGCATTAAGTTTCCTCCCAATGCTTATAGAAACCATTATACTGATAAAAATCAATCCAAATTCACATCTGTTATGATTATACATATACATATATTATAATAATTTGGAAGATGTGAAATATTTTATAGTATAATTAGAAGTAATACCGGTACATACAAGATGATTTCGACATTACAATTGATTTTCCATTTCTTTATTCATAGAATCTGTTGAATAGATTGAACAAACCAAATGGAATGGGTACTCAGCCTGGAACTGTTCTTGGTGAAATATTCCACAATGCAGATAAAGCATCAACTATTTTACAAAATATTGCAAATCTTGGATTAATAGAAGTGAAACCATCTGTGTCATCTGACACTCAACTAGAGATTCCTGGTCTTACTGGTAATTTGTGTTTTTTAATTTAGCAATGTACAAAGAATTTGTTTTGTTACAATTTTGAAACATTAGCTCTCTTTCCCCATATTGAAAAGTTCTATTTGTTGAATGTCACATCATAGTTCAATTTTGACCAAAAGCGGAAATTTTATTCTGAACTTTCAATTATAGATATCAGAACCTTGGGTGTTGCTGCTCCATACCCAGATTGGGTTCCCTTCAGTTTCCATTCCCCAGTTGAACTATGTGCCTACATTTTGCTTTCATAATTTATGAACAACTGATTTTACTCGCTTTAAAAAATAAACTTGCTTTTGCTAGACTTTTGCCAAATATGAAACCACTTCTATGAAGCCTTTTATCCGTCAAATTAAGTAAATGTTAATTTACTCTCTGCATACTCAGTTATATCATATTTGATATATTTGATGCAATCCATTGTAAAACTGATGACGAAGTTGGAAGAAAAATTTTAGTGTTATAGGCAGGGTTGGCAAAAACCAAATAATCTATCATTCCGAATAAATCCTAGAATAATATTTTTGAATATAAAATATATTATAAATTGGGTCATGTTGATAAAAAACACATAAAAGTCTATAGCCTATATATTTAATGGTTTCGGAAATGAAGGGATGTTAAGATAGGCATTGATTTGATTGGTTTGCTAATTTTCACTACTTTTTATCCACTTTGTTTCAACTCTCTTGTGTACCAACCAATTTTGCATATTTCCTTCACTCTCACATCTTTTTCATATTTTATACAAGCAAAAAACATATCTTAACAGATAAAAAATGTGAAAAAGTTGAGTTATTTAGATTCTCCCATGTGACGCTACTACTCATTCCATTAGATTTATTGTGTTTAATTGAGACATTTTCAAAGAATAAAAATTAAAGTTATTGCATTGATGCACAAATTATACATTTAACCATACCCTTTTCAGGTTCACAGCAATCTAAAGCAAAATCTGGCAACTTGGTTGTGAGCACAATACAATTCAGTGCTCAGACTGTTCCTTCAAGACCTCAGGTAGATGAATAAATTAAAATTTATTGAATCGAAATTGTGTGGCTGTTACTTGTTTTGATTACGGTAATTCTTTAATATTCTGTTTTTAGGCTCAAATCCTGCACAAACTAGTGAAAAGAGGTCGAGAAACAGTTGGTCCACCTCGAGGAAAGCGAGCGATTGCATTTATCAATGATTTGAATATGCCGACACCTGAAAAATATGGAGCTCAACCTCCTCTCGAATTACTGAGGTAATTTATATCCTGTACAAAATACTGGAATCTGATCATTTATCTTTGCAACATTATTATCTAAAATTCTCCCTACTCTTTTTTTCATTTTTAGACAATTTTTGGAGCTTGGTGGATTTTATGATCTGAAGCGTTTGTCCTGGAAAAATGTGATTGATGTTACAATTGCTGCATCTGCAGCACCACCTGGTGGAGGAAGAAATGTGATCAGTGCTCGATTATTGAAACATTTCACAGTACTTGCAATTCCTCAACCTTCTACTAGATCAATGCAGCATATATATCAAGTATGTAAGGTTATAGGTTGTTTGTCATTTTCCCTGATTGGGTGTTGTGCTATGTTTTGTTATATTAGTGTGTACTAGTTCGTTAAAATAAGGACTCTAAATTCGAAACAGGGTTATTAATATGATTAGTCCAAAATTAGCTTCAGGCTTGGAGAATCTTTAACATTGATGAAATACAGACTTGACAATTTTTAACTAGTCCCACACAACATGGAATGGTGACAAGGCGAGAGGTCATGCTTCACCATATGATTGACCCATCATATCGACTTTCTTCCCCTGGATAAATATGAAAATCCAATACAAATCATCTATTTCAGGTACAACTAGGACGTTTCATGGAAAGTCGTGATTTCATGCCAGAAGTAAAAGAATGCAGATCACAACTAGTCAGTGCTGCAATTGCTGTTTATTATAAAATGTGTAATGGAATGTTGCCGACACCTGATAAATCTCATTATACATTTAATCTGAGAGATCTTTCAGCAATTATAAAAGGAGTTTTGCAGGTAGTTTAATTTTAAAGATCTATAATTAGATTTGTTTTACATTTGTGCAGCGGTTTATATTATCTTAATTTTTAATTTTCAATTCATATACTCTTTAGGCATTTTTACATAACCTTCAAGTACAAAATGCCATCCAAATACTTTAGATCAGGGGTGTCAAACATGCGGCCCGCGGACCGCATGCGGCCCCAGAGCACTTCCAATGCGGCCCTCGAACACTTAACAATGTTTGTAAAATTTTGCGGATTTTTTTTTATGTAGAGGTAATACATTTTTCAAACCTTTTAAAGTGAAATCGTTTATTCGCACATAAAATCACAATTTGCTGAAAGTAGTTTTGGAAGATAAAATTTTTTTTGTTTGCAATTGGACCCAATTGGATACACCTCAAGCTAGCAAAAGAAAACTTGAAAAAAAAAATACTTCATGGATAGAATAAAACGCAAAGTAGCCTACATGATGAAAGTGGCATTTTTGAAGAAAAATGGGAGTTGCAATATTTCTACATTTCTCAAGATCATAAGATCAGCAGTCAATATGACAATTTTAAAGATCAACTTTGAACCTTTTTTATTATGTGTTTGTATATTATCATAATTATAAGGCTACCTAGTTACTGAAAATCAATATCAATCATAACTCAAGTGGTTCACTTATGCCACGTAATGGTAGGAAATGTCGCGAAATGTGGCGGGAAATGTCTGCATGGTCCGAAAAGTCAGTCATTCGTTTGTTTACTGATCTATACATGCAATGATAAACGTAATATTTTTGTATTACTGAAATTAATCAAACATTCTCAACGATCCAGAATAACCGATAATTATGTGACCTCTTTAATTAGAGTTGGTACTGTAAAATCATTTCAGCCTGATATTAGTAAGCTGGGGGCACAAAAAAGATGCCAAACGTCAGGACATATGTAATAAAAAAACACAGTATATTCTGTAGTATTTTTGTAAATTTTAGGCTTATATATTTAGATTAAGTATTTTTTAGTTTATGTATTATTCTTTTCTTATCAAAACTTTGTTCAAAAATGTTTTGGATAGTTGTACACAAAAATTTATGATTTTTTAATAAATACAGTAAATTGCAATAATATCAAAATGCAAAAATTAATATGTAAATGGCATTTGAAATTCGAGAAGATACCAAAACTTCATTCGGCTGTTCAATTGCATCACAATATACCTATGTCACAAACTATACCTATCACAAAGTTCAAGTATCAATAGGCTTCAAGTATACATTGTCAAAATATATCAAAAACTATTTGCGGCCCTTTGCACAGCTCCCAAAATGCGATGCGGCCCTCGCAAACCAACGAGTTTGACACCCCTGCTTTAGATAACAATTTGGATTTGCCTGTTGCATAGATATTTAATTATCATAAATTTTTAGGTTTGAATTTTCAAATATGGCGGATGCAAATTGATAATTGAAATCACGGCTGTATTATTAGAACTATTGCCTGGCCTCATCAGTACATTTTAGTGCAGAATTTCAATTTTCTATTGGAGAGAGAATAGTTAATAACATGGGTGAATAAAGTTGCAAACGACTCAATTATCAGTTGCATACATGATAAGTTACCCAGCTTAACTTGATAAACTTGAATAAATTTTTTTCTTTTTTCAGGCTAATGAAACTGTGGTTGTATCACGAGAAACAATTGCTCATTTATTTGCTCACGAAGCAACTCGGGTGTTTCATGATAGATTGATTGATCAACAGGATAGAAAAACATTTTTCAATTTCCTATCTGATGACTTACACAACTATTTCAAGGTATATAGAGTCTAGAGTGGCTTTCCTAAAGAGGTATTCTTTTAGATGTAATCAATGTTATTGATATTAGATGAATTCTCTTAAAATGAATATTATAGTTTTATGTTATGTGTACTTTTTAACTAAGGCCGAAATATTTCCATTTTCCACTCAGAATTGTATTAAATGTTTTTTTCGCGCCAGATGTGGAAGAAATTTATCCATAATTTAATAATTTTAAAATTTTCATGTGGACAGGCATTTTATTACTAAAACTATCAAAATAGTGGTTCGTAGTAATGCAAAGATATTAGAATAATAATATTAAATATATTCTCAACTATGTTGGCATCACAAATAACCCATCAAGGGTTGAAAACTCATGTCCACCACCTCGCCCAGGGTGTAATAAATTAGGTAGGTAATGCTGAAATGTAAAGATTTTGGTCTTCAAAGAAATATTCTTTAGATATTGTCAGATATCAGTAGATGCTTGCGTAAGGACTTGTTCAGAATGGAAAGCATGAATAAAAAAAATTCTGTATGAAAATTATGTACTCTTACTTGGATTTTTCAATATTGGAATCATTTAGCTAACTCTCTTTGTTAATTTATTTTGTGCAAACCTTTAATTCAGCGTTTCTCAAACGGTGGGCATGGTCCCTGAGAGAGGCATAGACAATTTTTCAACGGTGTGTGAAGCTAATTAAAAATACAAATATTTGGTAAATTCGATCTTGCCTGCCTTATTTTGAATATTCACTTTTTTTTATTTTGGATATTTGCATTCTATCCACGTATTTCAGTGTAGTTTTCTATGAAACATACTTTCGTCTTACTATCTGTTATTTGTACCTCATTGTTAGCTAGTTATTACTTATCGATCTTAAGATCGGTAAGTATGTTGATAGGTATTTGTCTGTTTGTTTGTTTGTCTGTTAGAAACACGCGATATCTCACGAAAGCGAAGATGAATCTGCTCAAAATTTTGCATATGCATTCATCATATCTCGGATCAAAAGCCTATTAATTTTGGATGAATTATGTCGTATAATCAGCGAGTTATTAATTAATTAGTGATGGGACACAAAGTGTCACTATGGAGTAAGAGCGCTGTTTTGAGGATCCCCTAACTTTCGATCGATAAGTCTTTGGTCTCTGACCGATATTCTCGCTGTTAGCTTAGAAAGTTTGAGAACCACTACTTTAATTGTAATGCAGAGTTTTTATATTCCTAATTTTTTGTTTTAGATAACAATAACTGCTGAGAAATTGGAGTCAGAACCATTGATATTTGGTGATTTTCTTGATATGAATGTACCTGTTGCATCTCGTATATATCGACATCTACCAGATCGTAGAATGTTAAATACATTACTAATGGAATATTATATGAGAATCAGGTAAGTCGCATATTTATGACAATGTCAAAGTAGAAAACGGTTTTGTAATAAAATATTTACACTTTCTAAAATTCAGGGGTTCTCAACCTTTTTCCGTCAAGTACCCCGAGAGTCACGAAAAATCAACGCGAACCCCCGATAATCAGACACCGAACAAAGTTGTGATATATATATATTGAATAACAATTTGTTGCAACACCAATTTATTGACCATATGTAACTAAATTAAATCGTCTTGTTGACATTATTGCCCTTGTCGTCTTCCTAACTAATGAATTCCTAAAATGTCTCCCAATTTTCAATAGGCATAATCACTTTTCTAATGCTCGCAGCACGCTGTCTTCAGAGATTTCACAGTTTGTACGCAAAGACTTAAATTTCACATTGTTGCATCACAATCACAACAATGCAAGATCGGGGAAAATCCACGTTTCAATTGGCATCTAGTTTCAATGGGCACGCATTTGCCCATGGTAGTAATAAAGGATATTAAAAAACAGCAACATACAAAAACTCTACTGTCATCCAAGTACCCCTGAAAATCTTCTCGTGAACCCCTGGGGGTTCGCAAACCCTCGGGATCAAATATCAGTTCAATCAAATATCAGTTGGCTGTTGCGGCATTGTGTTTGGAGTATTTTGCCATCACATCTTTAGTTACCCTGGTAGGTTCGCAGGTTCGAATCTCGTGGAGGCCAAATAAGTGCAAGATGATTGCTGGACTCCTTGCTGTCGTAGAGTGGTTTACATAACCGCTGGTCTCTCACATTTTTCTCCATGACCAAGTCTGTTCAATAATACACAATTATAAACAAAAAATCATTCATATTTAAAATTTGTCCATATTATTGTATTTGCATGAAGAAGTACAGTATTTAGTTTCAATGTATATTCATACATATATTTACTTACATACATACCTTACTCAAAAATGCTTTTAGTTGGTCTGAAATTCATTTACAAGTTTGCTTTTCAACTTCATCCATATTTTTTGACAGTGCTGGGAACATAAAAGCCGCACCATTAGTATTTTTCAATGAAGCAGTTGGTCATATCATCAGAGCTTCTAGAATTTTCCGACAGCCTGGTGGTCATGCATTGTTGGTTGGTATTGATGGTACTGGTAAAGTTACAACTTGTAAATTATCAAGTCAAATCGCCGGATGTGAGCTGTACAGGTATGTTTCTATGTATTCTAGAAAAAAGAATTTTTTGTATTTACAATGTAGGAAAACAGATAACTAAGAATGTGTGAACAGTATGTGAAGTTTCAATTCTTAGTGAATGCTTGAACCAGGTTGAAATAATTCATATGCTTTGATCAAGTGGAAGGTATCAATCAAACATTGATTAAGGAGAGCACTGATTCTCAAAGCATTGGTAAAACTTCCACATGAAATATATTTAAATTTTAACGGAACAAAATAATAAAAAGTCATAGTTTTTACTAGGATCGTCAAGCTTATAAAAACCTAACTTAAAAAAAAAAAATAAATTAGTTTGAAATTTCGAATAGTTTTGATGTAATAACAGACATAGTGCTTTTCCTTTTTATGTTTATACATTATTTATGCATATAAGATATGATTTAAAAAATCTAATACTTTCCTTATATTCGCACTGCTTCAAATATTTTTGTATCAAACCTAATGGAGAACATATATAATGTATGTCTATATGCTGGTCTAAAACTACTTCAAAATAATTTCATGTTTTTTATAGATTATCAGTTGTTCGAGGATATTCATATAATGACTTCCGTGAAGAATTAAAGAAAGTTTTCAGAATGACTGGTGTTCATAATAGTCCTACTGTATTTTTATTAACTGACTCAGACATTGTCAACGAAACTATATTGGAAGACATTAATTGTATCCTGAATACAGGTCAGTTTTTGAACACTTGGTTTCATTCAAAGTGATTCAAGAGTCTTGCATCACTTAGAATATTTATATCACTCTTGCTACAGCATCATTGCATTATATGCATACGGACGGCGCAAAAGCATAGAAGAATAGTAAGTAGTTAGTCACTCAGAAAACCAGCCGATAGCACTTGGTTTTATTTTTGTTGTTTTTATGCGGATATTTTTTATTCATATTCTCATTCTCTATTCTTATTCTATCTCTTCTTCAACACTTTTACATATCTGATTTTTTTTTATTCCGAAAATCGAGTTATTGTTACCTTCAATCAATATGATATTTATCATGTTCAAATTTCATGCCCACCACATTCCCGGGATATACCGGTAAGTAATAAATTGGGTAGGCAATGCTGCACCAGGAATACACAAGTTCTTCTAAACTATAGCAGCTCCTCACCAAGCAGTGGCTGCTTTAGGTATCCTTATTCAGTGTGAAAGAAGTATGAAAAATATATATAAGAAAACATTTTGCAATTTTCATTTTATTGCATGTATCACTTTTCAGAAATTAATCACTTACCTTATATATACATATATATTTGCATCGCATATTCAAAATATTGCCGAACAGTATTTATTCAATCTTCTTTACCTAGTCTACTCAACTATATATCATTTTAATTAAAATTAAACTTGTGCGCCATGTCTCCTTACTCAATACAGGAGAAGATCCAGATCTTTTTGACGGAGAAGAACTAGATACAATATTAATGGATATAAAACAGGCAGCAGTTGAAGCTGATATACCAGATACACAAACTGCTGTCTATAGATTTTTCCTTGATAGAGTTCGTAACAATCTACATGTTGCGTTAACTTTGAGTCCTGTCGGATCTTCTTTCAGACAAAGATGTCGTACTCATCCTGCTCTCGTAAATTGTTGTACTATCGACTGGTGAGAGTGAGATAATATTACAAAATTAAACTTGAGTTTGATAAATAGTTACTGGAATGATTGATTGCAATTTTCCTAGAAGTATTTTATGGTTGTGTGGCGCAATGTAAGCATACAAGGTTGGTAATTAACAAGTTCAGGCCTTATTTGCCTGCAAAACTGTCGCAAAAGCATCGATCATGCATAACTCCGAGAGTAAATAAAAAAGCTTTTTACATCATTAGTTACACATTAGACGGCGTTAATAATGTGTAACATGTAATTTGTATTTATTTAATTCTCTGTGATGTTTGATTTAATTGATAATGGAAAGACTGTATGGCAATTCCTACCTTTCGTGATATTCCCTTTGTATTTATAAGTTAGGTGTTGTTTTCACTTTCAAATATGACTACACAAAACATAGTTCCTGATATTAAATCGGAAATATATTTTCTTTACATGATCTATATAAGAACTTGTTTCTTCTTAGCATAAAAATATCCTAATAAACTTCTAACTTGTTTTTCTCATTTAGTGACGGAAGGACATTTTCAGTCAAATTTTTTTTTTAAATACAATTCCAAACATTTTATTGAAGTTCAGTGATGACTGAATTGTGAAAACTTGCATTTAGGTTTGATAGATGGCCAAGTGAAGCATTGATAAGTGTTGCTCAAGCTTATTTTACTCGCGAAAGTATGGAATTGGAAAGATGGGAATCTGAAACACCTGATCATGATTCTCCAATTGAACAGAAAATATCAAAAGTAAGAAAAAAACTTAGCACTGATACTTTGTAATATTGATTTAACATTTAGTTATTGGAATTGTACAATATGAAATTTAAACCAGAGTGATAATTTACTTAAAATAGGTTCACATTATTACTCACTTTAAGTGAAGAAATGATAATAAAAGTTACAGGGGTCACTGAACTTACTGGAAATAGTAACTACAAAAATATAAAAATACAGTTTCTGTCTTTGATAGGAAAATATGCCATTGTAACTGATAAAAACATCCCAGAATATCAAGCTTGTAAAGTGTTAAACAAAAATAGCATAATCTTTTCATGGGATAGCTATTACTAATGTCTATCTGTGATATATATCGTTCAAGCATTCTTGTTGTAACTGCTGCATATGGTGCTAAAATAAAAGCAACACAAGGGGGAAAAACTTGACATACAATTAAATACACAATATTATAGCACCATATATAGGCCTACTGTGATTCGTATTATACAGTATATTTGCTTTCCACCAGTTTGGAACTTGTGAGGGCCTGGGCAATTGCACCCAGATGTCTTTTTCTTGATTCACATATCTATCATTGGAGCAACATCTGGTGCACTCATTGCCTAACTGTTAATTCTCAGGGCATTACCACTAGTCGAACCATTTTTCTCTATCCTGCTGTTTACCTGCTCTGTTGTATGAACGTTGGGATATCATTTATATATTTAATCAGTGTAAGATAGTGGAATTATAAGGAATATTAATTAAATTTCCATTGTTTGTATGATTGAATGAATATTCTTTTCCACTTGAACTTCTTCCTAACTTTATATGCTGCATAGTCATACTCAGATCAAGGCTGTGTGACACTATATAAAAAGTTATCATTTTCTTCAGTCATCATCGAGAGTGTCATCCGCAGCAGTTTTGACTCCAACATTACTAGATAGAATTGCATCAGTATGTGTGAAAGTTCATGCAAGTGCTACAAAAGCTGGCAAAAGATTTTGGGATGAAATGAGAAGATATTATTACACTACTCCTAGCAGCTACCTGGAGTTCATACAGGTGACTTTTTTCTATGAAATAAAACTGTGTTTGAACGTGTGCAAGAGAATTGTTTTCTTTTCGCTATCACAGGGCATCCACGTACCACTGGTCAGTGTGAATGCCAAAATTCTTGCATATGGAACAATGAACTATATCCATAGCTATTCTACACTGGTAATTGTACAATAAGTCATGATTTGGGCATATAATCAAGCTGTCTTATCTGCTATTAATAAATATGAAATTTTTACCCCAATGGTTGGATTACTTTTTAGAACTTGCTTGACTACATATGGATTACATACAATCCAGAGTAATAAAATTTTCAACTTATTCCTATTTCCCAATTTTATTCGTAACCCTAATGAACAAGGATGTATTTTTCCATATGGTTCAACCACCTTTCTAATACCTCTTCAATAGGAAAGTCATGAAATTTAATTGTGGCATATTGGCATTGTATTTGTGACATAATGTAAACATGAAAAAAAAGTTATTAGCTCAAAATTTAGTCACCCAGGATACTTGCTCAAAATGGAACTGTTAAGCCAACCACTGAGTTGCTTCAATTTCTTTAGTATATTTTCTATTATTAAACATTTATTTTGTTGATTTGATTCATTTGACAGGTTTTCACCAAAATGCTTTCGGAAAACAGAAAGGAATTTGACAACAGTTTACATCGACTCAATGTCGGTTTAACAAGATTATCGGAAGCAAAATCAATGGTTGGAAGTATGCAACAAGAACTTGTGGAACTTGGTCCAAAAATTGAACAAAAAGCAATGGATACTGAAAAACTAATGGCCCAACTCAAAAAGGATACAGAAGCTGTAAATCAGGTAAATGTATTTTAAATGAACTCTGTAACTTTTACATACCTTAAATCTGAGCAGGAAAATTTATTCAGTAAACATCATATACTAAGTACCATATTTTATAAGAACTGTTTTGTGACTAATATCTCAAGTTCAATGTTACATAGTACAACATAGTACATTCAATGTTACTTGTAGTTGATTAATAAATAAGCAACCCGGAATTTTTATTTAATACGAAAGTCGTATTAATACGTTAATACGATTTTAAAAAAGTGAACTATCGTTTCTTAAATATATTACCAGTGTTGGTAATGATAAAATTGATCGCATAAAATTTGGTGATAAAGTGGAGAAAAAAATCAAAGCTAATACAAAAGATAAAAATCAGAATAAAATTATTTTGAATTCACTCCTTGATATTTGTCTTTAACATCTGTCGCCGGCGTGTAGTACTGCCGGGAATATGAAAACCAAACTTCGATGGTCCCATTCGGAATAGAAGTGGATTAAATTGGTTGTTATGATAGGTTTAAATGTGTGAAAAAAATATCGCAATTACGGGGTCATTAGGTAATCGATTTGGCCGTAAGTACGGAATTGATTTTTGTCAATTACGTGCAAGCCTAAATGGTGCGATGGCCTAGTGGTTAAAGCATTAGACGTAGCTGTGTTGATATTGCAGATTACAAATCTTAGATTTAAGTGACTCCGATCTCGAACCTGAAAGATTCTTGTCTTTTCAATTAAATTCAGTTTCAATTATTCAATTTTCAATTAAATTCAGTAGAACCTCCACTAATGAAAGGCCCCGAATACGAAATTTCCAAGTTACAAACGAAGTCTATTGCTTCAAATACGAAAGGCCGAAAACCGAAAATTAAAAAAAAACACTGCTGGCCGTTGTGTGGATATGTGTTTTGAATTTAGGGTGTGTGTTCATTTTCATACAATACGTTCTCGCTCAACTGTCAACCGCTTGCCGTCTCCTCCCATCCCCACCGACCACCCTTCACTCTCTCATGATTTACTTGTTCTTTTAATAACATCATATCGATTCAGGTTCGAGAAATTGTCAAAAATGAAGAACAAATTATGGCTCGAGAAACTCAAATTGTTCAAGAGTATGCAGAACAAGCAACTAGAGATCTTCAGTCTGTTTTGCCTGCTCTTCAGGTATGTGTTTATATTCTTCTTTTTTTTGTCAGTGCTATTAAAATATTAGTTACAACTAATATATTATGAGCTCAAAACATTTCATGAGCATGAAATTCTAGTGTTGGGCCTTGTTGGCATATATTGGCATATTACACTCTATGAAAATCTTGAATCCTACATTTTTTTCAAACGCCTCAGTCACTTTGTATATTTCCTCTTCACAAATTTTTTACACTATGAGCAATCAATCAGACATATGAACTCATTGCACTCTGAATCAAGAGGAGTATGTGGGCCTTGCATTTAGCAGGGTCTGAACTCAAGATGCTTTATTCCAACATGGTCATCACAAGCATATATTGATATTTATCTATAATTATCCTACAATTTTGATGTGCAGGAAGCAGTTACTGCTCTGGATGCACTTGATAAATCAGACATTGCTGAAATTCGAGTTTATCAGAAACCACCAGAACTTGTTGCCACTGTAATGAATGCTGTCTGCATACTATTGCAAGAAAAACCAGATTGGCAAACAGCAAAAAAACTACTGGCTGACCAAGGATTTTTACGGCGATTAATTATGCTGGACAGAGATGGTTTGCCTGATCGTACATTTGCAAGGCTTAGAAAAGTGACAAAGAATCCGGATTTTACTCCTGAAAAAGTTGGAATGGTAAAATATTGCTTTGTTTTCACATCAACATGGCATATTTTGTATCAAAGCTGGCTAATGATGTTACAATTTCGTTTGATCACTCCCTATGTTATTTCCTAAGGATTTTTTTATTTAAAACAGAAGTTCTTATTAAAGTTTATTCTCTTGTTTTCTCCATGGCAAATTTTGAAAAGTAAAATAGACCACCAAATTTTTTTTTTCAGTACCTTTAACAATCTAAATTGCAAAATGGGCTTTGGAAGAAAGGATTTGGATATAGAATTGTTGACATAGAGGCCTAAAATTGATTGTATTGAGATAATATAATTACAATACGGAACACAATGATGATAATTTTTATAAACTTACAAGCACATAGTCTCTGGGTAGTTATGGCACAATTTTAGTCATTATGCAACAGAAGACACGCAACAATTGATTGTTTTCCTTATTTCTAAATTACTATCTGGCTCAATTGAGTCGTGAAAAATTTGTCACTCAGATTCGTGTTGTATCAAAACTTATGTTTTCACCAGACAAACATACCGGTAACCACTATGCCCTTGAATATACACTCTTTTGGGCCTTGTGCTTCCAATGAATCTATCCTTTCATTGCTTGACAGGTTTCATCAGCCTGCATGTCAATATGTACTTGGGTTATGGCATTACAACATTATAACGATGTACAAAGAATGGTCGAACCCAAACAACGTAGAGTAAAAGAGGCAAGAGAAGCTTTGCAAATTGCTGAAGCAAATTTAAAGGATAAGCAGGTGATGAACTGTTATTATAAACAATAATGTTTGTTGTCTCAACAGAAATTTAAGGTTTTCATGTTTTCTGATGTTTGCATTTGCTTTCTTCAGGCTAGTTTGACAAAAATCAAATCTCATCTTGATAAATTGAGAAAACGTTTTGAAGAAAATGTGCAAGAACAAGAACGATTGAAAGAACGTAAAATTGTTACTGCACAAAGATTGAGACGGGCTTCTGTTTTAATCAACGCGCTTGCTGATGAGGAGGTACATTTGTTCGTTTTTGTGTTATATTTCTCTATCAAATATTAATAAAAGTTCAGATATGAGTTATGAACTATAAACCATATCAATTTTAAGGCTGAATGAAAGAAATATGTGAAAGTTTGTGAATGCCCATTTTTCTATCTCTATTTTGATGTGCGAAGGTTTTGGCACCATTTGTATTCGAATAACCTTGAAAAAAATAAAGTTTTTACATAACTCACCGCATTTGATTCACAGTGCATGGACGAGTCCATTAAAATGGTGATTGGAACCATATAACTATCCCTACTAACTCTCATCAGTTCACTGCAAGTTCGTTTTGCTCGTTAATTGTTATAAACATTATTGTCATCATTATTGTTTTAAACAGAATCCGATTTAGAAGTATTCAGAATATCATATTTTCACAAGGATATTTAAACATATGAATCAATTTTGTAAAACAGCTATTTTAATTTATTTTGTTATGGATTCAGGTTCGTTGGCATAATTCTGTTGAAGATCTAGAAGAGAGATTGAAAGGATTGGTTGGTGATACCATAGTTTCTGCTGCAGCTATTGGATATCTTGGTGCCTTCACATCATCGTACAGACGACATCTTATATCAAAATGGCTTGATGCTTGCACCAAATCAAAAATCGTTATTTCTAAAGATTTTAATCTCATTGATGCCATGGCACATAAGAACAAGGTAAACTAAGAAAGGGACGATTCTATAGGATTACTACATTATATTGGTATTTACAGAGATTTCAACGTATTTTACTTTTCCTCCCACTCTGAACAAGGCTCTGTACAAGCGTATGTAAAGTAAGAAACCACTAAAGTTTGGAAGGTCTAGATTCTTTTTCGTTAGGCCATGCTTACCTAATTTGTTACACCCTTGTTGAAGTGCTGGGCATGGAATCAGATTTTTAACGTTTGGTGCCAACATAGTTGAGAGAGGGTGAGTCTTTATCCACTGTAATATACCCAATGTTTGAAAATATCATATACCCCCAGTATATACTTGAATAAACTTGATTAAACCAGATGCATATTGATAACTAGAGTAGACCTAGCCACTATGCGCCTCCTACTGATTAGAAGTAAACAAAGACAATGTGTATTAATGGTGCTTGATGAATGGAGCTTTGTGATGCTGTACCGAATGATATGGACAATATTTGAAACACAAATCTGACATATTCAATCTAGTTAAAAGGCAATTGAACTTTTGCATCATTTGAAAGAGAGTATAATCATCAGTTGGGCCCTACTCTACGCCCTTCTACAAGTGGAGCCGTATGCGTATAATGCAAGGATATTGTAGCAACAATAAAAATGACTATTCTATTTGAAAAAGATCTAAGGACTGATGTACCAAAATTCATTTGATGTCAAAATATGAAATACCCTCCCCATTGAGCCAGTTTTTACTACATAATTTTTTTTTATCCTATTGATTCATGAACTACCTGTTTACAGATACGTCAATGGCATAGTGAAGGTCTTCCAAGAGATTTTCATTCAATTGAAAATGCAATTATTATCAAGAAAGCACATCGATGGCCATTGATAATTGATCCACAAGGACAGGTAATGACTTTGTGGTATTATCAAAAATTTGAATTCTTATGAGTACTTAATAATTGTAGTACACACCTTTTGAAATTGTTTTGAAATCTTTCCACTGTCATATGAAGATGGAACTATTCTAATATAGATCAGATATCTAAATGCATCTTGATCCTTTTGTCTAACATCAAATTGAATACAACGCAGAAAACTTTTTGAACAAAATTTTAATTAACTTCATCACAAAAGCTTTTATTAACAGAAAAACATGTTGCTTACATATAGGATAAGATTTTTATATTTTTTTTCGATAAGGCAGCTTAATCATATGGGTCATGTTACAAGTCTATGTCAGGTATGTGAATTGTTATATTCATTTTAGTCCAGGTGGAGGAAGTTTTAACTGACGAGCAGTTACATGAACCACCCTACAATGGCGAGGAGTCCTGCAATCCTCTCACACCTAATTATCCCCTATGGGATTCTAACCTGCAAACCCACACAGTTTAATTAGTGGTGAATTGCAAACATGTTACTAATTCATTATACTTTCTTTCAGGCAATACAATGGATCAAGAAAATGGAAGGGGAAAGATTACGTGTTGTATATGCTGGTGATACTAATTACACAAAGATAATTGAAAATGCGATTCGAGTTGGGGAACCAGTATTACTTCATGATGTTGATGAAAATATTGATCCCGGTTTAAAACCAGTACTGCAATGTGAACTCATTCATAGGTTTGTTGTGGACAGAAGCTTACTGAATATGTTTTTCTGAAGTTGTATGTATGGTACAGTTTGACCCAAAAACAGAACTTATAATTTCTCAATTGCTACTACGAAAATGGAAAAAATATGTTCAACATTTGAATTTTTGTTTGTGCGTGATTGTACCCAAAATTTTCAGTAATCCAGAAGCTTTGTGCAAAAGTCAAGTTGTCTCCAAGATATGTTCCAATCAACGTGAGTTCGGTTTTTATGGGCCATCCTGTGTGTTCAAAATTATGTATTATTCCATTGTATTCCAAACTCAGTCATCTTTGTTGTAGTTTACTTACAATTTTAGAATTTATATTATTTTTTCAAAACTCTTCTTTCTTTAATTTAAAAACTAAATTGCGAATAGACAGATTGATAAATCTACTTGGAATGTAAAAAGAATACAAATATGAAAATACTTTAACAATTTTTTGATTTTTTTAAATCAAAATTTGTCAAAAAATGATGTGTTAATTAAAATGTTAGTGTTAGTGAATTCCAAATTCTACGTCTGTTTACTCTGTAAAATATTAAAAAATGAATAATAACAAAGCTACCGTAAGTATTCATGAATATAATAACAAACCCTATCTTCGTTTTTAATACTTCATTTGAAATCAATTTCATGCCTAATGCTTATGATTGTTTTGTTAATTTAATCATAGACATATTAGATAATTTTTGACTGTCTCTTTATTTTAGAGCTGGACAAGATTACATCATGCTTGGTGATTCAGAAATTAGTTACAACCACAACTTTCGATTATACATGACAACAGGAAAACCAAACCCACATTTTCTACCTGCTGTTTGTATCATGGTCACAATAATCAATTTCACTGTTACATTTGAAGGATTGCAGGTGAGATAGGAGTTTTTTGCTATTTTTCCAATTTATTTTTGTGATTTGTGCTCTCTTTTTGTCTAATGTATGACTTTCTGGAAAGGGAAATGCGTTCAAACAATTTTTCTTATCCCCAACGATTTGGACTATTTTCCTCTTTCAGTGCGCCTGTCTTTTAGTAATACTTTTTTTTGTTTCTTTATTGAAGTTGATAATTTTCAAAATCTATCAGGATCTCCCAAGATTTTTATTCTCGAATTTTTTATGGAAGATTAACTTGTATCACAAAACTTACTAGCTTATGAACTTGCTTTTGAATTTATACAGGATCAACTTTTATCAAGTGTAGTTATGCAAGAACGTCCTCATCTTGAAACACTGAGAGATAATTTATTAGAAAGTATTGCAAAAGATCTTGGAATGTTGAGAGAGCTTGAAGACAAAGCTTTGAATCTATTGCAGGTAAAAGTTTTATGAAAAATTTGTGTGTTGGATAACTAAAGCATTCTAGGATTCATCTCAATAATTAAACAATATGGCTAGCAGTTAATATTTATAGGATTTCATATTTATTTCTGGGTGGAGAAAAAATGATAATACGACTATAAAATATGGCATAACGTTGCAACTCGACTGGTTACTAGTTTAGACTTTGTGGAATAGATATATTGTGGAATACATTTTTTATTAATGCCTGGATGATGGAAGAATTCATGATTGACCAGCATTTACATTATTCTACTCTGGCATGGTAAACAATCGAGCAATCTTCTTGTAAACAAATAGTATTTTTGAGGAATTGACGCTCACTCTAACCGGATTGTATGTATTGTTCCTGATGTCTAGAGAATCGATAGCATCATACGAGCGAAGTTCTACAATTTTTATTTTTACAATTTTAAAATATATATAATCTGTTTACTAAATTTTTTTCGAGAAAATATTGAGTTAAATTGATTTCGAATTTAGAAACAACAAGGCCACATTCTAGATGATGAAGACTTGATGTCAACATTAAAGCAAAGTAAAATAACATCTGGAGAAGTTTCTCAACGTCTCAAACAAGCTGAAGAAAATGAACGAAGAATAAGTCATGCAAGAAGTCGTTATCTTCCTGTTGCTACTCGTGGTGCTGTGCTCCAATTTGTATTGGCTGATCTAGAAATTTTAAATCCAATGTATCAATTCTCTCTCAGTTGGTTTATTAAGATGTTTGAACAATGCATTGGTAAGTAAATATGAGATAAAATATTTCCTGGAAAATTTTGTTCCGATTGTTTGCTATTTATGATTAGCTCTTTGGCCTGAAAATGGCCTTTTATTTTCAAGCCCTGATAAGGTCTGTCTTTCTTCTCTCCGAAATAAATATAAAAATCCTAAAATGAATGAATTCATTGGTAAAATTGATACACAAGAATTTTTCATAAAATACTTTTGTCAGACAAGACTTTGCTTCGTGAATCTTGCAACTCTAATATTATATACAGTTTAGTCATATCCGAAAAGAACAATTGATTTATTACCCTATTAGACTCTGCTAAACCAGAATGAATTATTCTTTTCATGAAAAAAATCTCATGCTTTTTCTTACAAGAAAGACAAGGGTTGTTTACTTAACTCTTCTTTCTCACTATTCTACTGCGAAAAAAGAGAAAAACATGAAAAGTAAAAATGAATTTATATTGCTGAAAATTGAATGAATTGATTTATGTTATGACTTGTTAATCTGCCTTCTGATTGTTACTGTGTGAGGACATGACAGTGTATCTGATTTCTTTCTGGTTAAAATCTGTGCAATTCACATTCGAACTCTCTCACTTTTAGCTCATGCTCATGACACGACTAATTCATCTCAACCTTCGTCTCGTCGAAGTTCCAGACCTTTGAGTGGAACATTGAGACCTCAACAAGTACGAGATAGTCCTGATTTACTGAAGAATCAAAACATTGTTGAAGAGAATGATGATCAATTACCAGAAACCTTACAAGTGATGATTGATATTCTCACTGAAGGTGTCTATAGAGTAAGTGTTGTTACACAAAGGATCACCATATTTTTCCACTAACATGCTGATTTCCTGGATCCAATTTTTGGCCTGGTTTTATGGGGTCGACTTATTGGGCAACTCGGATTGTTTCCTTGTTTCTTGAATTGACTTATTATTGGCTTTGGACCATAAGATGCAGGAAAGGGGGGATGATAATGTGCCTTCACTGTCAGTCAGCACTCCGGCTTTGGTGCGTGTACTGGTAATATGTCATAGGGATTGGTTCGTAACTGAGGGGAAAATTAATTGGCTAGACTTGACTGTATTGGCATTGCAAGTTACAGGTCACAGGTTCAAATCTTTTGCCCATCACCTCACCCAGTTTGTAATACAGTTGTTAGGCAATGCCAAACTGGAAAGATTTCTATCCATTCCAAATTAGTAGCTCCCTATATATCGTTAGAATCCAATAGCTATTTATTCTGGGCCTTGTTCAGAGCAAAAGGAGCTAATTAGCATTTCATTAGCATTTTTTTATTGTATATATGACATTTTTTTTATAAAAAAAATTTTATGTCTGGAGAAGTTAGGTAGATTGTGATCTAACTAAAACTCACAAATATAGTTGCTATTTCATATAAAGTGATTATGTTATTCTTACATGACAACACACTTTGTGTGATATTTCTTCTCTAAAATATCACGTGTGTGATGCAACTATGCACAATATTGTGGATACTGAAATGTACTGATACTGAATCATATTATGCCTGCTCATCATATCAAGAAATATTATTAATTTTATCGAATTATTATTTTATTTCAGGTTGTATCATACAGTTTATTCAACATTCATCAATTATCATTTTCCTTCCTCATATGTGCTGCGATCATGAGAAATAATGCGATACATAAAGATGTTTGGAGAAACTTGGGACAACTAGATGATGTAACATGGCAAGCTTTTCTGCATACTCCCGCACTTGCCAGTATGATCAGCGATGATGTGATGGTTTGTACCTTGATGTTTTGCTGTCTCTTCTCGTTATCTATCAGATATCAATCAATGTTTAATGTAAAACGGTGATGTTATGATATAATCTGATTGACCTGGCATTTAACTTACTATTTAATTGGTTGGGTTGTTATTGCGGAACCTTTACAAAACATTTTCAACAGATAAAGTCTTTTCTTTGTTATAGATTATAACTGCTTGTAATTGAAATTTTCAAGTAAAAATCTTGTACGGTAATTTATTTGGGAATGTGAGACTAAATTACATAATACTCAACAACAACCCTACTTGTTTCAACACTTTGATCATAACCAAAAATTTATAAATAGAAAATATCATATGAAATATATCAATTCCAAATCCATACCAAGACGTTGTTGTGTATGCAAAATATGTTAAACACATATTTTATTTTAGTATTATACTACAATTTATATATCTGTGTTTTCTAACTGGGATACTATATGCTTTGCATGCATAAGATAAAAACTTAATGGCAAAATAAAAATACTGGCTGTTTGCCGAAAAATTAAAGGCAACTCCATAAACTAGTCTACAACATAACACAAGAAATTATTCTTATGATCAAAATAGTTTTATTAAGAATTGTTCAGATTGTCATTTAATCAATTTCAGTTCGTCACTGTTTTGTTTGCGTCACTTGTATATGGCAATATTAACTTTTTTTGAAATAAGGGTCTGTGCCACTGAAAATGTTGAAAACCACTTGTATAGACTATATTACACCTTTTCAGGAAAAATATGATGGCTTGACTTCGATGCAAAGACTTGAGATGAAAGCAGGTATATCATCTCCTTCTGTTGCTACAAGTCATCCACCTTCATCTAATCATTCTGGAAGCAGAAGATCGAGTAAAGATGAAGCCGTTGTTGCTGAGGAGGTAGCAGACCAGGAAGATGAGGTGATAACGAAAACTTTGGTGTATGCAAGCAATCTTTAATAGAATGTTAAGAACACTTAGTAAAATTATTGCTTTTTGAGTTCCAACCTCTGACTTTAGTGAAAACATGTTCCGATTCCACAGCCCTAGTTCAAAATTTATTCGAACATCGAAGCACAGATAAAACTAAATTGTCTTTCTGATGACAAATTGTAATTCTACCATAGGAAGTTGCAAACATGTTGAAAGCAGCTTTAACAAATGTTGCTCGTGGTGTTCCTCCTGTTGATTGGATATCATCTGCAATCTGGCAACAATGCAAATATCTTGCTTGGAAAATTGAAGAATTTCAAACTTTATGTCTTAGTATAGTAAATCGTCCTGATCAATGGAATGCTTTCCAGAAATCTTCTGATGTTCTAATGCTAATGTCAGTTCCATTTGTTCCTGCTGCAAGGTATTTTGATTTTTTTAGATTGAATTTTTAAAATCTTTTATAATACCAAGTTCTCAAGCAGGAGTCATCAACCATTTTGTTTTTGTCTTTCAATCATAGTTCAAATTAAAAAATTAAAATGAACAAACAGACTATAGGAATTGTTGCAGAGTTATCTAGCGGGCTAGAATAATTTAAATCCAATTATGCTATTTACCATTTACATATTCACGAAGTACACAATTCATGATTTAGATAGTGAAAAAGGAAGACAATTGGGTAAAATGCTCGTTTTGTGCGAAGATCGACAGTTTATCAGTTTGAAGATTTGCTGAACACATTCTTGTCTTACAAAATCAGAATATAATTACAAACAGTGTTGTTTTTGTATGTTTACGATCATTAAAATTGGATAAAGCAATATGCAAACGGATCAGATTATGAGTGACCAACCTATTCACCCTTGGGTTAGACGGCCTGGAATGATCTTGGATCTAAGAAACTATATCTGATTCCTCGTAACCTCTGTTTAATATTTTACATATTTTTATTCAGTGGAAGATCATCAGTCTCTGGATCAACTTCCACATCTCGACCACAATCTGCAAAAGTTGAACAATATATTTTTCCATGGGAGAGAATTACGACATTTCAAAGGTGGCGTACATTTCTATTTTATATATGTATATAAGTATATATGTTTTAAAGCAGGGTCCCAAGCGTTTTACTTAAAGTAAAAATAGTTTTGTTAGAACAGTTGCATAAGCACATCTTCGTTACTTTTCGTTTTCACCGTGTGCAACGAAAGCATGAAACATTTGCGCCAACATCACTTACCGGTAAGTGTCGTTGTCGTGGCTGCTACCTTTTTCGATCAAATATTCAGCTTTTTCGATTTTTTCTTGATCGGATTCTTCAGTACAGAACAATCTTTGAAGGGTTTTTATTGCTGAGTCAGCAATTTTTTGACGACACAATTTACGAAAAGCACAGTAAAACCGTTTTAGTATAACACTACGTCACATATTTAATCCTGAGATTTATATTCGAAATAACCCTGGGATCGCCATTGAAAAAACGAAAATCCCAGGATCGCAACACCAGTAGGTAATAGTTACAATAAACTGGAAACAATTTAAGTCAAGTTTGTTCAGGAAACTTGTTGAAAGGGAATAGTAATAGAGAAGCACTTAATAAAGTGATATTTGATATACAAATTGAAAAATTGATACTACTGAAATTGGTACTACTGAAGGAAACAAAATAAATAAAAATTCATTTTACTTTTGTTCTTGCCAAATCTATATGGAGCCTGTATAATTTTCTATTTAATAGTCAACAAATAATTTACAACATCTCATTACAGATTGATGCTTGTGAAAGTCTTGCGACCAGATATGTTGATGTCCAGTATGAGACAATTTGTTATTGAGAGTGTTGGTAGTAAATTCGTGATGGGTGGAAAGATTGATCTAACTGAAATATACAAAGAAACAAATTCAAGATCTCCAATAATCTTCATACTTTCTCCCGGTAATTACAATATAGTATTTTTTCATTTGAGTGTATTTTCGTTAAAAAAAAATGTCGTTGAAAGGATCAGATCTTTAAAGTTAAACTTATGTGTTAGTGTTAGACTGGGTGGTGTATTTTTCATAATTACAATTATTGGATCGACCTTAGACTGTTCTTATATGAATGTTTGCTGAAGGCAAGGCCTCAGGTGTAAGTGTTATTGAAGTTTTACATAACGTTTTATATGATGTATACAGGTGAATTATGCTTGGCCATTCAAGTAAGTTACGGGTTTCTCCACTATCCAAGTTTATGTATCTGGAACAATCAACTGGTTAATTTTCCATACTCCATCTAAAAACCTGTGGAATAAAATGCATTTATCAAAGTAATCCTTGTATATGAAGTGAATCGTGCTTAAGATTGTCATATTAAAATTATTAGGATTGGATATATTATCCATATTTATTTTAATCAAAAATTCATACTCATATTGCAACATATACTCCTATTATTATCAGATATGGTTTGGAACTGGTTAATGGTTTAACTTCACATGATAGGGGTTGGCGGCGCAAGTCATCCAACGACTACATCAGCCACCATGTGACAACAATCTAGCTACCATCTTGCGCAATATCATCCTGCCCCTGCATATTCTGCAGGGTGATCAATTATACCATCTCAAATGTTGCCACTCTATGAACCATTTTCCAAATTTGGTGCAATTAGCAATTTTCACACCCTCATTCCAAACAAGGCTTTATGCAAGCAGACATCATACATATAAATATGGATTTATATTTATTCACAATTTTTCGGTACAGGAACTGATCCATCTGGTCAATTGTTACGTTTTGCTAAAGAAATGCGAGGTTCAACTCTGCATGTTGATATGGTTTCATTAGGCCGAGGACAAGGCCCTAAAGCAGAGGAATTAATCCATAAAGCTCAGATATTAAAGGGAAGATGGGTGTTCCTACAAAATTGTCATTTGGCTGCTTCTTTCATGCCTCGTTTACAGGTATAATATAGTATTCATTTAACAACAGGTACTTATTTGTTGTAGTGTATCAGACAAATTACGATTATCTTACCAGAGTGGGCTAGAAAAGTTTAGATGTTGTTGTTAGGCATAAAAATACATTTGTAATGAGGCACAAATGTTTCCATTTGACGGAACAAGAAGCCTATCTATTGATGATACATGCAAGCACACTCTAAGATAATAGACATTTTGTGCATTTTTTATTTGCATCTTATCATGAAATTATGGAAACGGCAAATGCAACATTCAAGAGGTATGGTTATGGTAAGCCTTTGGCTACCTATGGCTGTATGTACTGTATGGCTATACCTATTTACAGCTGGCCCTTTGATGAAAAGATCTTGCATATGTTTTTCCTGCTCTTGCTCTATTTTGGCATATTTGTTACCAAATTGTTGGTACTTGGTGTGTAATATTTACTTTCTCTTATTTTAGGCGATTGTTGATGATTTAAGTCGACCTAATTCAGAAGTGGATTCACAATTTCGTTTATGGCTGAGTTCAAAACCTGACGCTTCATTTCCTGTACCTATATTGCAGAAAGGATTGAAGGTAATATAAAGTTTGTTAATTTATTCTTATATTTTTTTTTCGTCTAGCACAGGATTCAATTTTACCTTGTACCCAAGAGAAGTCAATTTTCAGTCGGTTTTAGTAGTTTTATTGGCTTTCTAGACTTTTTTATGTGCTTAAAAAGGATTCTTGCTTACTGATCATCTGCAGTTTAAATTTTATGAACATCGTAGAGATTAGTGTTGAAAATTTTAAGTTCTTTTTCTACATCTATCTAGATCAGGGATTCTTAAACTTTTTAAGCCGCGCCCCCTCTTTAGAATTTGTCAAGCCTCGCGCCCCACCTCAAAAGTAACTAGCTAACAATAAGCTACAAATGAAGTATGTTTTATTCAAAAACAATGTTGAAAATAAGTGAATGGAACTTAAATATCCTAAATAAGGAAATGTAAATATACAAAAAAAAGGCGGGCAAGATCAAATTAACAAATATTTTGATTTTTAATTTGCTCCATGCACCCCCTCAAAAATTGTTTACACCCTCTTGTAGAGTGCACCCGCCGTTTGAGAACTAATGATATAAATCTATAATTTTGGGACTATCATGGTTAGATTTTTATTGAGATTGTTGAGAACAGCAAATTCTCTTTTCATCCAGTCTACCACCAGTACCACTGACTAACATTTACTCCTAAAATGCACATTTTTTTCTTATTTTAGATTACTGTTGAACCACCTCAAGGCTTGAGAGCTAATTTAATGGCGTCGTTTAGTGCGGCAGGTACTGGGGAAGTCACTAAAGATCTTTTTGATACTGGTGGTACACGTCTTGTTCGGCCTGGCGTCAGTGTTACTGAAGAGAAACTTGAGTGGAAAAATAGGTCTTGGAAAAAACTCGTTTTTGCTCTTTGTTTCTTCAATGCTGTCGCTCATGAGAGAAAAAAATATGATGCACTGGGATTCAATCTTCCCTATGAATTCACATCTTCGGACTTAGAGGTATGAAATATGAGGCATTAGAAAATGTAGGTATATATAAGATGAAAATTTGGAAATTTACATACTGTTCTGAATAGTTATGGTTGAGATTATACTGATATTAAAATTTTATGAATAAAAGAAATTGTGAGTAAATTCAGTGTAAATTTGATTTTTACTAAAAAGTGGTACATAACAGGATACAGAAGTATATCAGAATATAGAAAAGTACCGCTCTTTTAACTAAGTGTAGAACATTTGTATTTCTATATATTTGTGCTGTGAATAAATTTGTGAATAAATGTTCAAAATCAATTGATCATGTTGTCTTTACATATCGGAATTCTTAAAATATATTTTTCAAAACGATCAAGTATTTTTGCACCCTTTTCCTCTGGGAAACACATTTATCATGGTTTTAAACATTCAGGGGCATGTAGGTTTTTCATTGTTTTGAGCAAATTATACTTTACCAATGAATTAATTACCAGTATCTTTGTATGGTAAATTCGTTCATAGAAATTTCACATTTCAGTTTCACTACTAATATATTTGAACAATCCTTGCTTAATTATACTGGGAGATTTAACTTAGATTAATTCATTCTACTTAGGTATCTTTATTAATGCTTCAACAACTGATGATTGACTCTGATGACATACCATGGCCTGCGCTGAGATATTTAACGGGTATGTATTTTTTATATGATATATTTATTTTCCCGTTGCTTTGAACTAGGCTTTGCACAAGAAGTTACTAATCTGTAAGGAGCTACGTTATTATGGAAAAACAGGAATATTTCCACTTCAGCCCTGCCCACACCCTTTATGATTCGATTTCTTCAATGTACTCATTTTTATTTACTGACTGATATATTTATTATATTTTCATACTATTTCATGTATTCCTATTACGAGATTTTTTCAATGTTTTCAAAACATGCATGGGGATATGAAAATGCTAACAAAAATGAATAGGTACCATCTATTTCAATTTCCAGGTGAAGTTGTTTATGGTGGACGAGTTACTGATCATTGGGACAGAAGATGTCTTGATTCAACTTTAAGAAAATTTTATTGTGAAAATTTGAAAGACAGTAATTATACATATTCAGAAGATGGTGTTTATAAACCTGTTGATGGTGACATCACTTTTGCTGAGGTATTAGTCATACAAAATTTGTTCTCGTTGTAATTCAAGACTCATATACATACAATTTAGCTTATTTGCTTCATATATAAAGCTGTATGATTTCTTTCTGCCAGGGCATATCTTTCATTGATTCTCGTTTCACAAATTTTGTAAATCTTTGTTACTTGTGTGACTGGATGATGAGTCAGTAGTTATTGTTTCCCCCATCCAGCTTCTTATATATTCACTCTAAACAAGCAGTAACATACATGTATGAGACTATAGGAATAGGAAGGATTGTAGTCTCACAGGTTTAAAAAGCCCATGGAATTTCATTATTACAGGGCTTGTTGATATGGTGCGATGCCTTATGCAATGGCAACAGCTAGAACTAGAATATATAAATCACAATGATAACAAAAAGTTTTTGAATGCAACATGATTGCACTCTCATCCTATTAATAAATTCTCATGAGATGTTTCACACATTTCAACATGGTGGTAGAGCTCCATTTCATTGTACATTGCTGTGCTCAAGCTTCACTTCACCTCACTCCAATCATGATTTTGAATTTTAGCTTTATAATGTATTTTTATGTTCCATACATTTAATACATCAATACCAAAGTCCCAATAATAAGAATTCACTTCAGAGAATTAACTTTTTCTCTCTGTATGTTACTATTTCACAATGTCAATACGACTCTCTAATGTGTAAAATATGTTGCCGAACTAGCAAATTCTTATTATAAAATAAATAATTTCTATTTTTATTCAGGTTCAAGAGTATTTAGAACAACTACCATTAGTAGACTCACCAGATGTATTTGGTATGCATGATAATGCTGAACGTGCCCATCTTGAATCTGAAGCTAAAAGAATTATTGAAGTTATCATAGATGTTCAACCTAGACTTGCAACTGCAAAGTTAATTGGGTAAATATTATGATTTTTTTTTTCTAATTCAGTTCTCTTTGAAATGCCGGATATATTATGCGAGCATTCTGTTGATATGCAATGTCAATAAATTTTTGAAACTAAGTAATGATGTGACATACCGGTAGTATTTCAATATTATGTAACTGACCTTGATAAATATTTCTCCCTCCTGCCTAATGTTTTTAGCTATTTTTCCATGATTCAGTAAAAAACATATTATCTTCAAAATTTTTTATGGGATCCAATGTTAGTGTGTCCGGAAAAAACAGAACACATAAACTTCTTGATTACTTCTAAAAAAATGAAGTAAATTTATTTAGCACTCCTATTTGCGTATGATTGTACCCAAAAGTTTCAGTAATCCTTGCATGGAAGATATGTTTTCTGTCACATGTGTTCCAAATGACCTGGATTCTCTTTTTTGTCACCTTGTATAGTATCTTATAGTATCAAATACTACATTAATACTTTACTTTATTTCACTAACATTATATTCACCATTTTCGATTTTAAAGATCTGGTCGTACAAATGATGAAATAGTCATGGATTTAGCAAATGACATTCAAAAACAGCTACCGATTACGGTTGAGATCGACGATGCAGTTTTAGATGATTTAGATATTTTAGGAGGAAAACAAGATGACGAAATGAAAATGACATTGGAAAAAATTATGAGCGGACATATATGGAAATCTTTGATTACAAAAACAAACCAAGAAATGAAAGGTAGGCTGGATCGATTACCAACAACACAAATTATAATTGGCAAGTATGCCGAGGAATTTTAATTGGCGAACTCTTTCTTTTATCGAAAAAATAATTATTTATCTTGCTAAGCACTGGGAATAATTTTGCCATCACACCTCTACCCTGTGTGGGTTTGCAGGTTCGAATTTTGTTGTGGATAATTATTTGTGAATGGATTGTGGACCCCCACCACCGTAGTAGGGTGGTTCATGTAACCGCTGATCAATTATGGTCTTGCTGCACACTAACACAAATATGATTTCTGTATTCATTCGTCAGATGATACGCATCAGAATTCCTATAGACTTAACCATTTGTTTACACGTATTTATCAGATTCAGATATTTATTTCCGTCATGCATGAAATATTACACTATTAAAACAAAGAACACAAAAATAAATCTATTGGAAAAAAAAAATAACACAATATTTTGATTGCAATTGACGAGGAGCCACGAATAAACTATAAGTCGTCGTGTCAGCGACACCAAAATTGCCGTGGTCAGCAGCAGATGACGTCAAATAACTAGTATTTAGAATACATTTGGAAAATGTGGATCGAAGATAAAACGTCACTTAGGAGAGAATTGTTTAAAAGGAAAATAAGTTAAAACGAGAGAGTCAGTTATCATATACAAATACTCTGGAATGTCAACATAGCTTTAATTTACAATCAAAAGCCTTTCGCGACATGGCTCCAATACCTAATTTGTACTGAAATTTCTACATTCATTCGTCTTTGTATCCTCTCTTTTTTTTTATGTATACAGAAGGAGAATCCTATCATCCTCTTGTTCATTCTGCATTATTGACTGTTCTTCGCCAAGAAATTGATAGATTCGATCGTTTATTGAGAGTTATTCATTTCAATATACGATCATTGATGAGAGCAATAAAAGGAGAAATTGTAATGTCAGAAGCATTAGAGAAAACTCATGCTTCTCTATTAATGCACAAGGTATGTCTCGTCCATAATAAAATGGAAGTGTATCACAACAAAAGCACTAAAAGAGGTATTAAAAAATGAATTACAATAAATATTTTGTTAAAACTGACAACAACTCATTGTAAAAGCTGACCACTTATCCAAGTTTGATGAAACATTGAAACCTTTGAAAAAGGGCCTTGTGTGGACCAGCCATCTTTGCAAGAAAAACTTGTGTACCATCCACCACTGGCTTGAGGTTTGGTGTCTATTGGTAAATAACATTAATTTACTTGTTCTGGTCACCATTGATGGTTAACCAAGTGGTTATTATAAGCACATAGTATGATGATAACATTGAATTTAGATGTGCTAAAATTGCTTTCTCAAGTGACACAAACCCTATTAAGTTATGTTTGAAATTTCAGCTGACTGAATATATTCATATGTTATTTCTTAGTTTTACTTAATTGGATATACATGCTATGTTGCTTGTTTTAAAATTATCTCGGCAAATTTGATGGTTTTCACACAGGAAGATCAAGAATACATATAAATTAAACTTTAATACATCGATCATTCAATCATTGTTTGCAGGTTCCAACTCAATGGCAAGAAGCTGCATACGAATCTTGTAAAATGTTGGGATCATGGGTTGCTGATTTAACACATCGAATCGATTTTTTTGCAACTTGGTCAGAACTTGTTATACATGCAATAGAGACCAAGGTATCTAGTTTACTCTTTAAAGAATAAATAATACTTTTTCGTCATAGTATAGGTAAAGCGCTTTCTCAAATTCAACTTTTCCCCCTTTTTTTTTTTTTTTGCTTTCATTTTTTGTTCATTTAGCTAAATTATTGTTTTTAATGAGGACTTAAAATTGTTATTATTTTTGCAATGAATGGAGAAGGATAGAGAAAGATTTATTGCTTTTGTCAAACCAAAGAAACAAGCACAAATATCAGTTTCAAATTTATAGTTTGTTAACATTGTTAATTATTACATTCATTTTTACCAAATTTTCTCAAAATTTTGATGTTCCCATTTTAACACATGGTATTCTTTTATATGCCTTTGACATTTGTGTCCATGTATTTGAGCATTGCTCTCTTGTTTATGTCAAAGCATAGGATGTAAACGAGCATGCTCTTTGGTCAGGCTTCGTGAGCATATGAATTCAATCTGTGTAATGAAAGTGCAGTGTCGATGTCGAATTAATCCTCACTGATTATAAAACTCAAACAAAGATAAAATATTGTTGACTAATTGGTTAGGTTGGAATTGCATTAGCAAGTGGAGGTCCGACTCCTTCATCTCAGCGATCAAAATCACAAACTCCTGCTGAACATCGACCCTCCATTTCTAACTCATCTACGGAAGATGAAATTCTGTATCAACCAAAGAGTTTCTGGTTATCTGCTTTCTTTTTCCCGCAAGGTAACTTGTTATAACAGATTGCCGTATAAAGAGTCATAACCTAGACAAAAAGACATTAAGACACTTCTTAAGTTGTCTGTATGTCAGCAATTGAATCAAAATATACTTTATCTTACTTTTTTTGATAGTCTTAAGCAAAGTATAACTATATTTCTATCTTTACAAGGTTACCCATAACCGCTTTTTTAAATCTAAGATGTCAATGCATCTGTTTCTTGAACTCGCAGATCTATCTTTCACTACAATCCTCTAAATAATTTTAAGCAATTTCTCTTTGAAGCTGATGTTATCTTTGAATTCAAATATAAACAAAAAATCCTATTTGATATCCACATATATTATTATCATTCCATAGACGAGGCTGGTATAGATCAAAAGTTTTACTCGTCAGTGACTAACTTACAGTGACTTAAAAAGACTGTCTACTTGAACTTGCCTTACTTGTTACACTTTGAAATGAAATATTGAGATATCTATTATGTAAAAACCATTAAGGAACAAACTGATTGTTAAATATTTTTATCTTAACCAGGTTTTTTGACTGGAGTTCTGCAAAATTATGCAAGAAAGTATCTAATATCAGTTGATTCTTTGGCATTTCAATTTCATGTGTTTGATGTTGGACAAGATGATGACATAATTGATGCAAAGAAAAAGCTACAAGTAAATTAGTTTAAATAATTCAAATAATTGAATAAGGTATACTGACTTATATTTATCCTGCCCAGATTCACTAGTTCAGAATGGTCAAAAGAAAAAAATGGTTCCAGATATGTGAACACCTAATTATTCGGTACTCCTGAAGTATGTGAACCAAGATGATGGACACCTGAACGTAGTATGTATACCATGTTAGGGTTAGGTCATAATTTCAGGTACAAATACTACGGGAGTCACTTGGCTAGTCCCCGGACTTGTAATAGAACTAAAATAAGAAAAATTGGAATAAAATTATGGCCTAACCCTAACCTGGTGCATATACTACGTTCCGATGCAGCCATCTTGGTTCACATACTTTGGGAGTACCAATTATTCATCATGACATTTGGACAAGTAAAGAATTCGAGTCAGTGTCTTCAATGTATGGTAATCTTTTATTGGATGGGGAACTCTGGTGTTCAATCTCTTCAATGAGTTCTGGCTGAACCCTTTGACTTCTATTGATCATAAATCTGTGTTCTAATTTTCCATGTTGACTATTTGCAATAGTTTCTTGTGATGGGTATTTTCATACATTGTGGGCATGTAAATAAATTGTTACATTATTATGTTTTTTTTTTAGGAAAATTATGCCAACTGTTAGCATCTTGATAAACTAACCTAACCCACTCAGAATCAAATGAATTATTCAGCCTAAAATGAATAACTTTGTCCAATAAAGGTTACTGAGTCAATACCATGCCAACAAGTTCACTCGGGGTAAAATAGAGTGGGTAGGCTACATCAAACCCAAAAATTATGGTACATCTCAACAACAATGGTTTCTTACAAGTCAGTAGGCCACATGCTCTGCGTTTATCATGACGAGTAGTGACTCTCCCACCTAGATCATAATATATTTGGTGACCATATTATTATTAATTAATTTGCAGGTTTTAGATCTTGCTTTTGGTATCAGTCAAACAAACGCAGTTGAAGATGGTGTGAAAGTGTTTGGTTTATATTTGGATGGTGCAAGATGGGATCCTGAGATTAAATTACTTGTCGATTCCCTACCTGGAATTCGCCACTTCAGGATGCCAGAAATACATTTTCTTCCTGTACCAGTGAGAATAACTTCATTACGTATATATATCCTATATTACATCATATAAAACCTCATATTTATTTATTTTCTTTTACTAAGGATTTTAAAATATATGTTTGTCATCAATCATCTTTCGCGTACACTAAAAACTTGTTGAAACCAAGATAAAGATTGAGTAGCATTCGGACAAATTTACTGTCAATCAGTAATACCTCACAATAAAATATTACTTTACATCGAATATTATGTAGTTAAAGTCAACATATATCATTGTTTGACTTTATTATTCAAATCCACTGTTTCTATGGCAACCCCATAGCCTTTTAAATGGTGATTAGGACCAATACTTATCATTATTGTCAGACATTTTAGAATATTTGGAAGTAGGATTGTAAAGAATAATCAAACTAGAACTGAATGAGCAACCCTGTGGTACACTCTCTGATTAGATAGAGTTGGGTTTCATTTTACTTCCATTGGAATGTAGTCTGCTCAAAATCACAACTAATTTTGGTTTATAATTTACCTACTAATTATGCTTACATTTACCTTATTGCTCTTAGCAAGGCTTTGAAAAAGCAACCATTGAGTTCGAAATCACTTGAAAGCATCTGCCATTCCAATTTCCAAGTATTGGAAACACACCTCCCAATGCATGACCTATTACCCTTCGTGAGCGCAGGAGGCTGCTATCCACCATAGAAATAAGTCCGGAATCATATTTTGTTACCTTTTGATGTGGCATAATTTAACTGGAACACTAAACTGGATGTCTTCCTTGCAAACATATGTGACCGCATACATGTATTTGAAAATAGATAATCAACTATCATATGTATTTGCAGTCTGTTCAAAATGACGAAGTATCTGGGAAACCAACATCTCATGATGACAGACCAACAACCGGTGGAAGCAAAAGTTCAACATCAGAGAAAAAAGAAGACTTGTTGGACCAATCTTTTGGCCATATGTATGAATGTCCTTTGTATCGAACATCTACTCGTGCTGGTACTCTGTCATCAACCGGTCATTCAACCAACTTTGTCAGTGCTGTTTCGCTGCCATCTCATTTGGAACCAGATCACTGGATTCTCAGAGGAGCAGCATTGCTTTGTCAACTCGACGAATAGTAACTTCGTTTGTTGTTCACGGTTTTTGTGTTGTATATATTCTTCGTATTTTTCTACATTGAAATTTCTACACATAAAGAAAGCTTCCATTATTACAGGGTAATATGGCGAACAATTTACCCTCCAGAGCAAATACTCGATTTTGCTTTCGTTATAAATATGTATGAATTTGGCTTGCACGTAATCTACAAAAATCAATTCCGTAATTACGACAAAATAGCTTTCGTATTGACACCTAATCGCGATAGTTTCACTTACATTACACTTCAACAATCTCTTCCTCATAAAATAAGGAATGAGACCAAGCGTGTCGCAAGCATCATGCCAGATTTAAATTATGACTGATGAGGATATATTGGGCGAACCAAATGAAACAATCTGCCAAAAAATGGGCAACGACAAACGAAGCGAGCATAACTTTAGTCTTCAATATTGACAAGTACGCATTGGGTATGAAATTTCGACATTACGACTTTTGAATTACATTTTTAACATCATAAAGTAGGAACAAACAACTTCAGGCAAGTGATAAGCGGGGTTTGACAAGTAATTATTTCGAGCCACTGTTTTAAACCAGGGCGCTGCCAGGATTTTCAAAAGGTCGACGTTCGAATGAGAAATCTGAAATTCCATGAAACAGTCTCGGTTATGCTACTCTCTCGATTATGCTACTCGTAAAAATAGCCAACTTTTTTAGCAGATAGACAATAGACAATAAGTTTATTTCGTCGTGCAAGAAATTTTTCTTTTGCACACAATATCAAATTCATACTCGATATCATTGTTTAAAATTTTCTGCTGTATTATTTCAATGGTGCGCAATGTAACTCGCGTTTGAGCCGATTTGCGACAAAATAAAAGCATTGCTACTCCAAAATATCACGGAAATTTGCAGACATGGAAATGAGTGGTAATCTGCCTGATTATATTTAGTTCTGATTTGTATTCTTGCAATCGTTATCCCAAGATCTGAAATAAACCCCCGGAGAGAATTAATCTTATTACAATAAAAAATTGATCAAACATACTTTACATTAATTAGCTTATATATCATAATGACCGACATAATACCGATGTTCGAGACCCGAATAACACGTCACACTGACGAAAACAATCGGCAATTTTAACAAAATTGGACCTGTAAAAATTGCATTCGTTTGTTGGCGACTTTTTCGGACGTTGAACCACCCTAGCTGCGCCACTGGTTTATACCCAATTAGCAGTTGGGTAAATTCCGCAAATATAAAATAGCGAGCAGGGTCGCATATTTTTTCAATACTGGTAGAAACGAGATCAAAATTGTTAAAACATTTGACCGAGGCATAAAATTACACGATTTTGACCGAAGGAACATGATTCCATCATCGTTTTTCGTCTTTCACGTTCGTTCACGAGGCGAAGGGAATAATTGTGCAGCGCGGAATTGGCGGGAGTGAACGTTTGTTTGGTCCATAATTACGATTTCATAATTTAAAATTTGACGACGTAACTGAAAATAAATTCCGCCTAATTTGAATATAGTATAATTAAGCCAGGAATTTATAGCAGCACAGAAGCATAATTTTGTCCAAACACATGTTTTATTTGACTAGCGTAGTGCATTACCTACTTTGAAGGCACTTCATTTGATATTTTCATTTTTTCCGGTATGGTTCATGTTTACCAAAGGTTTATGCTGTATAGTCAGTACCTACAGGCCTAAGAATTCAACTAACTCTTGTACAACCAATATGTATTTATTTTAGTTCTGTTCGATTGATTCTCATAAATATTCATATTTAATGCAAACTGTATGTTAGATTATATACCTTTGATGCCCTTTTTCCTGAAGTTTATCTTTTGCCTTATGGTCTATAATTATATATAGGAATCCTTCATAATTATACGGACAATTATTATTCAAAATTTTATTCCATGTAACAGTATATCTTCAGGGTAAAAAACGAAGTTCACTGTAAAAAATGTTTTCTGTATTCGAGTAATTCATTTGGCTCTTTTATAAAAACCATTGTGAATAAACAGTATACATTAAACTTTATTTTGATTGATTACTTGTTTGAGAATGTGTTTGCTGTGCCAATTAACCATTACCTAAAATGGAATGAAATTGTTTTTGAAAATAAAATAGTTTTTTAACTTTGTGATTATTTTTTGTCAGAATGCATATTTAATCTTAGTGGAGTCTCCATTTATATCAGGCGTCAGAATAGATATCTCAGTGTATCTCCTGAATTTGATTGAACCCCTGGGGCCATTGGCCGAGTTTACAACGGTTTACAGACGTTTCGCCCCTCGCACTTTTCTGATTACTACGTGACATATGACAGTTTGAGGTGTGACCTTTACTTTCAAGCTTTCTTAAAGTTAATTAAAAATAATAATATACGAATATTTACCGATTTAATTACTGATATTTTCATCCACCATCGGTAACCCGCGGCTCCGATATAACCCTAACCCTGTAACTCCCTGAATATGCCCAAATGTCCTGTAAACTCACATGTATTTATATAATGCTATTTTTGAACGACTTCCACGGCGAATGTAAAACAAAATTATATTTGAAACCGTCTATATACCGGTATACCATGTTTCCCCAAAAACAAGACTTGGTCTTATGTCAATTTTCTTCCAAAAAATAACACTAGGGCTTATTTTCGGCGGATGTCTTATATTTTCATTTATCAAAAACAAAATTACAAAGTAGATATTTACAAGGTTTTTAAATATACAAAATATGAAAACCGATATTCTATTACTTGTAAACAAGTAAATTACGTGGAACGCTAATTTGAATATATTATTATTAAGCCAGGAATTTAGCGTAACACAGGGGCATAATTTTGTCAAAACACATGCTTTATTTAAATAATGTATAGTCTTCATCTACTTTGAAGGTACTTCATTTGATAGTTCCATTTTTTTTGTGTACGGTTTATATTTTCCAAGGTTTCTATTGTATAGTCATGTATATTTTACCTAAGAATATATCTAACTGTTATACAATCAAGAGGTATATATTTTAGTTCCGTTCGATTGATTCTCATAAATATTCATACTTAATGCCGACTTTTCGTTAGATTCCACACCCGTGATGCCTTTTTTAATCTAGCGTTTGTTTTTTGCTCTGTAATTATATATAGAAAATCTTCATAATTATACGGACAATTATTATTCCAAATTTTATTTCATGTAACAGTATATCTTCGCCATAAAAACCATTTTTAGGTATTTCGAAAACAAAATTTAATGTATTCAATGTTTTTCTTCATTTGAGTAATTGATTTGGTTATATCATCCTCACGAGATTCCTGTCGCAATATCGAACGTTTGAGAAGACGAATGCATAAAAGTCGTGTTCATCAGAAAGGATTACAGTCCTAAATGACACACTATTGGTATGACTAAAACACATTATCAAAGAGACGTTTTTCCCAAACGAAATACAGATTTCGATGGTTCTCAGCACTAATCCCCTTTTGTCCTCGACGGTGCCGAGAATCTGCTCTTGAAAGTCTCACTTTCTCCTAAAATTCTTAAAAAAAATAAAAGCTAAAAACTAGATAAATCACTGTCAAATTTACAATGAAAACCAAAAAAAATCTGATTATGTCTAAAAAAAAAAGAAAGTTTGGCGATCACGGTATATGTTAGATTTAGGACATGCTGTGCAAAGCCAAAATACTTGAAAAATACAAAATGTATGAGGTGCTTGCACAACTGTTTTCTATATCTATATGAAAATTGTTATGAAGCGATTTGATAAGGTCTCTTTGAGTGTTTTTTATTCATATTTACATATTAGTAGGCTTGGAAATTTTTTTTGTGTAACAATTAGAGCAGATAATGTAATAAATATCTATTTCTTCTACATATTCGTGTGGTATAAAATTACTGATGACCTTCAACGGACCATTATTTACCGAAAAATTTGGATAAGAAATTGGAATAAAAAATTAAATATCAAGTTGGGTAAAGGGACTGAAACCTATATTCAATTGGCTAACACAGACAGTCCCCAAACTCGTAATAGAACTAAAATACGGAGAATCGGAATAAAATTATGGCCTAATTCTAACCTGGTACACACACTACAGGAAAACCTTTGCAGCTACCAACATTATCGCTCAAAAGCGTAACTTTGGTGATATTCCTTTTATTTAGTCTACTAAGATGAGAAATAGGCTTCCCGTTAGTTTAAGTAAGAGTACGGTTGTGTCAGGGGAACTGACACAATGTGTTTATCAAAAGGGCAGGAAAAGTAGAAATAATGCGATGAAATACAATCAGGAATACAAATTCCAATAAAACATATGCGTATCCACTAGTTGTCGATGGTTACGTTATAATATATAAGAAATAATTAGCTATTATTTGATTCAATATTTGTTCTGTTAAGTCGTTTATCAACCCACCTGACTACTCATATTATATATATCTTTAGGAGGTAGCTCCTGATTACTAGGAATATTATTATCGGATAATAGCCTTTGTGATGTCGTTTTTGTCACCTATACCTATGTAGATATACCGTTGAGCATCCATTCATTTAGTGATACTCATTGTAGATTGTCAATCCACAGATGCTTTGCTCCTGAATGTAACAGATTTTAGTGGTGAAAAGTATTTCCTATTGTAGCAGACATAGCAGTTGAATAAATTGGCCTGGCATGAAAACTTGACCTTGTAGTGCCAAGATAATCGTACGAAATTGTTTTTAAAAACATGTTGTTCTGGTACCCAAGATGATAAAGTTGTTTTGGACTTGGACTATGTAAATGTGATGAAGTTATACTCAACGTACACTAAAAAGATTTATCATTCATACCAGAAGTTCTATATACCATGTGAATGTTACAAAAAAAAGACGTGTAAAAACAGGGAGTTTTTCAGGGAACAGAACGGTCGATAAGTCTGCAACACTCATCGAGAGGAAAGCTTTAATTTTCATATGACAAAGAGATTCAGTGCATGCGCTGCATGTGTCGGGGCATCCGAGTTACCCAAATGACAAAGGCGTCATCGCAGTATAAGTTGCATCTTTTTATTATGTTAACTCCGTCCAAATATGAAAAGAAAAATCACCTTTCCCAATGATGAACCGAATCAATTTCTGACTACAAATTTTGATATAGAACCCAATAACGTTGTGAATCATGATTCTGGTTTCTCTTGCTTGTCATTATCATTAGAATACAGAGCCATATTTTGAGTGGGATGCATTTCAGGGTTTAAAAATGCTCTGAATCATTTGTTTTAAATGTCATAACGTAAAGAAAAAACAATCTTCAGTTCACATCTTGGCAAATATTTCAGGTCATCGGTTGATCTTTTTGGGGGATTAGTCCAAACTAAATACCAAAATTAATGGGAAGTTTCGGTTTGTAATATTTTTCACAACCATGACGCAATAGACTTGTCTATACTAAAGGTCATATTTTTAAACATGAGATATGTTGACCGGAAAATCCTCGAGAAAAGTGTACAAAACATACCTAGCTGCAATAAAAAACAAGCATAATCACTGCATTTCAGCACTCATCGGTAGAGGTCGTCAGAGCCCACGTTTGCAAGTTATATAACTTCTGACGTACGCAAACTTTTCTGCGCGATGAAGGAGAAAAGGCCTCACCGTTTTAAATCTGTAAACGTAGACGAATGTGTTGAGAATGCAATCCCGTGAACGGTTACATAAGCAGTATGTTTAGAAACTAACTTTGAATTATGAAAGCAATAGCACAGAATTGTTATTTACGAATAATAACTTTTCACACTTGTATATATATAATTCTCACTAAAAAGCATCAGTTAATTGTAAGAAAAACAATATAAAATCACATTTCGAACATCTGAAAATACAATTCTTTGCTTCATCAAGGTTGGGTGTAAATCAGTGGTTTTTGATGAAATGGAACCCAATCAAACGTTTTAGACGCTCGAAGAACCCCTGTGCAATAGTTTGATTGTTTTTATTGTCTAAATTGCATATTCTATAAATACACATTAAAGCAAACATAATACCAGTAAAACAAAATGGTATTTAGTTCAAGAGTGGAAAGTTCAATGCTAGTGGCAAACCTAATAGGTATTTGAATATATTTGAACGATATACATATAGAGTATTAATATAAACTCTCGGATTTGAATGGAAACTGGCATAACCCCGACTGAAAACCGATGGTGTAAAATCATGACCATGGCATAGAAGACTCCATTCATTTCCACATGTCGAGGTTTTGCAAAAATACAAGTAGAGCGATAGGGCAAAGGTTCAATTTATGGGATATCCGACTGATTTTTAAAACAGTTCGCGCTATGTAAAATATCAAACTTATAGCTTACATATTATAGATTATTTCATAGAAGTTTCACTTAGTTAGTCCAAGTATAACAAGAATGAACGCTGACTTAGAACCCTGCGTTCCTATTGACGAAAAGTGGCTCAAATATAACTTGGGCTGCTTCTAGGTATAAATAATTAATACATAGTGCTGACATTTATACCTAATATGTATAAAAATTTTACGTTCTCGTTCTCTTTATCTTTAGATTCGTGGCTGGTCACTCTTGGGGGAAAATGTCTTAATTATAAAATTTAAAACAAAAAGATATTACCCATCTCTATTAAATATTGATGTTTTCTTCGTAAGACGTGATAGTGTTAATAATTTTGACATATAAAATCTATTTTTCTGTTCCTTGAATATCTATTTATTTTTCGCATATTTTCAGAAGTTGTTAACGTATTTTCGACAAAATATGTTTTCATGGGTGGTCAAAAGTATTGACTTATAGGCTACATCTCGGCCATTGGTATTCTAATTAAATGGCATTTTAAATGCGCTATGCATTCGAAAATCAGCAGTTGGCAGTCAAATTGAACAAAGTAGTTTTATTTAAGCCAAATGCAAGCACTTTTAATTTTCAAAGCATCTATATTTTTTCGTGTTGATTAATTTTCTTGCACAAATATAGAAAATATTTTCAAACTAAAGTCCTGACACTGAAATTTTCAGCAGAAAATGGCTTGTAAGAATTTAGTTTTCAGTTATTCGTTTCACAGTGTACACTTTGGAGTCTTTTGTGTACATCTCATCATTATTACATTATTTGTCTTTGAGCTGTAGCCTAATCATTAATTATCGTCAAGTGGCTATGGATTGCATTCGTTTAATTGGGATTCGAATAGTCTGAATTATTACAGATATAAGTCATAGGAAATAATATATAGTTTATAATAGTATAAGCATAATAGGTTTATTCCATTTTCCGGGGGTTTTCGCAACGAACCCGAACATCCACACGTTTTCTCAAGCTAAATACGTGTAAAGAAATGAAAACAAAAGCACTGTTAATTCTATATTAGTCTGTCTAAACACTTACCTAATAAAGGAAGATAAATAATAAAAGATTACGAAAAGTTGCAAAAATAATAAAATTTTATTGTCGTTTCAAATTATAATAATGACAACAACGAGATTGGGTATCAATGGCTAAAAATAATTCAAAGCAGCTTCATTTTGATTGAAGCCATCAAAATTGTGGAATTGTGAATTGACAATAGTGAAATAAAGCATTTTCGTACTAAAGTTCTTTTCATGAATCAGATACCCGGAATTTTTCTCCATATCAAAATCTTACCGCTTTAAAAATGTTAAAACTGAAATATTTTCAAACTATTTTTATACATTGCCAAATATATCTTTCAGACTCAATTCTTGCTAGGTCCATTTGACATTTTGTCCATTTTTTGTTAGTATATATAAACATATTTAAATATAATCAAAACTATATATACCACTCTTTATGCTGACATAATTAAATAATGTTGTTGTGAAATATTATGCATGATGAAACAGTCTCTTAACGTTCCAAAATGTTCACATGCTGACAATATTTGAATGAAAATGTCGAGCAATAATTTAATTATTATTTGTAATTTACTTTTTCAGGCACTGGCATATTGAAATGAATTTCCAGAGTCAAATAATGAATTTCATTTTTGTCTGAATTTCTGTTAAAAATTGTTAATGGTATTCATGTATTAATGCCATATAGAAACAAATTTAAAAACAGAGAGAAATGAGATTCTCAAACTTTAATCCATATCCATGCACCATGCAGACGTTGATTAACACTTCCAACATACATCCATATGAAAGAATCTCGATTGATGCAATAACGATTTGACAAAATGAATAGTAAGTAGTTTATTGAGCTCATCAGAAATGTAATGATAAATTTTGTAATTACTATATAACTGAACTCAAAAAGAAAAGTTTTTTTCACAGACTATTTAATGACTAACTTAATTTATCATCCTAGTTTAAAGCCGTTAATAATTTGGATTTGAACTATTTTGATCACTGAAAGACAGTTTTCGGATTTAATACACCTTAAATATATAAGATCATTTATTAAAAATTTCATAGCTTTGTCTGTCTTCATGTATACTCGTTTTCAGCAACTGGCACAATCAAAGACAGAACAAATTTACTCCACGTCAATGTCTTCTCGTGGGTTCAGTTTATTAACTACAGTTCCCAATGATAGATGGATATTTTTGACAAGTGTTCGCGCAACCAAGCTGCTGCGTATTGGATATTCAGATTGCATCGAGCAATACTAGTTTTTCGTGTTACCTTTGGCATAAAACGTCAGAAATAATTTTTCTCGTATATACAGCTCTGGAATAGAAATGACTTAAGTTGTTTTTATATATATTTAAATTAAAAAAATCAGAGTGCTTTGATACGTGCAAACGATAAATGTATTTTCGAATAACGTACACAAGCCGATATCCTTATGAGTCCCATTAGCTCAGTCCCTGAGCGATGGATTAAAAAGGCTGTTGAATTTGTAAACACCATAAAAAATGATAATCTTCTTAGCCGCCGAGAGGAGTCACGAGAGGGAGCGATCGATTCGTTATCGAAAAAATAATAATTTTGTTAGGAGTAGATTTTTAGCGGACAAAATATAAAGGCCTGCGTATTCATTTCCCGTTCAGTTGCGGCAGTGACTTTTCTGTCGTTCTCGAAGGATGGCAACCGAAGAGGTTGGTATGGAGAGCACTTTACAGGATGGAGGGTATGAACGAAGTAGTGGGTAAGTCTTCACTTTATGGTAAAGTACATAGAAATGAATAATTTTTCTGACCGATTCAATATCTTATTTATTTTGCTATGTTTCTATAATAAAGTGATTTGTAACAAACGTATTTTTATTTGTGATATCTAAAAAAAAAACGAGAGTTTTGAAGGGAAATATTATAAAACATTTGATTCAAAATTCCCCGAAGAATTGATTCAGGAAAAAAATATTGACGTACCGCATCACTGATTCGTTTCAGTTGAAATATATTCTATTATATAATCCCTTCAATTGTTAGATGATAGAATCACCTGGCGTAGCTGTAATTTTGATGCAAACGAAGAACAGCTGCAATAATATTTAACAAATATAATAACAAGGAATCACGAACTACAAATTCCAACTAATATTTCGTGCTATAAAACTAGAACATTTTCGCCAGCGTATGGCATATCTACACAATCTATATTTGCTACAAAATATCCGTCAGTTTGCTATAACATGAACAGTTTGTTTTTCCAATTCTCGTCACAATCTCGCGTTCGTATTGATCACGATGTTATAAGTTATTTACGTAATTAGTTATAACTGTCAAAAAGACAAGCACCTGGGAATAAGACAAAATCGAATTTTAAAATTTAATGTGCATTCCTAATTGTTCACGACGTCAATTGTAGTCACTAACTGTATCAACATATCGGTCTTTGCCTTTGACTTCCGCACCTTCGACAACCCGATAAATAACCGACCTAAATTGGTTATCTAGGACCTAGGTTATCCACGTTCATTCATAATTATGGAATCATTCTAGTTAGTTTTTTTCTTGAAAACGAAATCGTTATGTCCTACACCTTACACAATATTTGGAGAGGATTGGCGATTGCCGTATTGTAATAAATTCCAAATCATTTATAATTTTTTTATCACATTTTTCCTTTTTTTTTCAGATATTAAAATTTTTACAGCATACAATCATCAAATACTTTAAAAAAATTTAAATACTTTTTTGGAAAATCAGGGTCACGCGCACTTTTTTGGAAGTAAAGGTGGTCGATCTCAACTGGGGTTTTCATAAAAAATAAAAACATTAATAAATGAATTAAATAAAGACAAAACGTAAATAAGTCATTTGCAAAAGTCAAAGTTATACGTCAAATGGAAGTCCTAAAATGCCACTAAGTCTCAATATCGATTCCAAGTGGTTCAAATTGGATGATTGAAACCTGATATTTTAATAAAACAATATGTGAAATGTGAATCAGAATAAAACACGATGATTCATGCAATTATTTTACATTTAAACATAAGCAAATCGTTCTTTGAGCAATAATAAATACCAACTTACGCCACTGACTATATAGTCCACATATGTTAGATCAGTCGTTCTCAACCTTTTTCGATACATTCTTTTTCTTTGCCAATTATATATCTAGTTATTCTTCTTTCGCTATGCATAAAAGCTTAATTGCGCAAAAACAAATATATATATTTATACATTTTCTTATGTCATTATTTGAATTGAAAGACTTGGAGCCCAACCAATGCGTTTAATTGTTAACTGAAATAGATAGTCAGCATTTGGAATCAAGTCCAGTAATCCTCTCGTTTAACATCTTTTCTGGTTGCCGGTGAGCGTATTTCTGTTAGTTGTTCAATCTTCAATTAAAGGATACTTAGCATGATTTCGTGCCGCCCGCGCACATGCATGCAGACTTTTGCAGAGTTTAAATATTTTATAATGCATCCATAAATATGTATTACATTTATACCAAATTACCAAGCAATATTAGTAAATCAACACCAAAAAACAACTAAAGTTACAGATTGGTCGGTTGCATACAATGCTGCCGATATATTTGATGATATGAATTATGAATTTACTACGGGCCACTTCCACATGGCCTGTTTTAATAATTTTTGTTTCTCAGTATTTAATCAGTATTATTGATATAATTGCACTTGCAACTTTCCGGATGCAATGCAGTGTCTTTGATTTGATTTACATTAATGGCATGAAGACTTTTACGAAGGAATCATGTTTATTTGTATTTTATCTTTCTTTACTCAAAATGACGTGGTTAATCAACGATTACCTTACATTTCAACTCTTCTGGGACTCTTCTGACAAACTAAAATTTTTTGTTAAAAGTCATTTCTTATTTTTCTGGTTTTATTGATATTAAGTACTTATAAAATAAATTCCACTACTAATCAAATTTTTAGCAACTCAAAATTTACAATTCCTGTCCTATATAGTCTGTTATTGATCTTCGAGACTGAAATATGACTAGTCTACTATGCAAAATTAGAATACAAAACCAATTGTTCAAGTTCGCGTAGATTTTGAACTTGAATCTATATATAAATATATATATGGTACTTGATAAAAAAAAACATTACCGCACCTTTCGAATACACCATCACCTAAGGAGCAATTTAACGTAAAAGACCACGAGTTTCGAAGGCCCAGGATTGTTTTATGATGATTTTCTCGTCCAGTCGAAAGGGCCGCACGTAGGCTAGGAACATAAATTTTCAACCAGGACGCCAAGATATAGCCCCGGACTGATAACACATTGTTATCACTGTTAGTTATGATCGTCATCATCGCTAACTTGGCTCTAATTTGGAATGGTTGAATAAACAATTTGCAATTTTCAGATTATCAGAAACCACGACGGACTGGGAGACCGCAAAAACTCCCCAGAGAAACTTTTATGGGTCAATAGCCATGACCTTTTTGATCTTAGGGTTGATATCTGTTGTTGGCAATCTTCTTCTTGTCTACACATTTTGCAGGTAAGTTGCATTATTGAAACTAAAATATCCTGTTTTCAATATTACGAATGATTATAAATTGCTGGATCCTATTTGACTTTCACATCACTATTAATTCCAAAACATACAACTCAAATGCAGGTGTTTGATTCTTCCAATTTCCGAAACACAAAATGTCCACATCTTCAATTTCAAATTTATATGATCAAGCCTTCTATTATGGCTCCTGCATGAAAGGTTTTTGCACATGAAGTGGACCTGTGGATCGTTTTGCTAGATTGAGGATGTTGTTGTAGTTACTGGGTTGATTGTTGTTGAAAAAAAATCGGTTTTCTTTGTAACTAATGGATTGATTGATTCAAAATTTTTATTGATTTAATAAAAATGGTTTAAAACCGATAGAAGGTTTCTTTTGGGTATTGCCTCTAAGTCTTATTTTGATCCGAAATTTAATCAAAATATTTTTGGCCTTCTCTTCCGGCTTGTCCACCAATCTTTTCAGCAAAACAGTAAAAATTTGTGCTCAGCCTTACCGTGCCGGTAGTTTTGTGCGACCGTGCCGGTACCGGTGTAAATTTACTGCGGCAGATAGACTTGTATTAAAGGTTGATATGTATCTTTTAAATGAGCAGGTAACGGACTTCAGTGTAAGTCACATTTGATACCGGATACCGGTTTTGCCGTTGGTCAATGGACCTTTGTATTTATATATTCTAGCATTGTTATGTTGTAATTAACTTTGAACTACATAGGGAAGATTAAATATTATTAATAGTGACTCATAGAACTCCAATTTTTCATATTTATTCAAAGCTCATTATACGGGATTAAACTTTGCAAGGTGCTTTTTTGTCATAGCGTATTATCTTTCTTGTCAGACTTGTTGCTGAAAATCGATGCATGCGACACAAAATTTTATTAAATAGTTTTTTTAATCATACTATGGGATTAAAGTGAATAATTCACAATGTCTGCACATCGACACCTTCAAGTTAAGATGCTTTAAGTAATCATGACCTTGCTAAGAATTATAATAAGGAGCCTAAATCCAAAACAAATAGATAAATTTTTTCTCATATGTCACGATATGAATTGAAAGAATTGAAGTTCGAATACAAGCAATACGTTTAATTGTTAACTGAAACAGATAGTCAGCATTTGGAAACTAGTCCAGTAGTCGTCTCGTTCAACATATTTTTCTGGCTGCTGGTGAGCTGGGCATTATGCAATTCTAAATATTGATTAATTATTAATAAAGATTGATAGTTTCTAATCACATTGAACCTATTTGTTAAAACTGAATAATCAATTCGCTAATTGGTATTCATTATTCGCAAACTCGGCATTGCAATTGAATTTCGAGGTGAATTAATATTATGGGGAATTGAAAGACGTCAGTTTTTGTGAAGATAATTCAATTGTTGCATAACGGCATTTGAAACATTTTTAAACAATATCGCAAAGACAAAAATTTGATCAAAAGTAAATTTGCCCTGAAATACTGAAAGTATAATGGAGTTTTTAAGCAAGTTTATTCATGGGTTGGAAACCCTAAAAGAAAAGTGCAAGAATTAGTTATACAAGAGTCGAAAGCGAGATCACCGTAAAAAATCCTACATATAGATGTATTCGTGTGAGATATAGATGTGATTTTTGAGAAGCGGTTCGAGTACATTCAGGAAAATGGATGAGTGAAAAATTTCCACGAATCGGAAGTTCCTGATGATGAAACACTTTTTAATCACCAAACAAATTAATCTAATCCCCAAAATGTTATTTAATGTTGACCAATCATACAAATAAAATAATTCATATTTTTACTATTACAGACGGGAGCGGCTAAGAAAAAAGGCTGCCAATTTGCTGACTATACATCTGGCGGTTAACAATGCTTTTCTTGGCGTAATGGCTTTGAGAATTGGAGTGAAAATGGTGCTAAATCTAGGTGCAGAAGACCGTGAGTACTTAATTGTATACAACATAAATAAAGGAATGATTTTGATATTTCAAATGATTACCTATTAATTATTAATTAAGCCGCATTTTAAGTCTCAAAATAAGAAATCACTTAGACTTATAGAAATATTGTTATGCCCCAGATGAGGTGATGTTTTCAGCATTTTCACATGTTAATAACATATATCTATGTCCAAACTCAACTAATGAAATTAGTCTTAGATGTGTTATTAAATTACATAACATAAAATAGAAGAATTTCGTCGAATAAAGGTTTATATTTATCAATGCACGTGTTATCTATTCTAAACCAACAAACCCTAAAAAAATGTTTCAAGTTGAATTTTCGTTATAACTAAAACGAACTGAGTCAGACAGGTAAAACGTATTTTTCCACACTCAGTTGTTTTTCAATTTCGCTCCAAACAAAGATCTTTAGGGTTTGAACTTCTCTGCTCCCCCCTGTTTGGATTTGACATCGATTCGAGCATTTGATAACTTCTAACCGAGGGTCCCAAACATAGATATAGATATTCCAATCGCTTTATAAAACATTTAAATTTTAAATTAAAGTTATAGCGTATGCAACTGTTTTCCATTTACAAACCACATTTTGGAACTATCTTTTGTATTGTACCGTAATATATTACTGAACCAACATACGAATTAACCAATGTATGTGATTACCTAAAGTTCCGGTAATACGATATTTACCGCTGTGGAAAATCTCCTGTCGTTCTAAAATATCTAATGTGTTAGAATACACGTAAACTACGTTTTTGTATACCGTTCATTATAGATATAGATTTTTGTTATTTATCGTCAAATCGATAGTAAGAATGTCACTCTCAATCAAAACCACAACTTGAAAAAGAAGAATTTTCGTTTTGAATATTGAATTTAAGTCTTACGTCCCCGATGACAAACAAAATAGGTGACTTTGTTAACAATTCATGACGTTTTAGTAGTCGTTCATCACTTCGGCCACCTCTATTTGTGAACTAGTGTGGTGTGTTTTACAATATGATTCCATCGTTGTGCAATTAGCGTATTTTGATGCTCTTTCTTAAAATAATATTGATAGACGTTATAAGCTCGGTAAACCTCATAGTCATCCGGATATTCACCTAATCTAATTTCTGAATGAATGACATGACATATATCGACGATAAGTTTTTAAATTTTTAATCCACAAGGGATAAGTAAAACAACGCTGTTCCATTTGGCCCTTCTTCATTTATTATATTTAGTCTGGAAGAAATGAGAATTTGAATAGGAAGTTTACGAATATTCCTCCCACTTGGATAAAATGAAAACATTACATGTGTATGTTTCACTCCAACGTGATGTTTTATTACCTTAAAATTGATTTATATTCACTACAATTTTATTACAGTAATTAGTATAACATTAAGTATTTGTAACATGATTTTAAATCCAGTCATCTGAATTATTTCACTGTTTTTTCACTCATTTCGGGATAATAATATTAGTTTGGTTACATTATTCAATCTACTTTCGAAACACTACTCCGACAATGGCATCGATAAACGTCCATCAAGCGGCTAATGTAGTTGGCAAATTAAAAAATTGAAATTACTCCAAGCCTTGTCGGTATACAAAGATTAGCTGTTGGATTAGATTTAGTTTTCTTCATAAAAGTAGAAGAGTCTTTCGGCTCGGATATTTTTAAAGATTCCCTATATTATATATATATATATATATTGTTAAATTGTTATGCATTTTATCTCGCAAAAACGTATTGTAAATAGAAACAATCATAAATGTTTTGATACATAACCTATTAAAATGCTGTCAAAAATAGATTTCCAAATATTATTTGTTCAACTAATATAACAATTAAAGAAGCATCTTGCTTCGATATACCGTATTAGTCATATTCAGCTTTTATCTTTGCATCTTAAATAAACTAATTTTCATTTTTAGTCACGCGTTATAAACTATTATAAATTTTTTAATAAAATTTATAAACAAAATGAACTGTTTGAGACCATAACTCATTTGTAAAATAGAGACATTTGAAAAGCGAATGGAATCCAATCAGACGGAGATATTTTGGACAGGTTTCCAAACGCATATATGACAGTACTTTGAAACATAAAAATAGGTTTGGTTAACTTTATTGGGGAAAATAACTCTGTCTAATGTGCCATGCCTGAGTCCCGGAGGTTCCGGCTGTAAGCATGCTTTATATCAGCGGTCCATCCTCAACTATATAATAATAAAATCGAATTCTCTAATTGGCTTAATCGACGTAGTGAGGGGTCATGAATCGTATTAAGCACAAAATCCGCATGTATGTGTCTAAATATTTCGTTACATTCTAAATTATTTAATGTATTAATTCAAAGAGAATCTTTAATTTTTATGTAAACCTTGCTGTTATTCTGGCACAACACGTTTTAACTTGCAAAATAAGAAGATTGAAATGCAGTCGAAGAACAATTTCAAAATCGTGTTTAATATTGAAGAGTAACGTGCACTCTCCATTTATTATCTATAAATTACAACGAAATAATGTAATGTAGTATTGATTAGGTTGCTTCCTACCTCTGCTGCTTTGTTTGAGATAAATTACTGACTGCGAAGTCTGTGATTCATACCCACGTGTAATTTGTTTTTAATTTGTACGATGCCAGGTTCGCATTACAGATACTCGTTATATTGAGACTACTGCGTCCTTCAATAATTAATGAAAACATAAAATTATACGCGACTCGGCTCTTTGGCAATCATTTAATTTTTCTCACGTACGCTACCAAGGATAACAATGGGCATTATATTAATATATATATAATTATTCTTGTACTTCATACAAGAATAATTGTGTTCAATATATTTTTCAAGTAATCAGCTGTCAAACGGAAGGCTTTCTATTGTCGACAGTACACATCAATATTATGCTGACGATTGCCGCCATGTTCGGTGATCGATACGTCGTCATTTGTAAATCTGGATCTGAAGATTCGTGCTTGAGTATGTGCCACTACAGACCATCTAGAGTTGTTATTTTAATTTGGATACACAGGTGAATTATTTAAATTATAAATACAATTCCATTAAATCATGGTTCTTCTCTAGCCCTGTGACTGTAAAAAACGGGTACTACAGAATCAGAGTAGGGATTCCCAAACTGGAGAACATTTACCCCTGAGATCATAATTAGACAATGTCTATAAAATCCGTCACCTTGCATACACTGCGCGTGTCTCTATAATCTATTTCAAGCTAAAGAAATTTGCATAATGAATAATTGTAATGCAGTAGATTTTCCTAAGTACCTAACTATTTGAAACATGGTCTCGTCGGAACGAGTAAAATAAGTTCCAATTAGTTTTATGAGCTAAATGTCTTACGTTTGTATATAGGTATAAATTGAAAACCCTCATTTAATACCCAAATATGATATGCTTGGTTTGCGAAACCTATCTCAGAAGCAGAGTTTTGACACAAAATTCGAGTGAAAAGTGAGAAAAACCTATAATAGTGATAATTTAATAATGGGCATATCAAAAGGGTTCCTTCAAGCAAATAAATGACGATTCACTTTCAAAACACCAATAATATACAATTCACATATATTATGCTAGTGCATTCTGGGCATTTTGGCCACTCACTGCGGTTGTACCAAGCTATGTGGAGGAGACATTGATTCCATGTTGCATATTCGACCGACACAATGCAACACTGCTCAATATATTGTACCTTGTCGCAATGTCTTTGTCATCTTTCGTATTGCCTCTCATGTTCGTCTGCTTCAGCATGAGTCGGATATTCGAAGAAGTGAAAAATAGTTCAGAGTTGATCAGAATGCGAAAAGTAAGTATACATTTTTTGAAGATTTTCAGGCTAACTTTTGACTAACTAACCGTGTATTTTTAAAATGCTACATTACTGCGAAGCCGAGAATATTATCCTCGTTCTGAGATTTGATTTGCCTCGCCCACTTCTCGCAGAAAGTCGCATTTGTACAAATTAAACTTAGTAGGCTATGACCGTTACGTTTTTGGATACCTTCAACACATTTTCGAAAAAAAAGAAAATTTAACCATCTGATTGGCCACATATATATAACATATATGTAAATCGAATATAACAGCGCGGTATATACTTTCGATAATTATATATATATTAGAATTGGACTGAAGCTGACAGTGAGAGGTTCTGTGCTGCTTTTTTCAGCGCGACTGCTTCGGGTAATGAATCACACTCTTTTTCGAGCGTTTGTAACGGTGTTTCGATGGCATAGGCAAATAAAAAACAGTGTCGTTGACTGAATTAAATTCTTATGATGTGGGTATTGATATATGAATATGAAATTACTCTATTTTTTTTATTGCAGGGAAGAAGATATCTGACCCAATCTAGATCAGTATGTAGCGGGACAGATGCTTCGTAAGAATATTTTTTGTTTACTATGAGAAAGATTTATCAGTGGAATGGCTGTTTCCAAGGTCCTTGACCCCAAAAAAGTTCTTTTCCTATTTTATCATTGCAAAATTTTTAATGCTTATTTTGAGATTATTTTCGCGAGTAGGCGCGTGCAAACTGATTTATATCTTCGTAATCGCCATTTTGTCCGGACATATAAGTAGCTGCCTTCGTGTTCTGGTGTGATTTATGATTACTATACTTCCGAGAACAAAATGGCGGCGGATTCATCCGGTTTATACTTATATTCGGTACACATGACAAGAAAACTTGAAAATAGCAGTGCAATCCACGAAAACGATTAGATATTTACAATCATGATTCGATGATTGAAATTTGTTTCGAAACGAAAAGATATCCATGAGGCTGCTTTAAATTTCAATTAATAAGTCACCGTTTACCTATTGGTAATTGTTACGGGAATACACAAGAAAGTAAATATTCGGGGGAAAAAACATTGTGTTCCAGAGAATTGTGATTTTTGAAAACCTTACTTCAAGTTCACGTTTGTTCAAAATATTCAATTGACGTTGGTTGTATTTTATTACAAAAATAAGTCTTGCATACAATAAGCTCATTCAACAGCAATCTTTATTAATCTTCTCATTGCACTCACCAGAGCCCTATATGTATTCCAGTGCTTGTAACACTTGTTTCATGTATGCCAATTATACTTTTTTATGTTTTTGGTTACCTTCAAATATATTCATTACGTAAAATAATCTATTTATGGTAATTAGCGTAGTACGGAAATGGTTATAATTTTGATGTTTTTTTCTCTCCCTCTCATTTGTTTCTATAATGTGGCATAATTTTAGCAAATGTTACTCATTAAGCTGCATTTTTTTCATAACACACGACATCTTTCGTGTTTGAAGTTTCGGTACTCATGTAGTATGTGAAACAAGATGGCGGACACCGGAACGTAGTATGTGTACCAGGTTGGGGTTAAGCCATAATTTTAGGTACAAATACTACGGGAGTCACTTGACTAGTCCCCGAACTTTCAATAAAACTAAAATAAGGAAAATTGGAATAAAATTATGTCCTAACTCTAACCCGGTACACATACTACGTTCCGGTGTCCGCCATCTTGGTTCACATACTACGAGAGTGCCGTTCGCATGAAAATAACACTTGTTAGCAATTTTAGTAACAATATTACGTTTGGTACAACATTGATATACCGCCCTGCGAATGTCATAGAATCATAGTCAATGCAAAAAAGTGTGTTGGCATCATAGAGTACCAAATTTTAATCCCACCACAGCGGAAATCGACAGTAATTGACAGGGTAGGCAATATAAAAAAAGTAGAGTGGAGTAGTAACTCCAAACATATCAATGGTACTAGTCCCTCGTTTGAAGCTGAGATGAGACGAAAGTGAAAATATAATGTTTATGCAAGGCAGTAATTTATAATAAAGTCCCTTTAAAATTGATAATGGAAATTTTATTCCTTTCGTTCAGATATACTGAAGGAAGAGATCTACCACAGCAAAATTCCGAAAAAACAAAAGGCGCAACAGGTAAGAAAGAGATTTTATCACTCTGGGACTCTAAGGCATATATTAAACACTGATTCATTTTACTGTGGACTTATAATTAAGTCGCATTGTCAAATACTGGATTTGATTTGAGTCAATTGAAAAAAATTCTAATTGCTTTATTGTTTGCTCGATTGCCCTTTGCCAAGTTGCTCGTCTTGGCCCAAATTAAATAACGCGATTTATCTTGTGTCATGACGGTATTCGTCATGTAACGCTTTATTCAAATAACATTTTATATAAAGTCTGAGGTACTTGACTGAGGTATGGACCAGACTAAAGTCACAAATCGTAGCGATTTGAATCGATTTGTACTTGACACTTCGATTATATGCTCTTTCAAAATAGAATATGACAAGATATAAGCAAATTTAGTTTTCCTCTACACTCGACGTAGAATCGAACGTTGTTAACCCAATTCAGATTTTTGTACGATATTATATTTTATACATCAGTAGGGTTTTTTGACTTTGGATCATATCTGCATTCCCAAATATCTCTCACATACATTTATACCCTTGCATAGATTTATATTTATACTTTTATTTTCTGTAGGCTCGAAGGCGTCGACAACAGTATTTCAACGTTCGGTAAGTACGAATGGAAACGTTTCTTTTGCTCAATGGACACGAAATGTACCGAAACTAAACATTGTCGCATATTTTTATGCTATCTACATAGTATTAAGTAGGAATTGCGTTCTCATTAAACTCTGCGTTCATTCTAAACTTTCACTGATATTCTATTCAAACTTCATAGGCGACAGATGTCCCATCAACAATCGTGGAGGTTACGTCACAGAACATGTCGGAGAAGGCACTGATCAGTCGGACGAAAAATTATTCTTACACACCGGAAAAGGCTGTTTTAAGATCGGCTGTAATACTGGTTGCGACGTTTTCGATATCTTGGACACCATTCTGCTTGGTATGTTTTCTGAACGTCGCGGGAATCGGAGTCAACTACTACTTGGTGGTGTTGTCGTACCTCCTGGCAAAAGCATCATGTGTCCACAGCTCGTATGCATATGCCACTCATCACCATTTTAAAGCAACTATAAAATATATTACCTGTAGAGCATGCCATGGATTATTGGGATTATAAAACTAAATTGACGACGAGAAATGTCACGAAAATTGTTTTCAGACTATCGTTCTTTATTGTTTCCAATATGAACTTCGTTTCTTTACAAGTTAGTATTATTGCATTTTAAATATGATGAGTTTTATTTTGTAAGTTGCTTGATGAATTGATTATGTTGCGTGATTATTATTTAAATGTCAAATAAACTGGTATTTCCAATTTATGATAACTATACTCTGTTAAAATTCAAATTGAAAAAGGAAATATTGTAATGGTCAGAATTGATGTGTTATTATGAATTATATAGAATCTGATATAGCGCTTGCTCGACATGGCAATCAGGAACGATGGTTTATCTCGCTTTTAGCTTTATTCTTTACTCTGTCCCAAAAGTGAATGTTGACAAATTGCATATAGCAGTCATTTCACAGTGAAAGTGTACAATACATCGACCTCATATATGCCACCAATGAAATGGTGCGCGATTCACCTTCAGTTGACCTTGTATACGTAGACATGCGCGTGGTGTTTTGTAATCTAGAAGTTCATTTTAATATCTAGTCCTTTGTTTATCACCGGTCACAAACGAATCCCAAATTAAGCTTACAAAAAAGGAGATCTGGTGGACACTGAACCAAGCTTTAAAAGTGTCACACAAAAAGTTGCGCCGCGTAATGGTTTTTGTTGTGAACGTGTTGATTATTTGTAGCAAAGTGTTGACATTTGAATTGATACCAGATACCAAATTTATAAAGTTTCGTGATTTGTCGATGAATATAAGAAGATAAATGAGCATTTCTAGATAACTACAAGATAACAATGCTCAAATATATGGGCACGTAGGCCAGAGCGAAGCAGTCCCTCGGTACCCTCAAAAAACTTCCGAGTTTCCAATAGCAAGAATTTTCAGAATCGGCCGCACGCTTGGCGGATTAAAAGCTGTGTTCCCATAATTAAAAAGAAATACAGCGCAATTTTGGATGAAATACTACATTTCATAGGATTCATAGAAAATTGAGGAATAAATAAAAGTAATAGCCTTTTGGCAAAAAAAAAAAACTTTAACTACTGAAAATTTCAAAGCAATTGGACCAGTATTGGAAGAGAAAAGTGATTTTATAATGACGACGGGAAGACGAATACCATGATGAAGGACAACACCAACATAATAGCAAAACGATCCGTTGGTCCCCTCATGAGGTTCATTTTTCAAATAAATATATATCATTACTGAGAAATACCACTACAAAACTGATTTACCTGTTGCTTATATAAAAAATAACCATTATGTCAATCAGGCTTTGTCTTTAAATTTGAAGATAACGATTTCCATCGTTCATAAATATGATTTTCCCATAATTTGCAGTTCTGCTTCCTTTTTCCAGCTATGATAAATCTGCTTGATACGTATGTTTATTCAATAAATTTGCTATTCAAATATTATCTACAATTTACTTATTATTTCATCGAGAGTGATTTTGCTCATTCAAGTGTGCTTGATAAGATTGGTCGACGGATAACGACGACAAATGGAAAATGTTGCAACATATGGCGGAAACCACAAAAATATGTAAAGTCGGCATAACATCCGTAAGTATATCGACCAATGAAAAGATGTGTTTGCCGGCAATATTATATATATCTATAATAGGACTTCTTATTTGATCATTGCCTCACACAAATTTGTAATTTGAACAAAAACCTATACAAAAATTATATAGAAGAGAAATGAAGCTGTTTTTGTTACACTCTTCGAATTTCTTCTAATCTAAAAAAAATATGAGGCTTTTTGATACCCTTTTCAAAGAATTAAACATGAATTTGGAGCATAGGGTCACTGATTTTGCGCTGATAAATCTTGTTTAATTGATCTTTCAGTACCTAAACTGAATAGATAGCTATTCTCACTTGAATAAAATTAGATTTTTAAACCCGTTTCACTCCTTGAAATGCTTGAATATGTCCATTTTTGGTCGTGCCACTCCAAAATTATCCTGTCCTTTCTAATATGGTTTATGACTCTTCTGAAAAAGTTTATTCTACTGAAATAATTTTGGACTGATTGCATTTTATTACTTTAGGGGTATGCAGGCCATACATTTAGAACAAAAACTGAAGTGGTACTATAGCAAGGCTAATCTGAGAGTGGAAGTGGTGACTCCTCTTCGGCCCATGGGCCGGGGCCACGGCCCATCAAATTGGGCCTCGGCCCATCAGGCTATGGGCCGCGGCCCATCAAGTTGTGTAAAGAAACTATTCACTTGGCTAACACAAACAGTCCCCAAACTCATAATAGAACTATAATGTAAAAAATCTGAACAAAATTTTGCCCTAACCCTAACCTGGTACACATACTACAGGGGTTTATTTTTTGGTTCGAATATTGACAATTTTGTAAAAATTGAAAATTTTGGTAAGATAATTGAATTTTTCCTGACGGGGCCGTGGCCCATCAAGCTATGTGGCCCAATTAGATGGGCCGTGGCCCCGGCCCATGGGTCGTAGAGGAGTCACCACCCCTGTAGAGGCACCTCGCATGTGAAACGAGCTTGTAAGACGGTATATATTCAGCATCGTGGTATTGAAAAGAACATATTGAATGTATTTAATGCCTTTGACAATTGCTTTCAGTAAATCTAGGAATCCATGGGACATTCTGCAGTTCGGCCTAATGGTTTGCATTCTAGCTCAGTGATCCCCAACATTTTTTCAAGCAACCTAATTCAAAAAAAAGTTTTGGAAAATCTCCAACCCAAGAATATGCACAAAAACCATACGGCATGGCATGTAGTGCTTTTTAGGTCACAAAATAAAATCACTAATGCAAAATAATCGTTTTTACATAACATTTATTTTACCAGAAATTACTTTAAAGTCGCTCAAACGCGAAAGCTGCGAATACTGCGAGTTTTTGAAGTCGTGGCGTTTCTTAAGAATAGAAAAATATGTGCTGTTAAGTTTTTACGCTGTACTACTTACTTCTACAGTTACAATAAGGGGAGCATCGAAACGGGGGTGGGGTAAGATGGTGTCGGAAATTCCCATACCGTGGCTTGGAAAATCTATTGCATCGGATTCTAAAACAGTCACCGCGATCACAAGACTTGTTAATAGGGGTGACCATTGGTTTTTCTACGGCGAAAAATATAAAATACATAGGCGATGATGTAATGTCATGAAAATTGTAACACCCAAGAATACAATTTTATACCACTTTTATCTCGAATGCAATTCCAGGAATACAATTCATTTAAGAAGAATAAAAAATGGAATGAAATATAATACAATAATTGGATTTTATTTCAGGATTATCCAAAATAAAGTCTTGGCGGTAATTTCAATATGGCCGTCAATGAAAAGATAGATAATGGATTCGCCTCTAAGTACGAAATCATCTGTAAATTCCATCTCCATTGCGAATGGTATCATTTCAGTCAGTAACTGCGCAAAAGTTTTAAGATTATGTACATCTTTCGCGGAGCTCATATAACAAAATTAGGTAACTTTTTCTCGATATTTCCATTGTACCTCAATTTGCAAATGTGCACAACACGAATTTTTGTCGAATGCCGGAGTCATTGATATATAGTGATATTTTTTACTTTATGTTAGGGCGATTCATTTACCAGCAGAGATAAGTCAAAGATGAGAAAGGTTCAAATTGACCGTATTTCAACATCCGCACCAATGATCGATCAATTACACGTACACTGTACAAACAATTTCCCGAGAACACCGATGGCCCAGGGAACAAGAATACTTGAATGTATCGACTGATAGTCGGGAGATGAGGAGAATTTGCGAAACCGTTGTAAAGAGGTTCACAGACAAAATATGGAGTCCACTCAGCCGAAAACAATCAGTGATAATTAGGGTTGGGAATGGTTAACCGTTTTTAGATGGTTAACAGTTTAAATTTACAATATATATCGCCGTGCTCAATACACACCCTGATGTTACACGGGTACAGGGCACACGCACATATTTGCGCCCCATTCCCGCCACCTATTTAAGTCCGGATTCATTACCTTTTCACCGCGTTGCGGCGTCGGCCTTTCGTCGAAATTTCATGCGCATATCTTCTGTCCAAATATCGAGTTCAGTTCGAAAATAAAAAGGAATTGACGGTAACGATACCGGTACAAATAATTCGAATTTAGACTAATTAGTAATGGTTTTACATGCGATACGTCTGCTATCAATGGGAATCAGCGGAAAACAAACGCATTCACCTCCAGTAAGTAGGCTAGCGTTGCGCAACACAGAAACAACAGTAACGAGAACATGTTCGTGTATTATGCTGGATGGCTGAACGCAAAAGCGGGACAGTTGGCTGACTTGTCGGGACGGCAGGACAAGACGCCAAAAAGCGGGACTGTCCCGCCTAAAGCGGGACGTATGGTAAGCCTAATTTTACCCGGTTTACGGTTACAGTGTTTTCACTGAAATTTCTAGCCCTATCGATAATATGATATTTCCATATGGAAAATGCACGCGTTATTATCGACTTTTTAAATTCAGTAAACAATAAATATTAGTCAGCATTTCTATATTGAATACCAAATAAAATTTACTAGAAAATAAAATCCCTACCTTTTATATTTCTTTATTTAAGGCGGGAGTATTGAATAAACAAACTGAGAATAAACAAATAAGAACACATACGCGGGAACAAATTACCATGCAGTTATGTTAACTTTAATGTCCCTTTTATAAAATGACTTTTATAATTTTGAATTTATATGAAAAGAACAATAGCACCATAATAAACAATCTTGATTAGCTAATAATTAATCATTAGCCAGACGAGGAATTGCGCTTTAGAAGATAACGCAATATATATATTCTGGGAAGACCGGACCCAAATAAGTTTGTGTATGCGGATCTTCGGTAAAACAGTTGAGTAGCCCTGGTATAACCTACGTCGTTCGTTGAGTGGGGAGTTCGCCGAAATCGATAAGGTTCGAGCACGTAGGAAATGTATATTTAATAATACGATGAAAGTAATTGCTTTCTGAAAGCCACTTTCACCATCAAGTTTTTGCAAATTTGAATGCGGTCGGCCCATTAGTTGAAGGAAAAAGCTAGTTTGTCCTAGAAACTAATTTGTACGCAATAATCAATATAAATCGCCATCCTTGGTAATCATGAACAGATATTTTCGCCGTTCAATATTAATTTTAATTTCAAAATTCTCACAACACTTAAGCACCATTCCCTTTTCTCTCTGTCCGTGTCATAATTGTATGCTCTCATTTATATAACGTCATATAGGTACACTTCAATTCTGCATGTTATCAATTTGTGCACAATCGCAAATATAACGCCGAATAAAAAACGTATTAAATTCACTCGAAGTTTTTCTCAATGTCTCCCCATTCATGTGATCGATTTCGGGTTCCTTGTCCACTTCAATTGTTGCTATTTCTATGCCAACTGCTTGCTATCTATCACCATGTTTAATTGCAGTATGAACCTATATTATAAGAATATCATTTCTAACCCGGGGGAGATGAAAAGCCGACAGGACGGCTTAATTATGTGGGGTACCACGGCCTCTCGTCCATGTCAGGCATGGGATTAGTCAAGTGTTCCTTTTAAGATGTATGGACTTGTCGTAACCGACCAGCAATGGACCTTTCCCCGAGCATGGACTTCCTTGTTTATTCCGTGACATTGGCCAATCAGCAAGATGCAAAGAGTGGCGTAACAATGCCCCTTTTCGCATCCGCTCAGACACTTTTCTCACTCAGACAGATTTTCAAGCGTGGTTGTAAACATTACCTCGTTTTCGCATTTTTGAACTCTATTCGTTAGTTTTCAGTTGTGTTTCGGAAACTTGAATAAAAATCAGATAATTCAATGATCACTCTGTCTTCTTAGGAGTTTTAATTTAATTGCAGTAATAAAAATTAGTACTAGAAATAGCTGTGATAGACTAGCCTGAAATTCTTTACCGGTACTTTTAAAAAACAGAACCCATTTTACAGGCGCCAACTCGCAAAAGCACTCCTAAAATATCCCTGAAAATTCTGCAATGGTAAAGTATAAGAAAAATTTTCCGGGGTCAAAGGTCGGGGAAAGGTCCATAGTGAATACGCGAGCCACCCTACGGCAAAGCGTATATATAATATAAGAGAGGCAACGCTAAGACAATGGACGCCATCTTGTGCCTATTGTTCTCGGCAGTTTAACACGGCGCCTTATGAGAAGTTCCAACAGAATTATTAAAACATACCTATTATTTTCACTAATATTTTAGGTAGAAAAATTTTGAAGGTCGCGTTTTGAAGTAGATTCTTAGCCGTACATGCTCATATATTTTCATGTTGGCCAAATTACATTTATAGTACATTAAATTGTCTTTGAAGACAAGTATACCGGTTCCGAGTTGCTTCCGAAGTAAATTGACCATTCTAATCGTCATAATTAACCATTTGACAATGGCGTTCCGTATGACGTCACAGATGAAAAGTTGTATTTATTCGTCAAAATTACCGGCCGACCCAACTTTGCTTCAATGGCCGTTTTTATTTTCTGGTTAACATATTTCGTCTGTCAAGCTCCATAATGCCCTACTGCTGAGCTCCAAGCTGCGCTAGAAGAACAAATGACATTGTAGGATTGTTGCGGTGACATTTTACAGCCTCAAATTGGCGTATCACTATAAAATCTTTGAAAAAATGACCAAAAATGGTTCTACGCTGTGTTTGTGGTCAAATTTAACGCATTAGATAGTTTTGTATTCCCAATTGCGTTATATATTTAGATAGCATATATCTTAAAGTTCAAAATCCACCCTTCAGTTTCATTCTAGCCCTCATAACAACGGACTTTGCGTTATATATTTAGATAGCATATATCTTAAAGTTCAAAATCCACCCTTCAGTTTCATTCTAGCCCTCATAACAACGGACTTATTCGATTCGGTACAACAACACGACGAAAATTTCCCATAAGACACCATTGTTTCGCGTTTCCCAAATATGGCACAAGATGGCGACCATGAACTTGTTTAACATTAGGCAAGTTGGTTGCCGGCCGTTGCCCTACGGCGGTGAGAAGTCTAGCACAGGATTCGAACCTGCGAACGGCCACTTGCCTTGCATCCCTCTTATCAGAGCTCTTTCTACTTTCAGTTGAAGGCTCGATGCAGTGCTTTGAGCAAACGTTTATGAAAAAGAAACTTAAAATATGCCCATACGAAGCATCACTGTCCCGTCACACCATATAAAACCACCGTTCCTCAAACTGTGTGACGCGAGAGATCCTCAGGTGTGCCTCAGAGAAGGCATGCATGCAACGGGCAAGCTTGAGAGACGTCCCGTGTCGTTGTATTAAGGGTGATTGTTACGTTATAATTTTATTGTTATGTCACAATGTATTTGTAAAGAGACTTAGACCTTCCACCACGTTAACTTGCGCGGTTAGTTAGGCAAACAGAAAACCAAATAAGTTCTGACCAGGGATGGCCAATTCGAATTTAATATTCGATTATCGCGACCCTCGAATACCGTTTTCGTTTTTATAAGAATACCGAATGCCACGCAAATATTCTAGCGCCGCTGTTCACATTTTGATTGAAAACATTTTACAATTACTTTTTTTATTTTTTATCTCAATCGAAGACAGCCTTGTGCGCGCGGCAATAAATTATATCCGACATGAAAAGATTTCAATTAGCGCCGACAATCAATTAGTGCTTGTAACATGCCGAGGATGTTTTTGATTGAAAATATATTACAACTATCAAAGTATATTTCAACTCAGTCGAGATGGTTTGTGCGGCCACGACAATAAATCTAAAAGCAAATTGTGTCGGAATTAATAGTTTTCATCCTCAGTTACGATAGTGACCGAACATAAATCTGCTCAAAATTTTATGTGCATTCATGTGATGTGATGTGCATTCATCATATCTCGGACCTGAAGCCCATTGATTTTGGATGAATTATGTCGTATAATTAGCGAGTTATTAATTAATTAGTGATGGGACTCGCAGTGTCACTATAGAGCAGTGTTTCCTAACCCGAGTCCGCGGAGCGTTTGGATGAGTCCGCAACGAGCCAGAAATTCACTAAGGGCCGCAAACGTTTTTGTGACATTTAACCATCAGCCAAGTTACGACTTACGTGAGAATTTATATAAGACATAAAAATCAAGTTTATTCACATAACATTAATCGAGTCAATAATTACTGGATACTGAGTAGAGCTGGGCATATATTCGAATATTCAACTATTAGAATAGCAATTTACTGTACTATTCGAAAATTTGGTAACAGGTGACGGAACAGGTCATTTGCGCCGTTGCGCGTCGCTTAATCAATGATTGGATTTCACAACTCACTTGCGGATATCCGACGAAAACACGAGTCGGCACACTCGTGGATAGATACCTAAGCGCTAAGCGGTGTTTCTCGCTAGCTCGAACAACGAGAAATATGTTTTTTCTTTGTAGTTGTCAATAGTGGCGACCTAAATTTTCTAAATTTAAAAGCGCAATACAAAATACTAAAAAGAGAAGAACGGAGAACATCATAGGTTTTGTTCTATGATGGCCTGCGGCCGATTAAAAACGCGTTTTAAGACATTGCAAATTCGGGTGCTACCTTGCCTTGGCATTTTAAAGAAGAAATGCTTTCATCTTGTCATAAGTCGACGCAACCGCGAGTGACTACGAACACAATTAAAATAGAAAGACATTTTAAATTCTCGTCGTTGTCATGGATTGAATATTGAGCGACAGAAATGGCCATTTGTACGCTAAAAAGTCGACTCTTTTAACAAACGCGTAATTGAGGCGAATTTCGATTTTGAAATTCTGTTGTGTTTGGTTTTATTACTTCTTCACACAGAGTACGGCTGCAATAAACGCACGTTGAGTCCGCAAAGGTTTTCGCCGGTGAGAAAATAGTCCGCGACCAAAAAAGATTGGGAAACGCTGCTATAGAGTCATGAATCGAAACCGCAGTTTCGATCGATAAGTCGTCGGTCTCCGACCGATATTCTCGTTTCAATATTACCACACATTCCATTTATAGCTGTGATAAATGTTAATATTATCAAGCCTAATTCCTATGTCCATGATTTTAGAAAAGTGAATAAAATATGTGGGAGATTTTAGAATGATTCGAAATTTTCTTTTTAGAATGCATTCGGTTAGAGCTATCCCCATAGTATGCATACCAAGATGGTGGAAACCGGAACGTTGTATGTGTACCAGGTTAGGGTTAGGCCACAATTTCAGGTACAGATACTAAGAGAGTCACTTGGCTAGTCCCCGGACTCGTTATATAACTAAAATAAGGAAAATTGGACCCTAACCCGGTACACCTACCAAGTTACGGTGTCAGCAATCTAGGTTCGCATACTACAGGAGTACCATCCCTGGTTCTGACTATCTGCTTACAAATTTTATTCAATCATTGGTGCAAAAGCCATTAAAATAATCTAGTCATTTGCATTTCCATGTCTCTGTGTACATGAATTCTCTGCTCCGACTAAAATTGGAAGCAACGAAACCTCATTTCTCAAAGCTTACACATCGCATTAACATTTGATGGATAAATTTGTTTAAGGCTAACTTCATTTTTTTACAAGTGTGCCGCAAAATTATTTTTATTTGCTTAGTGCGATGCAAGCAGAAAAAGTTCGAGAACCACTGATGTAAACATAGGATAAAATGATCATGCAGAAATACCTAAATCACTACTCCTCCGCAGAAAACAAAACTTTACAGATTTTGTTATATCTATAGATTATATTGCAGCAGTTAAGTGAGCAACACAACATACAAAAACAGATACCCTTTGGACTAAATATTTTTGAACATTTTCAGAGGAACGGTTTTATATCCCTAACGACAATTTACCGCCCTTGCTTCTCGTGATATAATGTATGTTTGTATTGTCGGTTTTTCATTGCTTTCCTGATTGATCAGATTCGTAGAGACGTGAGGGCTAATTTTAAGTTCCTCAATACAACGTTTAATGAAGGAAATGCATCGAAGTGACTATCTTATTAAAAAACTCCTCCTGACCATGTGTAACGGTAAAGCTCATAGTAACATTTTTACTTGTATGGATTATAGGAAAATTGAATGATCCTAATGTTCAAAGGTTGTTTACCGACCATTTCTAAGATAATAGTTGATCGCATCAACATATTGCTGGTGCAACTACAGTAAAATAAAAAAATTGTACGATATTTGAAAAAAAAATCCACCCCGATGAAATTGTAACTGCCACAACTACCGGAGATAATTTACTTCAAATCGGTGACTTGAAGCAATAGAAATATAGAGTTATATCTGTACAGGAAATCAATGATTCTTCAAGTTCTTAATGATGTTTCGAATGCGACACCATGGGAGAGACAAAAGTTTTGCCTGATATGTTTCAAATCAACATCATACTATCTCATACTTGTCAACTAAGAGTGCGGTTTCCATAGAAAATTTGACAGATGCACCACCTTGAACGTGTTCCACACCGGTTACCTGAAAACAAAAAATTCATGATATACTAGCATATTTCAACAAAAAGCATTCCGCTCACAAAAGAGACTTTCTATTTCAAGAAGTCTTACTGTGTGGCCACAGTAATGATAATTGAAAATCACACAGTTCCAATTTAACCAAAGCTATCGATAGACACCAATACAAGAAGTTTTTGGTCTTGCCATGTCTTATGAAATCAAGCAAAAACCATAGCAAAACTGCATTCCACGAGTACTTCATAGGATATATAAATTCATGCAAATGAGAAGTGAGCTAACAACTGCCAAACTGTGATGTCCTATACCTATGCTATTATTTCTATAATATTGAAAAAATGAATTACTTACCTTAATATCAGTGTAAGTTGTTTTCGCTGAATGGAATGAAACAGATATTGGAAAGAAATCATCAGCACAACCCGGAATACTGAATTCCATAGATCCAGACTTATTAGATTTATCGATTACTGGCAGTGTCCTGCAAAACAACAAAATTCAGATATACTTTTACATACTGACCTATATTCTGACTCAAATTATGAGTTTTACAGTAGAAGGAAATGTGAGAGCACAATTGATCTCGACTGGGATGTCTGTATCTGATTCTTTGTGAAAGTATAAAATTTGTTTACATATAATTTCCCATAATTTGATATATTCCATGAAGATAACTCATATTTTTTAATGCAAAAAATATGCTAAATTGCAGTTTGACCTCATTTGAATGGCATTTTCAGCAAACTTCATCCATTTCAAATTTCTTGGATATACCTAGCCCAGCTTTAGGTCACACTCTCATTTTGTTCATTATTTGACAAATCAAAAAAATTGAAAACCATTTTTTCGTGGTTTATTCAAATTATTGTGGGTAGCAGCTTTTAAAACACAATATATAAGATTTGCAGGTCAAGAATCAGTTAACTCCTGGAACACTCAATTAATAGGCACCATGATATTCTAACTTCGGCAATCAGCATTTTGTCGAACAGCTCTTAAGATTTTCAGCAATAATTCAAATTTATATCAGGGCCTAAATTTTATCCATGAGGTTATTATTGATGCACAACTAAACATATCACAAAATGAAACCAAACTGAAAAAAATAAGTTGTGACATTATCAAATGTAATAAAATCTCACACAACATACCATTCCAAAACATTTTTCCTTGAGTCGTGTTTATATTCTCCATCAGCTTCAGCCACATTAGGTGCCCCGACACCAGAAGGCACAGGTATTGACACAGAAACATCTGCAAGTTCTAGATCTTCTGATTGTAATTCATATTCAATATTGACATCACACCCGCCATCGCCAGATTCATTTGGCCAACAATTAACTGAAGAAAATTTAAAATATAATTACAAACAAATACTACCATTAGGAAAGTGCTCAGTATTCAGTAGGCTATGAATTGCAGGAATCAAGTAATAATCATACATTTCTGGCAACTAACTACAATAGATGGAGAAATATGGAGAAGATGGAACTTGACATTGGTAAAACTGTATATTGTATTCACAGGCATACCAGGTTTTAATAAGTGGTTCAAAGGGTTATATTAACAGTAATCAGAAGTTTATTTTTCCATCATACAGAAAATAGACTTTGTACGTACAGAAAGCAAAAGGAAGTACATAAGGCATTTCAGGGTGAAGTGAGGAGGCACGGAAAACAAATACTAGTTAAATTTTGTCTGGATAAAATCAGGAAATCAAAAATGGTATTGCTTCAGAATTGCACTGATTTCAATAGAAGTCTGTAGAAATATTGCAGTATTTTATAAGCTACTAATATAAATAGCAGGAATATTTTGAATGATTATCAGACGAACAAACTTACTTGCTAATGGCATCAAACTTTCATCTGTTGTCTGAAGTCTCCATTTCAGTACACCGACATCTTGCTTCATTGGGAATGATTTACTTGAATTCTTCAAACCTATCACCCCGTTAGACTGGAATGCCTTTTTGTCTACATTTGGATGAGTCTAGAATGAAATCATTACAACATTCTGGAGAAAATTTGCAATTTTATTCAAGTCTTTCCGCATTATTGCTCTAAAATGGAGACATATACAATGTCTAAAAATCTTGCACCCACTTTGCCAAACTTGTCTGACAGTCCTGAGCTAATATATAGGGTGTCCTTAAAGTCTTGGAATTTTTTAAAATTGCAAAATATATTGAGAGCGGACTTCAAAACAAAATTGAAATTGTAAGGGACTTTATGCACACCCTGTATATTGTGGCCTGTGGGTCAAATGGCAAAAGTAAGAAAATAGGACAAGTGAGGGACACAACACTTTTGGAGTACCTGTGAATAACCACATTTGAAATTACTACAATATTTCTAGTCTGGTACATCCTACTCAATTTTTTCAGACTTCAGATGAGGTAGAACGAGTATAACTGTGATTGCCCTAACAAAATCAGCTTATTAAAGTTTTTAAATCAGTATCAGTGTACATTCATTTATAATGAACCTTTGCGATATCTGTAATCAAATTTTCACTCATAATTGAGACGTTAATCCTCACCTGTAACTGGCATCCAGTATCATCATTATTTTCAATATTGAGCAAGATGAAACCGTATTTTTCATCAGTAATATGAAGAGTACATAGACCCTGTAATTGCATTTGTTGCAATCCACCATCACGATCTGCCGATACGTTCAGTCTTTCTTCAACTCTGACATGCACACTAAAGAACAGAAGTTCCCAAATTGAGAGTAACGGTCCAGTATTAATTAAATTAAAAAACATGGAATCAATTGAGTAAAATCTATCTTAGGATTTAATGATTTATTGAGTGTCAAACCCGAGAGCCACACCACTCAGACTAGGGAGCCATAAATTTTGTAGTCAAACAAATTGAAAAAGTTAGTTTTTGAAAACAAAACTTTGCAATGCATCAGTGGCCACTTTTACAAGTATTTATCAAGTTAAGGTAATAATTTTGAAAATTCAATTTTTACTATATTTTAGTATAGTATAGGTATTTCAAATAATAATGTCAGTACTATTTACCTCGTACAAGTTTTCTAGAACGTTCTATTTATAAAAGATATTTGCACTAACATGCAGGCAACAATTTTGAAACATACAAGTATAATTTACATCTGAAAATTATCGGAAAGATAATGATTAGACAGAAGGGGGCTCCCGAAGTATGCGAACCAAGATGGCGGACCTCGGAATGTAATATGTGTACTGGGTTAGGGTTAGGCCATAATTTTAGGTATAAATACTACGGGAGGCTCTTGACTAGTCTTCGAACTAATATTAGGACTGAAATAAGAAAAATTGAAAAAAAATTATCGCCTAACCCTAACCTGTTACCCATGTTACGTTCCGATGTCCGCCATCTTGGTTCGCATACTTCGGGAGCACCGACAGAAGTGGGTGGAAAATTGCTGCTTGACGGAGGCGTTAAAGTGTCGCAGAAAACCATAGCCTATTTACATGATGTTAATAATGTTAAATAAACTAATCCCAAAAGCTATTTCACCTTTCAATGAGGGCAGCAGGAACTGATGTTTTTGCAACATCAGCTGCTTTCTTCTTTGAATTAGTTGTGATAACCTCTCCCTCTGATCTAAGTTTATCGACAAACGAATCAATATCTTTAGATTTGGCACCAAGTTTCATTGCACGACCAGTACTCCTGCAAATGATGTAAAAAGTGGAAAAAATTATAGCAAAAATATGAATAGCCGCCTATATTTTAAAAAATATTATCATAAGCATGATATTAATGTTAGCTTGGTAATAAGTTTGATCAACTAAAATCAGAAATGAGGAAAATTACTAACCGGATTTATATTAATTTCTGATAGAATAATATCAACATAAATATTTTAGACAGAATCGTTAAAAAATTGAAAAGAAACAGTTAGTACTTCAATTTATATTTCATATTTCTTTCTTATTCTTATATATATAAGATATCAATTTGCAATGAACAAAACCACTAGAATAACAAGAAATCACACAAACTGCTATGTGAGCATAACATATATTACATATAGAAATCTTTACCATATTTAGAAATACATAATATATAACAAGCCTTTATACAAATCCAATAGCAAATATTCGCCTTACTTTCAAAATATTTGATATCATGGCCGGCACATGGGTGACAAGTAAAACTTTGTAATTAGTTTGCCTTTGCAAATGCCTCATAAGTCCTAAAAAGTGGTCGGCAAAGTTTTTTAAGTGAGGCCAAAATGTTAAAATGGAAAGGTTTCAAAGCCCAATAATTTCATAGGAAATTTTGGATTTAACAACATAATAAAGTTGTTAGCATTAGCAGACATTTGATTTGTTTAGTTGAAATGAACGTAATGCATTATCGCATATATATCGTTGTATATATATAAAAAAGAACCATTTGGCAAAAAATTTATATATAATGTTGGATCTATAGTACTTTTTTGTGCATCACTGAAATAATTAAAATTTGGAGGCCTACTAGAAAATGCCCATCGGCTCACAGTATGACGACCACTGCCTTATAAGATAACACTAAATACAGATTTTCATTTCAAATCCGCCTGTTACAATATGAATAAAAAAATCAACATAGAATCTCACCTTGTTGGTGCTGGTTTAGGTTTAGGAGGATCTGGTGATATGATTTGAGTGCTTGACATGTCAGATTTGCCACTGCTGTATCCTCCCCCACCACTGCCATATCCTATTAAAAAATATTATTCAGTGATAAAGATAAGCAAGATATGGAATGATATTTGCGGAAGATTGAAATTGAAGATATGGTAAACTTTAGTAAAAATTAATATGAAATTTGCTGATGAATTTGTTTATGCATTTGGAATAATAAACGGGAGTCACCGAAATATTCTTCCTATTCCCGAAATAATTTAATATGAATACTAACAGGAAAAAGTAAGCAATTTACCTCTTGGTCCACCTCGTACTTGATCTCTCCTTTGTTGCTGAAGTTCTTTCGCTTTTCTTCTCATGGCAGCCTTAGCTTCATCTTCTTGAGTCTGTTTTAAAATAAATGAATAAGACATGAAAAACAATGAATTGAAACTGCCAAAAGAAAGTGTTAGAATCAAATATTCGTTGAATAAAACAATGTAAAACCAGGTACCTATGATCAGATTAAAATGTTAATAAACTGTGATTATTTGAAAAAAGTGTTAAGTATGACTAAATCGCTGCTGATTTTATATTTAAATACCTTATATCAAACTAAAATGGCTAGCCATCGTAATCTTTCAGTAGACGCTGGTATCTCAAAATTACTATTAACCAGAACATCAAATTAAATTATTAAATTTAAAAAAAGAATGTGGTGGAAACTTGACTTACCATTCGCCAAGCCCAACATTCACAAAAAATAAATGATTTTGGTTCAAGTCAGCTTATCTTACCTTACGGACTGCCCTGAACACTTTCTCTTCATGAGAATCCATCTCAGTAAATGTTCGAATCTGTGCAAGATTGACACTTTCACGATATCCTAGAGCTACAACTTCATCAAATGCAAAGATCAATTCAAAAGCATGTTCTTGAACATCATTTTCATCCAGGATTCGACAATACTCTGGAATCTTGAATAACAATTATTAATTATGATTCAATTTATAATAATCCAATTAAGACAAGGGAAAGGGTGTGAAAACAAAGCATAAAATCTTTAGAAAACATGATTTCAGCATGATGTTGAGTAAAGTATGATCGCAACTAACGATCACAGACTCTAATAAACAAATAAATTTGGGGCTTGATTTCAATCCATTTTCTCTATAATTAGGCTTCCCGCTGCTTGTCAGCAGGGAACCTATTGTATTCCTGTGTTTTATTATTATTATTATTATTTATTTATTATTATTTTTTTTTCAAATTGGTCCTACAAACTTGAAATTCACCTCAAATGTGCAGAAGTGCTAGCAATAAAATGCAATTTTTTTTTAAGCGGGAAGCCTGTTAAAGCTGCACGCAGCTCTAGTTTTCAAATTGAATTTCAAGGATACAAGTAAAATTGAAATTAACGAAAACATGAAAGGTATTTTGTACATATAATCTAAATAGAATAGATTAAAAAAAATCTGTCATTATGTGTTGGTGTTAGAAATGAGCTTGCAGAAGTTCTATCCTTTCCGATATTAGAATCTACCTCAAACTTTACATACCAATCTTGAGAACAATCTTAGTGTTTCCAGATCTTCTAAAATATTACTATTCTTTGTAGTGATCAGCAACATATACATTTTCTCCAGAGGTTGATAGACATATCTCACTGATTCTGTTTCGACAAATGTGTGTTGTTTGCCTGAAGAAAAAATGTCATTGATAAATTTCTATCCTCGAAAGTAGGTAAAAGTAAGATTTTCATATTATATCCTGGGAGGAGAAAAGTCGACGAGACAATGCAATCATATGGCAAACCTTCGCCTCTCGTCCAGTGCCAGTTGGGAACAGCTAGCCAGTTATTAGTTCTAGAAGCCATAATGAACTAGTAATTGAATAAACAAGGAATCGGTCAGAGACCAAAGACTTATACTCTATAGTGACACCGCGTGTCCCATCACTAATTAATTAATAACTCGCTAATTATATGACATAAATCATCCAAAATCAATAGGCTTTTGACCCAAGATATGATGAATGCACATGCATGTTTACATTGTTACATGACAGAATATTATCATGATTTTTTTGGTTGTTGAAAATGCTTTATTGAATCATAGAACTAGACACTGTGATAAGGCATCAATAAAATAGGTAAATACTGAAGTTCTACCTGTATTCATTAATTTAGGAAATGCCGCAAGAAGACCTTCAATTCTTGATCGAGTCATTTCTACAAATTGCCGAGATATGATGGCTCGACCATTTTTGGTCATTACCGCCGCTGCCAACAGCACCTAAAAAATTGAAATAATTCAATCCATGACTCAACGTTATAGTCAGATAGTAAACTTTGTACATTCAGTAGGGCCTAGTTCTCCGATTCAAAGATGTTCCAACGTAATTGGTTCATTTAAATAAATACTCTGTCTCTGAAATGAGGGGCATCTATATATAGTTTAGTTCGGTCAGTTAGTGGAAAAAAAGTGAAAACACATAATTTTTATGGCAGTATGACGTTAGGCCTACGTTGAATATAGGATAGGATTTACATATTTATCCCGGGGGGGAGGAAAGCCGATAAGACGACTTAAAATCATATGGCGAACCACGGCCTCTCGGGGTCTGGTATAGTTTAGTACCACATGTACTTCTAGATGGCCTGATTCGACAATTTTTGCATATGTTAATCCTAACCCCCACCTGACTACGTCACCAAAAAATTACATCATTTGGACGTCACAGTGGCGTAATAAGACCCACCAAAGTATGGAGATGGTCGTCCAAAACACTCAGACGATCACCCGAAATCGGGCAAGCTAGTTCTCTCGTTTTTGCCTCACAACGATCACCATAAGAGAGAGATCGTCGGCGCGGATGCCATTTCGGGCGATTGTAATTATACTTTGGCAAGCCATATCACGTGATGGTGACATCCTAGTGACGTAATTTTTGGATGGCATAGTCAGGTGGGGGTTAGGAATAACATATGCAAAATTCGTTATGCTACGCACACTGGAAGTACCTGTGGTACTAAACTATACTAGACCCGCCTCTCGTTCGGTTACAAGGTCGGGTATGGGATTAGTTAGCCAGGTACCGTATTTGTTTTCGGAAGAATGGAGTTGATATATAGAAATAAGATTTTATATTAATTTGAAGGACTGAATGAGATAATAGCCATGGAGTTAAGTCTTAACACAGTTCTGAAAAAAAAATTATAAGCAATCCATCTCAACACAGTAACAGCAACTAATTAACAATTGAACATTGCCAGATTGCGTTAGCCTATATCTGTAACGTTATATGGAGTCAGGTTAAGTTAGATCGGACCATGATTTGAATCCAAAACTGGTGGTCATATCATAGCTTCATATTCCATAATAATCACTTACCATATTGTAATTTATAGATTTCCAAACCTCAGAAATGTGAAACAAAAACGACACTGATTGCCAGTATGCCAATGCAGAAACCTTGTTCAACAGGCAGCCACGTCAGTGCTAGGCATAAGTACGAAAACGGCTGAATGGAGACTACTGCGATGTTCGATAAATTCGATTTATCATCCCCGCGAGATGTCGCGCTAGAGTAATAAAAATTCTCATTACCCATTTACTTCAGTCTTCACTCCGCGAGTTCGTTGAGATGAATACGATGCAGTATAATATAGCCTACGGTAAGTATAAGTATATTTTGAGTACCGGAATTTCGGCAAATAGTACCGGTATGCATCGTATTGTCGTATTTTTTATATTTATTCAAGTGTGATCTTGTTTTCCCAATTTTTTTTTATGTATGTATGTTTATTCGTCTCGTAATAGTGATAAATAAATGAACAATTATTCATGGCCCCTTTGTGCATATTTTAAATAGGTAAATATGCTTTTCTGTAGTGAATGAACTGGGTAATTCTGAAGATAAAACCTAATTAAATTTCATTATACACTTCAGTATTCTTAATTCATTTTAATAGTTGGATGTGAGAGAATTTCATGTTGTGAATTTTTATATTATATGTCGGGACGGCGGAAAAACATGCTAAAACCGGGACTGTCCTGGCTAAACCGCGACGTATGGTAGGCCTATGTATGACCATAGTTGTGATTCGAACCTTCCGTCACAACTGTGGAGCTAGCAGCAATTTCAACCAGAATATTTTTACACATTGAATATAATTTCCAAGCGCATATATGATTCACTTATACAGTTATAGCTATATATAAAAATTGAAAAGGCTGATTAAAATATAATTCTACCACGGAATCAGATGAAAAATCTTTAAACTAAATAAATACAATAAATTGGACGAGAAAATATTGTTTAAAAAAAGATTAAGTAAGCGAAAGTTCCTAATTTTTTGCGAGAGCGTTTATTAGATTACAATTCAGTCTTTCTTCGTTGTCAAATATAGCTAAGTAGCATGCTTCTAGTGGGGGTAGTTTTACAGTTTTTGCATTTGTCAATCCTAACCACCACTTCGCTGCGTCATTCGAAAAATACGTCAAAGTGACATAACAAGGCCCTTCAAACTGTACAAACTGTCATTCAAGCACACAGACAGTCACCCAAAATCTAGCAAGCTATTTCTCTTGTTTTTGCGTTGCAACGATCCCGATATGACTGGCGGCGGCGCAGATGCCATTGTGGGTGATCCCCCTATACTCTGACAAGCTCTATTAAGGAAGTGATTGTGATGTCGTAGTGACATAATTTCTGGATGCCATAGTCAGATGGGGATTAGGATTGACATATGCGAAAATCGTTATGCTACGCCCACTAGAATTACTTGAAGTACGAAATTACACAAGACCCCAGTAATAGTACATTTTGTAAACATTCACTGGTCCCATTGTTTCCAGAATCTGAGAATATTGATCTTTTTTTTCTACTTTCTTCTTAGTTAAGTGGCGAAAATGCTGCAGAGCAAACCATTCAAAAGTCGTTGTGCCTATACAGCTATAGGCCTACTCATTAAAATACATTTTTTTTAACAGAAGAATTAGTACTATATTTCAGATTTATTTAATATACAGATATATAAGGAAGTTGGATATGAATTTTGAATTCAGTTTACCCCAGACACTCCTTGAATATTTTGAGTCGGAGGGATACGAAGCATATAACAGAGTACGAGTTTTAACTGATGAAGAAAGTTTAAAAGATCCAGAAAATGATCCTTTCAAGTCAAAATACAAAGCAAGAGAAAAGCTGCAAGAAATATTGAATAGAATACATAAAGAACGAGAAGAAAATGAATCTGACCCATCCATGAAAATTTTAGAAGCTGCGATACAATATCAGCTAGGATTTAATTACACTCACACTGAGGAAAGACCTGCTGGAGAAGAATGTCTTGATAAGTGTATTGCTCTTCTGAAAGACGATGAACTTTTAATGAGACCAGAGGCTGTTAGCATTGCCATGATTGCATATTCTGAACTTGGAATAGTATGGGCTAGCCGTTATCAAGGCCGAGACCAGGCAATGTTCAACCTTAAAAAAGTTGAAAGTCTTTATAATAAATATAAGCATGAAGTGGGTCTTTCTCCTTTCGCTATTGATGAAAGTTTGCGTCCAAAGGAAGAGAAATTCACTGATATGCAACGTGATGCAAAATTTGAAAAGATTTTCACTCATACACTGTTTTATTTGGCACAGATGTACAAACAAAGTGATGAAAATGATCTATCTGCTGCGTATTGTCAAAGAACTTTACGACGTCAACTGGAATCAAAAGAGTATGATCCAAAAGAATGGGCTGTGAATTCTGCTGGCCTATCACAATATTACATTTGTCAAAATATGTATCGTGAAGCGAAACATTGTTTGGCTTGTGCCAATGTCATTATGGAAGAAGCAAAACCTCAGGAAGGTCTACCTGAGCCGAAACCTGATGATGATAATGAGACGATCATGCTGAGAAATGAAATACCACAGAAGAAAGCAGATATCGCACGTTGTTGGGTAAAGTACTTTCTCGCTCTTCTGGATTACTCAAAGGAACTCCTCTATAATGATGTGTGTGAACTTGATGTTAATAGACAAGCAGAAGCTATACTACGACTACAATTAAATGAGGAAAATGACAATGATGTACCCAAAGATCATGACAGAATGCCTCTTGAAGTTGATTCTGTAGAAGAAAATGCGAGACATTTACCAGTCACCACTTTTGAAGAAAGTCGACAAGTGTTTCTAATAGCGAAAAAATATGTTGATTCTGCTCTTGAATTCTTTGTTATGGATGGTTTTGTCACAGATAATATTGAGCTGACGCAAGACATGAGTGCTCTGTATAAACATTTGATTTTCTTTGAGACAGAGAAAGAGAGAAAATGCAAGATGCATAAAAGACGGATAGACCTTCTTACTCAAGTTTTGAATGAGATAAATCCTCAATTTTTTCTTTTAATATGCAGACAACTTCAGTTTGAAATTGGGGAAATATATGGTGCGATGTTAGATTTAAAAATTGCAATTGCTAATGAGTCGACTCAGACTCCAACACACCACGCTATCAAGAAGATAAACCTATTGTGTAGGTCCAGTATATTATATTTCACTAAATTTCTTGACACACTACGAAATACTAAAAAAGTATTTCCTTTTCCATTTGATGAAGATGTTGAACATCCTGCGATTATTGCACATTTTCACGTCGCTAGACTGTATTCAAAAATAATTGCTCCTGTAAGATCTGAAAAATTAAATTTCTTGAAAAAGTCCTTGGAATATTATTCATGGATAGTTGACTATGTTGATCGTAAACCAGAATGTGAGGTAACAGTACAAAAGGAAGTCGAAATTTGCAGGGAAATGAAAGTCCTTCTTCCAAAGGCAATGGAACGATATATGGAGTGAAAGATAATGGAACATTTTGTGAATAATGTTTTTGTGTGTTGTCGTTAAAACTTTCATAGATCATGGTTAAGAATTTCACACTGTAATTTTGTAAGAATATTAAAAGGCTATGTTCGCCTTTCCCACAACCTTATTATTAAACTGTTAGTCCATTTTACCATTAGCCTTTGTCACAGCTGTGTAATCAGACTTTTTTGACCGCTTGTACCCAAGGCTTCTTACATATATATTTGAGTTTTGAACCGTTGCACCACTTCATGTGAAAGTTAATCAGTATATTTTAAAACATGTGAAATGTTCTTGGTGTTTCTTTCTTGATCATGGTCTATTTTCATAACATAATTATGTTTTGCTTTTGTCGGTATTCTGCAACTCAATAATCTAGTACAGTTTTCCGCTCAGCTCACAATAAGCACAGTGGTACATCATTTGCATGGCAAATTGTGTTTTATTATATCCTTCTTTCGTATTTTTTGTGTATTTTTTCATTTCATGAAGGTTCGAAACTGACACAATTTAAAACATTAGATTTACTGTAACCCTGTCACTTACTAAATGTAGTTCATTAATCAATGGTATGCACTTGAATTTGCACCGGGTATATATAATAGTCCTCTTAAAAATCTCTCAACTGTTCACTTGTAAGTAACATCACTGTGTTTTATATACCCAACTGGTTTTTATATTTCACGTATATTATATATTTGTAATTGTCCTATCATATAAACATTGAAATACAAGTTGGAACAGAGTGGCTATTTGTTAGCAGTATTGTGCAATCATGTTTAAGTGGATTAATCATGTTTTCGTAGCTGTCAGTTTGCCTCTCTGTAAAGTTGTAAACCAACTAAGCAGCTCGTCTTTGCTCTGTTTGCCCGTGAGGAAATCTATGATGTGATAATCAGTTTATATATAGGGTACTGATTTTGTGTCAATAATAATTTTCTGGCATGCAAAACGAAAATGCACTTTAGTACAATCTTGAGCGTTAAATTATGATCTACCAAATATGCGATTAACAATATCTTCAAACCATAAAGTCAGCGTTTTTTGAGCAGCGATTCAAAGCAGTGCCGTGAAGCAGAATGAATCGAAGTGTACGGTAATGAAAAAGTTTGCCGCACGGTTGACTTCGATGGACGCACTTTCCACATATTGTTTGGTCTGGAAACACGCATAATGAATTATTCAGGGACAACAGACTAAGGTTATATTCGGCATAACTAAGATATACACCGCAGCACGACTTCAGACGTGATTTTAGACACTCAGCTTCTGACCAGTTTAAATATGTGGGCGTTTTTATTCGTTTACTTTCGTCCAATAAAAAAGCAGGAAAAAGAACGCCCTCGGCATTTTATTTCCATAAACTTTGCAGATCTGTAACAAACGTCATTTTGGCATTGGAGATAACGAGGCAAACGTTCACAATCACCTACTTTCGTGCACGCTCAATTAAATAAACTAAAGATCTAATCCGCAATGCAAGCTAAAATGTCCTACTTTTAATACGTTCAATAGAATAAATGTTTATACAAACTTCGTCAGAGGAAATTAGAACATTAGCGTTTTTCTTGAATACCGGCATCGCTGGGAATACGATATTAAATTTAGTAGTAGAAGAGATAAACAGCTTGCGCGCGGAGTTTTGCACCCAGGTCCTATTTTTCCAAATCACTATCACCAATGAGAATATTCTCATTGCTATCACCGATTGATTTTTCAATAGAAAAATAAACTTAGTTGCCTTGATTTTGCCAGTGTAGTAGTCAATTGTTTTCAGTGAGATAAACGTAGAAAGGTGAGACAATAACTATTCCGACATGACTTCCGCCACCTACGTCAAGCCGTAGATTGCGCAATGATTTGTTTACAATTACATTAATACATTTCCAGCCGTATTCATCGGTTAATCGCTGCAAGGTTTCGTAGCAAATCGGATGATGCAAAAAATGATTTTTTCGTGGTTTTTACCCGCAGTTAGTCATCGTTATTACAGGGAGTTTGCTACGACAACGATAAAAATGAAAGATAAAATACCAAGATTGCTTTTGTTTGATATTGATGGCACCTTGACAAAATCGCATTACAAGGACTCTGTAAATGGTCACCCAATGGCACGTGCATTGTCGGAGGCATTCGGGAAGAGTATAAAAAGGAATGCAATTTCTTTTGCAGGTATTTAATTGCTTAATTCAATTATAAGTGCATGTGTGGTATGAATTTTCTGCTCAATATTCCAACCATCAGACCATGTCACTAACGAAAGTGAATTTTTTTGTCTGAACTTTTTTTTAATTCGACTTGCCTCTAGTTGCTAGTCTGGTAATACAGCATAAATATTCATTTCGGTTTCAATTTATAATTGACACTATATAATTTCATACTGGGACTACATGGGAAATTTGTTTATTGTAGAGGAATTATTAATAAAAGTAAGACAGTGAATGCATCATATCTCTCACATCATAATTATATTTGTTGGATTCAACCTTCCTGCCACATCAACTTCCGTTTTCACCAACTATATCCTCAAAACAAGTCTGATCAGTGTAAATGCATATATTTTAGAAATCATTCGAAATTGGGACACAAATTGTACAATAACATTTACTGTCTAACTGACATTGCGCAAAGCAGAACTGGTATGCTTTTATTTTCATCATATTCAGCATTCATAATCGAAATAAACTTATACATTGATGGATGATGTGTTTCACAGACTAAGTTTTTTTGATCCTATAAATTACATGACCAGGCAACAAAGATGCTTTAACATATAGTTTCTCCAAAACATAATGAATTGCATTGTACTCTACTGTCTAACAGGTGGAACAGATCGCTCTATCATAAGAGATGTATTGCAAGGGAATGGAATAACAGAAGACAACACTACTGACTATGAGAAAAGAGTTATTGAAACTCTTCGTATTTTACCAGAGTTCATGCGAACAGGCATTGCTGAGGGAAAGTAAGTTATAACATTAAATTGCAGTGAATATCTGAGTAAACGAATACAAAACTGCTATGATTTTTTGTTTTCAGCTATTCTTGGTCAGCATTACCAAATGTACATAAACTATTACAAAGATTATCACAGATTGAAGATGTGAGGTTGGCATTGCTGACAGGTGAATTTTTGTTTTACCAGTATGTTCCAGTTTTAATTTGTATTCAGTTGGAATTGTTATGCTTTTGCAGTATGTGAGATTATCTCAATTATACTTTACCTTGGTTATTTCTAATTAATCATTTAGTCAATTCATTAACTGATCTCAGTTTTATTTCTTCTGACTTAGAATGCATTTTCACGAGCAATTGAATATTTAATGATATACCTAATTAGTTCTGGTGTACAGAACCAGTAAGTAAGTTATGAGCACAATGAAATATAATAATAATAAGCTGTCTATACACTATAGTGTCTGGACAAATTTTTTTAATATGATATCTTCAATATGATAACTGTTCTGTATTGGATAATGAACCAGGATATATTAGGATTTTTTAATATACCAGGGATATGTTCATCATTTTGATGCAATACAAACTTTTGAAACTACTTTTTATTGCATTATCAAAGTGATTACGGCTGTGATAACATGATTGAGCATCATATTGTTTTTAGGTAACATTGTAGAGGATGCAAGAATAAAACTTGAATGTGCTTCTATTGACATTAGCCTATTTGAGGTTGAGTCAAGTGATGGTAAAAAAGAATTGTTGGGTGCATTTGGATCTGATCATGAAGTCCGGAGCAAATTGGTACCATTCGCCAAGAAACGTTATTCTGATTTGATCGGACAGCAGGTCCTATCCCAGGACATGATTATTATTGGTGATTCTCCCAAAGACATTACCTGTGCCCATGACAACGGAGTAGCTTGTGTAGCTGTTGGGACAGGACCATCTTCATATGAACATCTGACAGATGCTGATCATTTGCTCAAAGATGGTTTTAAAAATATAGATGAAAGTATTGATGTTATTTTACGGACTAAAATCATGTCATCATGACATGCAAAGCTTTTACTGTGATGAAACTTTAAGTCGGCCTACCATTTGGCTGAAATCATCATCTCTATTAGTACTTTTTCATGGTTTCTATATGCATGAATGTAATTTAGTTTTATGGTATCTATTTTAAAATCGGCTTGTGTTACCTTGTATTGCTTTTGTTAAGAAATTATCAGAATCTCAAGCCGCTCTATATGGCATCAAGCCAATATTGCATTATTGTTTACATATATATATTCAGTGAAGATATCCAGTCTTTAATACTATGATTATGGTGCAAAATGAAACTAGATTGTTGAATTTCGAATAAATCCAGTTGGAATTAATAGAAAGAGGGGTGTCCTTTTGATTTACTCATGATTATCATATGCATGGCTATATGCCATTTGTATTATGAATTTGAAATTTGTGTATCACAATATGGTTTTTTCCCTTTGATGAAAAGATGCTTACACCAGGCTTGTATTTTTCATATGAAATTTCCACGGTTTAAATTTAATTTCATTGTATTATACAGAATAATATTCACCTGTAATTTTCTGTTGTTGAGCATGCACTTATTTACACATTTTGTTGGTGGCATAAGGTGTTTCTGTCTGTACGTTTCCCTTACACCAAGGGAATTCTCACCAAGTTTTATAGTCTCATTTACTGTCTGTATTTGTGTGACTCGTTTTAATAACAAATGTACCGCAGATATAATATTTGATAAGGTGTGAAACATTGTTATAATCTTGCTTTAGTTTTCAATACAAATCGTTTTGCATTTCTGAGCCATATTTTGTGCGACTGTTTCGAATTTTATAGCCAGATCCTGTGTAAGGTGCTGAGTTGACTTACATGTACTTCTGCCACCACCAAATGTAAAATGAAAAGTAATCTGTGTCATTTGGAAATGCTGGAGGTGATCATAATCGTTTTTGCATCATCCGCAGTTGCCCAACGGAAAATATTGGAAGCGTCCCTTTAATCAAGTCCCTTTGCCATCCATATATAGTGCCTGCAGTCTCAGTTTTCCATAAGTGGGTAAATTTAAGAACGAAACTTATTGTTAATATATTCTAACACCATTTTTCCATGGAGTGAATGGATAAAGTTCAATTTTCAAGATGCTGTCAATCTCATGAAATAGTGTTTAATAGCTTCTGCTTTTAATTTGGTAAAATATAATCATGCTGGCAGTGCATGACAATATTATGATGGAAAGTTTCAATGAAAATGTCATTCTTTTCACAATTAAGGCGCGGCGGTGTGGCTCAACGGGCTAAGCGTTAGGAATACGCTCGCCACCGCTCGCTACTCTGCGTGGGTTCGCAGGTTCGAATCCCATGCAGGGATGGTTATGTGCGAGAGGATTGCTGGACTCCTCGCCGTCGTTGGGTGGTTCACGTAACCGGTGGTCGGTTACGGCTTCCTCCACCACCAAGTCCATGCTTCCGAAAACAAACAATACAGTAAATCTAATCCCATACCCGACTTGGAATGGTAACCGGACGAGAGGCCGTGGTTCGCCATATGGATAAGCCGTCTTATCGGCTTTCCTCTCCCCCGGGATAAATATGTAATTCCTAATTCTAAGATGAGGATTATTGGATGAGTTGCCAGCAAATAATAAAAAGACAAATATGCTTATTTTGGCCCCATGGATGGAAGTATATATTATTTTGAAATATATTTTGGCAATAAAGTATAAAGAAATATTTGATGATAATATATAAGTGCATCGATAACAAACAAACTAGAGAAAAATCTCAAAGTTGTTTCATACTATCTGCTGCTGTTTTCCATCTTATTAGTTCAATATCTACAGACAATGTGATAGGAGGAGGTAGTTTCATTCTTTCATCTTCGCTGTTTTCTGACGTGTTAGATGGTGGCCTATTTTTATCTGCTCCTCTACTCGCTCCTTTCTTTCCAGCTGATCCTTTGCGAGATTTGGTATTTCTATCTGGTGATGGTGATTTCTTTCCTTTTCCAGGTGTCGATTTGGTAGCATCTACTTTTGGCTTTTGATAAAATAAAACAGAAGGAATGAATATTCAGTTGACCATAAAATATCGTTGAATATTCATCAGCAAGTTTCAAATGTACAATCAAGGCCATATTTATTAGATGTATACATAACGATCAGTGAATAATTGCTGTATTATAAATGGACAGCTCAGCAACATATATTTCACCATAAAATTGTGGTGAATGCCGCTGATGATGAAAATTAAGCAATTAATATATGTAATCAGTAGTTTATTTTTTCACCATACGTGAAATACACTAAATCAGGGGTTCTCAACATTTTTCCTGTCAAGTACCCCCCGAGTCACGAAACAATCAACGCGAACCCCCCGGTAATCAGACATCGAACAAAGTTGTGATATATAAACAAACGATTTGTTGAAACAACAATTTATTGACCAGATGTAACTAAATTGAATCTTCGTGTTTGTATTATTGCCTATGTCCTCCGCCTACCTAATGAATTCTTAAAATCTCTCCCAAGTTTTAACAAGCATAATCACTTTCTCCAATGCTCGCAGCAGGCTGTCTTTTGAGATTTCACAGTTTGCCTGCAAAACCGTGAATTTCACATTGTTGCGTCACAATCACAACAACGCAACGCATCAGAGAAAATCTACGTATCAATTGGCATCTAGTTTCAATCAACACGCATTTACCTCTTGTAGTATTAAAGAGTATTAAAAAACAGCAACACACAAAAACTCGACTGCCGTCCAAGTACCCCTGGAAATCTTCTCAATAACGCCTGGGGGTTCGCGAACCCCAGGTTGAGAACCCCTGCACTAAATGAATACAGAATGTAAAAAAAAAGCAAAAACGAAAAAGTTCAGGGTGAGAGGAATTGTAGAAACCAATACTGGTTATCGAGCGGCCATACCTGTGCTAAAGTCTAGCAGTAATTAAAATACAATGAAAGAGTCAAACAATGATTGGAAGAATATAGGAAAAAAGGAAAAATCGAGACGACCTGAATCCAGGAGACGCCAGATACACAGAAAAACAAAAAAAACGACTCTAAGCATGTGCTCTATGTGCCGGTAACCATGGGAACGGTGGTAGGAATGCAGTGCGAAAACAGTATACTAATATCACAGCGTTATTGCATTATGGAACTGATAGTTATTTGGATTCTAAATATATTCCGGCGATAAAACGACGTATTCACGGTCGAAAATGTTTGCCACTGTTTAAATGAGATTGCAGGAAGACACTGCAAGTGCTGGGGTAAGATGCTTCGGAGGTGGAATCATCATAAATACTTAGAATACACAACAGATAAAAAATTATTCCAATCCGAGGAAAACAAGCCAACTCATTAAAGTAAATGGCGGTAACAAGAAAAAGTATTGTAAATTAACAAGCATATGTAACGCTTGGAATCATTGGTAATATAGAATGACTCAGAAAAAGAACAAAGTGTTATAACTTACTATGGCTGGTGTTGCACTCTCATCAATTGTGACAGCAGGCATAGGACCTCCACCACAATGGCATGTCTTCTTGAATTCTGATTCACCTTCCACAAAAGAGTTTAGAGGGATAACATAGCTTCCTATTTCTGTAATAATGGGAGGATCACTTTTCATATCAGCGCTAGAATCTTTGCCAGTCTTCTTTTTACCTTTATCTTTAGCACTCCCCCCTTTGCCACCCTGAGAACAAATGAAAGAGACGTGATGTCTTCTTAAAAGTATTGTTCTGAATAAAATAAACTAGATAGAGCACATACAATAAAACAAAAATGTACCTTGTCTTTCCCTTTTGCATCTTTACCTTTCTTTGCTGGTGTATCTTTTCCACCATCTTTTTTGTTCTTCTTCGGATCAGGTGTAAGAGGTGATTCACCATCATCTTCTATGGGCGTTGCAGGCCAGTGATGAACTTTTTCTTGCAATATAACAAATTTAATCCCCTCCTTCAGAAAATCTCGTAATCCAACAAGTTCATCAGTGACATGAAGATTTCTTGCAAAAATAAACAAGAATTGTTGTTAATATGAGTCTTGTGAAAGGCTCGTTTATCAAGGTATAATTAATATGAAGCGCTATTTTGATGTATATGATAAAATGCTGTGTATGGTGACGTATAGGAATTTTTTATATCCATAACTGTCAGTGTATCTCCAGCTTACTTGTATCCAATATGAATTCCTTCTTCATCCCATTCTAATGACTGAGTTTTGTATGTTGTAATCATTCTTTTACTACTTTGAGTTAAAACATCCTCTTCATTCTCATTTTCTTCTGGTATATCAGTATCAGGATGCCATGATACACTGGTCATTCTTTGTATGTCATCTGTATAAATTTGTATGTAAAATTATCCAGCATTCAAATTCATTTTATGGTTAGAGTTTCTTCGAGAATAGTTATAAGTAGTTCTAAAGATAAATAAGTTTTCATACACCCTGGTTAATAGAGCATGAAATGATGAAGATTTAATTAAATTATTTGAGATCACAAGGTATTATACCTACCATTGTCTCCAAGCTGACCAAATAGGGTGCCTGTCAAAATTTTAATTCAAATTACCATTGACAGTGTGGCGCACCTTTCTAAGGGTTAGGAATACTGCCATCGCACCCCTGATTACCCTGCATGAGGTGGCAGGTGCAAGAACATTGCTGGACTAGTTGCTCGTTGGTTACAGCCATGTATCTGAAACAAATAACTGACTAACTAATCCCATACCCGACATGGACTGGTAACCGGACGAGAAGACACAATACGCAATATGAAAAAGCTGTCCCAACTTTCCTCTCCCCGAAGATAAATATGAAAATCCTATCCTATATTTTATTAACTTTCGAAACTACCCAGAATATGAATTTTCTTCCATAGTGTTGCACAGTGATGATGACGAAATAAATTCAGGAATAACTCAGATGAATACAATTGCTACCTGCAGTTCCCTTTCTAACTTCGTCTTCTTCAAGTAGCATTTCATATTTAACAACATACGTCGTTGTTATCACTGGAAATTCAGGTCTTTCATCATCTTCCTGATAAAGCAAATTTAGTATAACAATAATTGAAGTGGTATATAAATATTAGAAAAATATCTGAAATATTCTCGCAATATTTGATGACTGTAAATACTTATTGAAAACAGAATCCAAATTACTAGATCAATCGTGTTAAAAAAGATTGATCTTTTTTGTGCAATAAAGTCAAGTTCTAATCCAATCAGTGCAATTTGTTAAAATACTAAAAAGCATAAGACCTTGAGTTCTTCTGGCATGGGAATTCCTTTCAAATCGGCGATTGAAATCACAAGTTGTGCTTCATCCAATATCAATTCTTTTTTCTTCCCTAATCCCTTGAAATGATGCTTTTCATCAGCAGATACATGAGTGTCATCAAATATCATTAAATTTCTTATTGCATCTATGACATGCCCACGATATCCTGGTATAAGCTGTGTGGAACAATATCACTAAAAATTAGAACAGTCATGAAGCGATGAACTAGATGAATAGATTTAGTGGAAATAATATTAATAAGAATGGGATTTTTGCAGTAGGGTCAATCTACAGTTGTATGTGCAACAAAGCAAGTAATGAACGAACATATAAATCCATGACTAAAAAGATGTAAAATAAAATTCATTTTTATTGATTAATGTCATCATTTGCAACAATATATTAAAAATTTACAACATTTTTCATGACAAAATATCTTATATTTAATCATAATAAAAGTATATCAATACTTGCTGTTTCTATACTCACTGATAATGGATTACCGAGCAAAACTAGATTTTGCAATTTAGGTAGAGTTGAAAGCTTTTCCACAAGTTCAACCAATTCAATCAAATTATTATAACTTAGATCCAGAGACATGAGTGAAGGCCTAAAAATTATTTTAAGTAATGATGTGATTTTTCAATCGAGAATTTTGATTAATAAGATCACTCAAAGTAAAGTAAACAATCCATGGTCAGGTAAAATGTTGCAGAAATAGATTTGTGTTAGGATGCACTGACACTCTTGATTCACATTTTGTAAAAAAATCATAATTTAAATATTGATATAATCATATTTGAAAATTAGAAAAACAATTATAATTGTTCATATACTATTGAACTATTGCTGGATGAAGATTATTGCTTCAAATAAATAATAAAAAGAAAATACCCTTATTACCAAAATTCAGCAGTAAAATATTTGTATTCTTGAGTACTTGCTAACAAGTTGTATGAGAGGCCAAGATGTAACAATGCTGGTGGATGTTTGCATATAGAAGATACCGTTTGCAGTTTGTTATAACACAGCTCAAGGACCTAAAAAAGAAAGTTTGTTTTAATAATCATGTGATAAAAGTTATTCATTCGACAGCTAAGACTAATTGATTTGCCAAAATTGAACTAATCTATATTCCGTATCTTTTGTTTTACTGTGTGAAATATCTTTTCAAAGAAGTTCATATTTAGGAATGCAGTTGAAAATATATCGAAAATATTATTATTATTGCACTTTTATTCAAATCGACTGGTTTGTAGCGTTTGTGATAAATGTTTTGGTTTCATTATTAATTTGTTACCTTAATCTTGGGAGGAAGTCTGTCAGACAATATTTTCTCCAGTTTATTAACACTAAGAGTAAGTTCTTCAAGATTGACCAAGTTTTTCATTCCAGGATCAAGATCCACTATCTATAGGAATAGTAAAATTATAAAATTATTATTTCATTCAAAATATATTCATATTGCATAACATGGAAAATTATACTTGTAAATAGTGAAAAATATGATTTATCATATTTACTTTATACTGCCATCAAGTTATTAAAAATTCAAATGCTATTCTTGCTAATGAAATCATGTGATGCCAGAGACTCTAACTCACTTCTAATAATTTAACTAATAACATAACAATAGATATAAAAATATAACTATAGAAAAAAAGATTGGATAGTGTTTATATTATTATAAAGTGATTAGTTTAATATTTGTTTCATTCATTGCATTTGAGATAAAACCAATACATGCATCATCCTACCTCTTTATCGATCAATCTCAAAGTTTTAAAATAATGCCAAATGAACTTTTTGTTTATTTTCCATGGTTCAGAAACAGCAAGCTGTCGCAAACTTGCTGCCTCCTCACTCCAACTTGTGTCAACATCCCATGTTCCTGAGTGTAAATATTCTTGCAAAACTTCCATTTTTTCATGCTGGACACCGTAATCTAGAAAATACCATGATAGATGAATGAGTATGTCAAAAATAATTAGGATAATAAATATAAAAATTGCCTATTCTTGGATCGCTTAAGTCTCACATCTGTATAACATATAGCCTCCCCTACGTGCAACTATGTAACCCAAAGCATTTTCAAATATTGTCGAATTGATTTAACATCTTAGTAAGTAACTGCAACTCAATTTCATGAAAATAGAAACATTAGTAAACAATCTGATACCACGACACTGGTTATCTGACAAAGAGCAATGTCTTGCCACTCATCAAGATATTTGATTTGGCCCTCTCAATAAACATGAAAAATGAATACATGCACCTTACCTTTCATAGTTATTGAATATTGACCCTCGGCAAATTTGTCTTTAGGATTTCTCTGCAAAAATGTTAAAAATATGACAACCCTGGGATATTATGCAACACTGAGATACCTAGTTTTCTGAATGAAACTTAATACTTAGAAAACACATAAGCATGAATAAAAACATCAGTCAAATTTAAAAAAATGTCACAACACTCACCCAAGATCCAATCCCACACGGAAACTCTGATAAACATAGTGTTTTCAAAAGATCTTGAAATGCTGCTGTTGCGTTTAAATCCTTGTTACTCATCTTTCATAAAGGTCTCTAAGTCATTAGTAAACTATTATATATAGCCCAACGATGAATTTATAGTTTAAAGGAAACTGAATGCAAAGCAAATTAATTAACCAACAGGAATGATCAACAGTAGATGCAGCTATTGTCGAAACTTATTGATGATTTTGCGCACAAAGTGGGGGTTCCCCTTATCGTCGTCATGGTAATATAAATTAATAAAGCGACACGCCGAGAACACTTGATGGCGTACCTGCAAAGCCGTGTTGGACGGAGTGAAGAGCACAGTAAATGAAATTGAAAAATAAATCGAATGTGAAATTCTTACAAAACCTACTATAAGCATTAAAACAAGAGAGCAATGCTCAAATATATGGTCACGTTAATCAGTGAGAAGTAGTTCTTATCTTTGACGCTATCGATACCTACGGCAACTTTGTTTACACGACTTTTCAGGTTTTCCACCAGGTGTCAAAAAAAAGTAAAACGATCCATAGGTTTACTCCTTGTCCCATAATGAAAAAAAAAGTAATAGTCTTCTGACAAAAAATTAGTCTTTAACCAGTGAAAATTTCAAAGCAATTGGTCCAGTAATCAAAGAGAAAAGCGACTTTTTCATAAGGTGTCAAAGAACAAGAACAACATAATATTGAAACGATCCATAGGTCCACTAACGTGTCCAACAACGGTACGCGCACCAACCAATGCAGATTAGCTTATAGCTGGTGTGATAAGATTTCCTCTATCATCCCAATAAGAATATTTATATCATTAATCACCCATATTTCTTCGATTACCTAAATATATATTTTCTTAACTAACAGTAAGAGTTCTTTAACACTTTTTTGCGCGGCGGTGTGGCTCAACGGGCTAATCGTTAGGAATACGTTCGCCGCCGCATCTCTAATTACCCTGTGTGGGTTCGCAGGTTCGAATCCCATGCAGGGATGGTTATGTGCGAGAGGATTGCTGGACTCCCCGCTGTCGTTGGGTGGTAGTTCGGCCAGAAAGGCAGGTAGGCTAACACATATTTGTTTAGCGTGGCGAGCTGCAGATGTAAGCATTTTCAGCAAATTTTGATAATGGCAGTGGCATCTTTTAGAAACTGGATCTTTCCATAAAAGCAACAACTCTTGAATTGAACTCTTGAAACTGCCAAGGTAAAATTCTTCAAGTTGTCCGGAATTGCTTATAGTCCGGCAGAATCGGGCCTTAACATTGTTTTGGGACATAAAGTTTTTTTTATTGTTTAGATATAATGTATATGACATATATAATGATACCCAGGTGGGTGTGGAGTATATAATGTTGAGCAATTTTTTTTAAGTGGATTTAAAGTATTCGGCCCAAGATGACGCACATCCTGAACCCTAACTTGGTAAACATACAATGTTCAGGTTGTGCGCCATCTTGGTACGAATATTTCAGGAGCGCCTTTTTGTTAAAAACAATTATTTCATAACTACATGGTTTAGTTTTGCATACATGGCAACATTGAATCTCCTTACAATGTCAGAAATTTAATTTTAGTAGAATAAATGGTGGTTTATTTCACTAATACAAGCCAAGATCCATCGACAGTATCTAGCCACTTTCTATTGCGCTCTTCAAACTACATTTGCGTTGCCGCGCGCATTTCGTTTTCCTAGTTTAAGCTTAGGGACTTGGGAAATATTTTATTAGTTGAATTGGATTGGAATATTTGACCTCGTCTTTCACTCCGAACAAGGCCATGTAAAACCATCCACTGGTATCTAAAGATGTGTAACGAGTTTTCTTTTGGAAGAACCGCAACCTTTCAGTGCTGCATTGACTTTGGCAAAATTAATATATCCTTGTGGAGATAGAAGGTATGCGTATGCGAAACCGAGATGTGCACCTGTTATGCCAACATAGTAGAGTCAAAGTTTTGAATACTAGTACATCACACACATCTTCCTGCGTGCTTCGGTTGTACGTAGTAACGCGCACATTTTTGCGCACATGTATCAAATTCCACTTGATTATTGAGCTATAGGTTTTTGACGAGCTTTTGTGTATGATTTCATTCCATAGAATTTGTATGCTGTTCTAAAGAATACTAGTTTCAGCTTTTTCATTCATTCAAACCTCGTGTTAAAAGTAAGTTTTGTAATATTGCGTGTTGGTTTCCAATATTCTTAAATCGGTGATGCCAGTAAATCTTAAATACAAAAAGATCAGTAACATCTGCAATAAAAACAGCAGTACCCGCTCAAATGACAGCTGGGGGATGGATACTCTTAGTATCTGCTCCATCGCGTGCCTCTTACAGTCTTACCAGTTTACATGCGTGTCAATTGGTATCTAAGCTCAGCCAGAGTCAAAAAGTTTCGGACTGCAGTTGGCGTGACGAAATGTTTTTAAATATATATTCTACAATAAGATTATTTGATTGTATACTACTGAAAGTTCCGCCTTATATGTCTTTTCCCATTGCACTATTCCTTTACTGATATTCGATAATATGAAGCTCACTGACATAGTTCTTAAAGTGTGTAGATGGGTATAATCTTTTCCACGCTGTTCAGGTGGGAATGCGCGAATATATATAAGAATTGCTAATATTGGTTTGCAATGCGATGAAATCCCATCTTGGCATTTCTGCCTCTCGCAATTGCTGCGTATACTTATCGGGGAAGTTCTGTGGCGTGGTTATCAAATGAAAAAAAAAAACATGGGAGTATTTTTTCTACTTCTCTACTACTATCAAACCTTGACATTTTGTGAAAACTTTTTTCCATGCAACCTTTTTATAAAACATCCCCAACAACCACAATTAATTCTGTTATTAAACTTCCGAAACAAACACATCATCAACAGATGCATATATCACCAAGTAGATATTGCTGAATTGATCTTTATTTTACCATTTTTCATGTAATTCTTTTTGGTAAACCTATTATCTATCGTAAATACAGCACATTTGACAATGTTGTAGTGTGCCACTGCTTTTTTTGGCCTCACATATTTGATATTTGTAGTTAGAGCTCTTGGGGCTCTGTCAAACAAAGTTACATACAAAATATTAGTTGTAAATTGCAAAACATGATCATGTTGTTGGAATAACTTGGCATTTTACCACCCGTATATCATTCATTGTTGAGAATATTAATAAAATCATAAAATTTAAAAATCCGTTCTTGTGAAATTTTTGTTGTAGCTAAATTCCAGGGACAGCATGACAACAGGCAAGAGAAGCACGGTCGCCTCTTTTAGTTTATGACAGGGTTTCTTAAAAGGGGACCCCGTCCTCCTTGGAGGCCGCTGATCGGTTATCTGGGAGCACGAACAAACAGATGGAAATGCGAATATACAATTACAATGTATTTTTATAGAAGAGAAGAAGCAAAAGTGTTGAGAGTCTTTGGTAGTTTGAAAAGCATTGGCATGGAACATAAGAATGAACTACATTCTTTCCCAGGGATATACTATGAAATGTAGCAATTTTCTCATGCTTGTTCTCGTGATATCATTATCTTTCACTGTGTCGTCGTGATCATCCCGCTGCCTAACAATTCTCGCTAACAAATAATTGACTGTTCTCCACTGGGTGTATATCCACTTGAACCACTGGCATTAGCAGGCTTGTATTGTTAATTGCAACAAAAACGGGTATTTTGAAATAGTACTCTTTATTTTATGCGCATGTTTCGACAGTATTTCCATATACTTAATATGGGTCGCGACCCAAACTGGGCTCAACAAATACCTAAAAGTGATTGATTTTATTTCCTAGTAAATTTGGTGCTTGCGTAGTTTGTGCACCAAGATTGCGCACAACCTGAACATAGTATTGTAACAGGTTATGGTTCAGGTTGTGCGTCATTATGATGCACAGGTTTGACGAAAAACACTAATTAATACAAATATCGAGCCGTAAAAAAAATTGCTCAAGGCTGCAAACTCCACACCCATGTAGAAATGATGGGCAATGACCCCAAGATGAATAATCACAAATAAAAAAAACTTTATGTCTGAAATCAAACTTGGGCCAAAAAGGTCCCCTTATCTGCCGGACTATTAGCTGAGTGCCGGTGTGTTAGTTGCAGCAGAGTCCATAACAATGGCAACAGTACCAACTAAAGGAGGCACTTTTCGTGAGGAAACCAATCCCCCACATTTCCAACTAATTAAACAAGATCTGCCTTTTTAAAACACAGTTTGCAAGGGCGCACTGCACCATAGCCATTGACAACTCGACTCTTCCATGACCATTGGAAACACCCGTAACCCAACACCTGCTGGAATACTATATTACCTTGCTATCACAAAAACTTCCATTTTTGTAACAATTGTATTGAACTTTCAAATCTTGCAACAAATGATTGGCAGTGAAATTGCAACTAAATACCAAAACTGAAAAAGATGAAACCACAAGAGTTTTTCAACACTTCTAGAATTGTGGTAACTATGTCACGGAGTGCAGTTGGAATAGCATATATATTTTCAAAAGGAATTAAGCCACAAACCCATTCTCATAAAAAAGAATAACCATTCTGCAAAAATCTTCATATTCTAGCAAACATTTTTCATGATTGTAAATTTCTAGAGGGAAGAAGTATAAAAGATGGAATTTGTTCATGAGGCAGCCAATTGTCTGTGAACATGTTCAAATCTCGCTCGTATAAGATATTGTGATGAAGCACTTTCTCTTATTGGACCCAACTCTTCTTGTTCAAGTAGTCTTTCAACATCAGGAAGGTAATCAGCAAGAACACCTAAATAATGTAGTTAGTTAATGTTATGTTGAAAGTAAAAAGGCTACTCATTTATTTCCCGAATTTTGGTTTGAAAAAAAATTGAATTTAAGGACAAAAAATGGGAGGTGAAAAAATTATATTGCAAATCATAATCTTGCAGATAAAATTGACATATAGTTTAGTGAAGAGACAAAACATGCTTGATTGCATAAACATACCAGTATTCATGCACATGTCAACTGGGCTTTGGAAATTCTCTGACAAGCAAAGCAAATTTAAGGAGCACGAAAAAGTGGTACTTAGCTTTTGTCAATCTACTTTAATAAACTCATTCTGAAGCACTGCAACTATCTACTACGATAACTAGTCAATCACAATGTGTAATGGAAAAAATATATATTTGAAAGGGTAGGAGCACAGAAAAAATTTTTGTAGGCTGAAAGTCATGATCAGCATCTGAAAATGGTAAATTTAAATATGAAAAAAATACCTGCATCTTGCGCAAGATCCAGTGTTTTTGATAAAACAGTATGTTTGCATGCTTCTAGTGGATTGGAACTGTGATCGATATTTTCCCAAGAATCCTTGAGAAGAATACGACACCAGATATAATGTTTAATTGCTTCCACATCAGGCTGTTCAGATCGCAACTGAAAGATTATACATAATGGAAATTTTCACCCATATAAAATTATTAGCACAATGAAACATGACATAGGCATACCTCATCATCCATTTCCTCAGGTTCATCTTCCATGGTTTGAGGTAAAAATTCTAAAAGGTCGAGAGCTTTTTTGAAGTCAACTTCATTCGATGCAACATTTTCATCCCCGATGTACAACTAAACATTGATAAACAAATTGTATTATACTCTGGCAGTAAATCTTATACATAACATTGGAGTTACCAGCCACCTCTTTATAAATGCGCATCCTGCTGTTTATTCCAGAAAGACTTGGTCCTGATATCAGGATGATCGATCATATAGACTCGATAAAAAATACAGCAATAAATAGATAATATTCTTTGATCATACCTCAATTAACTTTTGCACAGTAAAGACAGGCATGTTATCAACAGTCATTCCCAGTTTTTCAAGAACTGAACCAGGCAGAGTTTCTTGGTAGCGAATTAGTGCTTGCTGAGAACTTATTGCTGTGGGAAACAAGAAAAATGCAATTATAAGTAACTGAATTCAATATGTCATTAAATTTGGTTGATAAACAACATGGTTGAATATTATGTATTCATTTTTGAAATCCTCCATCTAAAATAAATATAAAATATGGCAGAAGTTATATGTTAAAGTCATGATTTAATTGTCCACAGAACTCAGCACTGTATCAAAGGTGCATAAATCGGACTTTGTGAACAGGGTCGTGACAAAAATTCAAACATCATGTTATATTAGACAACAACCTACCATTCCAAAATAGAATTTGATTCACTGAACCTAATTATACTCACATTCAACTTTCTGCTCAATAATTTCATCACTTTCATTTGAGAAAACTGCAGATAATTTACTCAAACTGAGTAGATTGTTCTTTTTGTTTGTGCTATGACTTTCCACAGCAGCAAGGTATTGCAGTGTATCATGAGCTGCCATGAAGTCACCTGTACAAAATGGACAATATTTTCGTTTATACAACGGCCATAAATTCAAAGATAACTATTGCAAATGACAAGCTATTTGGTTTTTAAAACATGTTTGGTTATAATGATATACAATTGTAACTAATGCATGATTAATATATAAACTAAAGTGAGAATCTGGAACTAATTAGGTTGAGAGTTTAGGCATGTGCATTTGTTATTTAATATTTTATTTGTAATTGAACAGCCACCAAAAATTGAAAGCTATAAAATAATACAACCCCAGATATCGGAAAATAATACAATTATAACTCCAGCCAGTAGATGATAGATACAACAACCAAAAAATGACTTTGGTAGCTTATTCTATTTAAAAAAAAAACATGTTTAACTGTGAATAAATGAGTAAACAGTGTGTAATAACTCCAGCCAGTAGATGATAGATACAACAACCAAAAAATGACTTTGGTAGCTTATTCTATTTAAAAAAAAAAACATGTTTAACTGTGAATAAATGAGTAAACAGTGTGTACCTGTTCTTATTTGATGCAGCCAAGCAATTTTTGGATGAGAAGAAAGGAATTCTGCAAGTCTGTCATTATAATCTGCTATTGCAAGAGCATTTGATGATGCACATTCGAGTAGTTTACGATATTTTCCACGTTCCAGATACCAATTGAAAAGAAAGTCAGAAAAACCCTGAATGAAAAAACATTAGAATACAGATAAGAATTCTAACATCTTCAGAAAGTTTATTGTAACTACATGCAATCTACATTGTTCTGATTTTCATTTCTTATATAGTGATAATTTACCCAAAGAGAGTAGACACGTTTTCACTTGAGCAACATTTTCTGCAATTATACTCGACTTTTATCAGAAAATATTATTTAATTCAACATTCATTTGATAAATTTATTCAAATATACATGCCAGCTTCGAAGAGATTGATTCGTTGGAACCTGACATCACACCCAATCCTCGATTTTAAACTAGCCTTTTTATTACTGTATGCTTCATTTAATATTACTATATTATAATGAAATCTCTGGTGAATATAGCTGGTGATTAGATCAATCACGAAAAATTCTTAGTACAATTGTTATTGTATTAGATACCTGGGTTGCAAAATCAGTCATATACTGCGACAGTCTATCTTGATCATCTTTCCTATCACATAATTCAACCAGTACCCCAAAATCATGATATTTCTCAGCCAAGTTTGCAGCTTTATCAATGAGTCCTGCATCCACTGAAAATAATAAAAATGCACAAGTTTATTGATGTCTTTTGCATTAAAAAAAAAATATTTAAAACGAAACTAAAGATGATACAATTGGTATTGGTAAATCATTGTCATAGCAACAAATCAAAATTCAAAGTATTCAAATCAACACTGATTGAAAAATAAGTAAGCCTAGAGAACCAATAAAGAGCGAAAGAATTTCCATAAATAGGTCACTCTAAATCAGGGGTGTGCAACCTTTAATACAGAAGGGCCAAATAAAAATAACCGGGTGAAACGTTAGTTGCAGGCGCAGAAATTTTGGTATTAATCTTATGACATGGGTTTCGCTTGGCTCAAGCTAGCTGTTAGGGCAATATAACATCATGTGCATAGATGATAAATTGGATTCAGATATAAACTTGGCAACGCAGGGAGATTGGAATTACTCGCACATACCAGATTAAACTAAATTAAAAACTCGTTCAGCAGTTTGCACAATTTTTCCTTGTGGGCTGCATTTGGCCCACGGGCCACAGGATGCACACCCCTGCTCTAAATCAATAGGTTTCATCAAGTGGAATGTAAGCAACTTTCTTAATCCAAGTTTATATTTAATAAAGTTTGAAATATCATTAGAAAAATCTCACAAATTGGTGTAATCAGTGCTGTCCTGTGTCTTTTAAACGCTGATGTTAATTCATCACTTCTGGCAGACAATGATGCAGAATTACAGACAGAATCAAGTTGCTGCTTATAACCAGATAGTACAATATCAGCTAATGAAACGAGATGTGAATGTAAAACTGCTCTCTGTTGACCATCTTCTGCTACAGGTAATCCTCGAGATGATGTGATGTGATGCTAAGAACAGATTGGTATTGGTTAATCTGATATTAAAAATTTTCAAATGCTTGAGTTAAAATATAAGAAAAAATGCCTGAACTTCTTAAAGAAATATAAATACAGACTGTACAGTCTATTGAAAGAATTTGCTCAAGGTAACCTCATTCAGAAGTAAAGCAGAATCCATAGAAATGAAATGCAAAAAACAACCAAAACCATATAGAATTGATTGCAGTACATTATGCACCAGTTAATGTTGATCGACACAAGATTCAAAGCGGTTCAAAGGTCAATATGATCAGGAAAACAGCTACAAGGTAGTGAGTGATTTCTGGGTAATTTTCTTTCCTTGCTATTCCAAATTCTTGGCCTTTTAATAATTTATTCATTTTGAAAGAGTTCATTCAAACAACTCCAAAGGTGCAAATGACTATTCAAGTAAGGACAGCCATGCAAAAACAATCTTTGTATCGAACAAATTCATATTTTCTACATTCCTATGCATACATGTTCATTAGAAAATACATAGCTGTTCAATAATTACCTGTCTAACAACTGCTTCCCGTACACTATGCCTTCCAGATGAAATGGTCCATGGTGAAAATTCAATATCCTGATTTTGTAATGACAAATCATGAGATCTTCTGTATTGATGTGCACTTAACAACATTGCCTGAAAATAAAACCAGCATATTAGCAACAATAATGGCTCTGGTTTTCACACATAAAACTTAATCATATGAAGATTTTGACCTCGGTATATAACGAAAAATGAACTAATTGACAAGTGTAAGTGAAATACAATATTGAAATAACATTCTTCGTTCTAACCTCAAAAATTTCATTTACACCAGCAACAGAAGTAAAAATTTCACGAGATGACAAGTTACTATTACTGATCATATCTTCTTCAACGTCTAGAAGTCCTTCTAATATATCCTGGATTCTTGACACCTGAGAAAATTTTTGGTAGAGTGAAAAAAAGGCTTTTAATGATTGAAATTAGCAAGTAGAACGTGGCACAATTTACAATATAACTATTAACTTTAGATGCTGAATTTAGCCTTATATCATAAATAATAAACAACACGAAAGTAATATTCTGAGATGAGAAATTTGAAAAAATTCACTCAAACAAAATGTGGACAAGAATTATTAACTTTCATTCAAGAAGAAAATTATATCAAGCTTATTTTATACTCAAAATATTTCTTCCAGAACTACTCAAAACATAACATAAATGTCATCACATGAAATATACTCATCGACTAACTATTGAATCGTCTTCACAAACGATTTGAACTTTTATTCCCGACAGCAAATATTAAAATCTCACCTCTCTATAAATCATCTTGTGGAGTGAGTCCCCTTTTGTCAAAAATTTTATCTCTTCTTTCCAGTACTTTTCTGATGGCAATATCAACTACACCTGAAACAAGATTCATTTGATGGCTAGGTAAATAAATGACAATAAACCACAGTCAATTCCAGTGTAAAATTGAGAGTAATTCAAGAGTAAAACATCGGGTTGGCAATGCCAGACCAGAAAGATTACAACTTTTTCAAAAATACTAGCTCCTTTTATATGGTTTGTTTTGCCTCTAGCCCATTGGAAATCTGTCAAACATTCTTATCTGAATAAAGTAGATCTAAGTTACCTTGATGCTCTGCATGTTTTTGTCTCAAAGCAATAGCTGATGCAAGCTTTTCACCATGCTCAATCAACAACCATTGTGAACAGGTCTTTCTTTTATTTTTATTGTCTGCATAGTTGCCAAGGTTTTCCCAAATTCCAACCTAAAAATGGTGAAAATTTAAATAAACACAATAGGTTGGTATGGTCAACATTTAGTCAGTATCTCATTCCGGAATATTTTTTTACAATTCATACATTTGGTGTATTACTTCACCGTGTTGACCTTGAAATGTACACAAATTAGGACTCTCATCACAGGTGTAAAATCGTCATAATTTTATGTTTCAAATCTTCACTCAGGACCTAACTCTAAAAGTAGTCATTGATATCTAGGGGGCTACTAGAGGTCTTCAAAAAATAGGAATCTTCCGATTAACAATTTAATCAAACCAAACAAATACACCATGAATGAATTGGGGGCATGGATTTAAGAAGTAGCTCAAACTCACCTCAGTTAGAAAATTAAGATATAGTTGATGAGCTTTTTGTTTGTCTTGCAACTGATGAAGAAGAACTTAAAGAGCTTGATGAATTTCCAGAATCTAAAAGTAAAGTCAAATAAATCAATATAATGGTACCAATTCGACTAAAATATCATCCAAAAAAAAAAAAAAAGGAAATTGTGGCTGCATATTTGTGTTCATAAAAGACAAGAAAATTCAAGTGACTTTAATAATATGTTGCCCTCCTCTAACTGAATGCGACCTGCTAAGTATTCAGATCATCTGCAGTAATCCTATGTAACAGTAATTAAACATTTTCAGTCTACTTCAATTGTTTGACCAAACTTTGTGAAATACTTTCGAGATGAATTCCGTTTGATAATTATCAACCACTATGGTTTTCTACAAACAATGCTCTAGTTAATATTTTCAGATCAGATTTCAACTTATCAAAATCTAGGACCAAAATCATGTCATGTGTAAACAATTGGATTATAAAACTAACGTAAAAATCAATGATTGTGGCTATTCTATCAACCTTGTGGAACTGATTCAGCCCATCTCGGATCTGAGCAGGATATCATCATATCAGTTCTTGACTAACAAATATAACAGAATCATCCATGTTCTTCTTGGCTGCCCTGATCCACAAATGCTCTTCAATAATACTTGTTTGCTTGAGTCTGGTAATTTTTTGTAAAAAAAAAGTATAAAAAAGAATGTTTCCTGAACATCTACGTAGTTTTATCGTGTCAGCACACCTGATAGGCAGCTAAAATACCATGGAAGATTTTGATATTGGTAATTTCACTATTTCAATTGGTAGTGAATGAGGTAACAAAATAATTTATAATTTCATGTAAATGATTCTTATATTGTGCAAGAATCCCATTATTATTAGTTTAAAACACTTTTTAATGAAAACAGATAAATATGAGCATTGCACAGTAAACATCACATTTTTGTCAAAAATCTATATGTCAATATAGAGGCTAAAAAAATGTTAAAACTATACAATGCGGTCATGGACAAAAATACTCACAATATTTAGACGATAAAGTGTATGAATGCAGCCTGTATTCTCTGTGAACGTTATCACTTGATTCAAGTTGTTCTAATCTTGCTTTCGAAACAACAGGATACCTGGCAGACTAGATAACGGTGTTCTGAAAAGAATTCATGAAATTAAAGATATGAATTTTATATTTATCCCAAAGTAGAGGAAAGTGAATAAAATGGGAAAATCACGGGCACTCGTCCCAGTTACAGTCCATATCACATATAACATAACTTGTTATTTTTTTGGATGCATGGACTAGTTTAATTCTTGAATGCTTCTTCTTAATGCTTTGAATGACCTTGTTTAGAAGCTAGAAAAGTTTGAAGCAATATCTAGCCTCAGAAGGAATACAGTTCTAGATAATATATATCTAAAGTTAAATTCATAAAAAAATATCTGCGAATCATATAATTAGTAATTAAAATCATTTCAAGAGAACCTATATTTCAAAAATGGGTTCCTTACGCTATGTCCCTACAAATGAAAAAATAGTCAAAATATCCTGTTTTGTTATTCCTGAGTAATTCCACAAAATAAAATAAAATTCTTTTTCAATAATTCACACAGTTGCAGACTATAAGGCGACAAGACCTTCCGTAAAGGATGCACGCGTCATTGCAAATTAAAACCGGTACATTTTGAAAAATGTCATGATATCATAACCGGTACATAAGAAGATTTTTACTTGACGCAAAATGTTAATAGAAGATTACACAATTGCATATGACGACTAACATCAACGTCATGTCACAATTACGTAAAGATGGTTACATTGAAAAGCCACTTCTAAAAATATTAGTCCAAATTTAGCAGTCTTAAATGTTTTGTATTTTGCTCACAATGCATGACAGGTAATTTTAGAAGCGATTGTGGTGATTATCCAATGTTGCGGAAACATCTCATTACATGTCTCACCTCTAAAAAATGGGTCAAAAGTTTTAGGCATGTATCTACGATAAATGTATAATATTACATATGTGGTTAGGCATTGTTGAAACGGGTGATTTGATATTGACAAATAACTGAAAATGTCTCATTTTCTTCTTTTCACTAAATACTTTTGATATTTGCGGCAGGTTATAATTTTTCCTGACATCTAGTAAACTATGTTCACTTTTGGTCAAAAACGCCTGTTATCAGTGTTGTGTAACAATGGGGAGCATCAGCGCATGACAATAAGCAGTTTAAAAATTATCTTTTTTTAGAATATCCGCCTCCTATAAAAGCTGGTAAGTGAGGAGATATCCATCAAATGTTATGTGTAAAAGACGTGTGCGTCTCCTTAACCGATGAGATAATGATGCGGTTATTTACCCAGATGAAATTTTATCATTAAATCTCAGGGAAAAGTGGGGTTTGTTGTCTTGAGTGCAGACTCTTCGAGTGGTCTAGATGGCCAGAAATGATTGTTTTTAAGCATTGTTGTTTAGATAATAAAGAGCTTCCCATCTCAATTTACTGATTAAAATCTGATATAACAAGAGGGACTTTTCTTTGCTGAAATAGCTGAAGACAATTTTGGGCGAGCCAAAATTGCTAAAAAGACATATCAAAGGCAATAAGAAAAATTGTGAGTTTAGTTAGGTCAAAGATTTATCCAATTGAAGAGCATGTTTTTTAATTGAAAAATCCAAACCCAGAAGTCACAAAAATGAACCTTCGAAAAATTAAAAAAAGTTTAGTTATAAAAAGGATTAAGAGCTTTAGATACAAGATTATATATTTTTTTTCTCTAGATAATTGGACTACTATATAGTATAGTATAGACTAGTATATTTGACATTGTTTTATGATAATACCTACTGAACTATGGGGAATAGTCATACAAAAACTAAGAAAAGATTGACACTGAGAGATGATTTATGGAAAACCAAGATTCTAGGAGAAAGGCATTTGCAGGTTTGTTACTTTCTACATTTTGTTTAATTTGTGTTTTTTGCACCTGGTGCTATTGAACACTTCAGAGTTCTCAAATTATGCAGTAATACAATAAATCTACAATCAAAATAGAAGCGAAAATCATGCCCAATTGATATAAATATGCAAACCGAAAAATGTAATATTTCAGATAAGTCACCTGGTGGATATGAATATATGATAGTTTTGCGATACAACTCTAAAAAAGTCCAATTGCATCTTAGTAGTCAAAGCGTACATTTACTGAGTCTCAGTCACTCCCAGACACCTCTCGAATTGTTATGTGTAAATTAAAATCAAGTTAAAATTGTTTTATTCTGAAACATGTGTACACCCCTATTTATTTATTCTTTATAGAATTTCAAATGTGTTCAAAATTCACAGGCTATTGCAATTATGTTAACAAGAAGTCCAGAATATTTGGGAAGTGTTGCACTTGGATTTACCCAAGAAGAGATTGATCAAATTATAATGGCTCAACTACAAAGTAAATCAAGATTTCAAGAAAACGATTTCACCCAAATACAATCATTTCTAATGCAGAGTATGTAGCTTTGGAACATACATACATTTCTCGTTTTAGTAGCTTAGCTACATATCTACATTGGGCAATCAATAACTTATAATAGGAAGCCATAGATAGAATCATTAGTTTTTTTTATAATTTTTCCTATAGCATATATGAAATTCGGGATGGAATTGGAATGGAAACAAACATTAATGTACTGTTACAAGAGTTCTTTCCATATTTCATTAATGTACCTAACTTCTGACAAGGACGATTATAATTTTTGAACTAAAGCGGCCAAAAATAAATTTTCTACAAGGTAAAATAAAATATTTTAGTATTAAACAAGAATACGGAGCTATCTAATATAAATTCTTGGGAGGCTTCAACTCTTGATCTGATAAACTTTAATATCTGCCAGAAATCTATATTGTTTATCATAACTAAAATGCTTTTTAGTGAGCGAGCAGAAGAGGAAATCTTTCCAAATACCTCAGACAAATTCAACAAAGAAAATTTTGAAGATGGTTTGAAAAAATTTAAATTGCTAATGGAATGGAAGCGACAGTGTAGAGAACCTACAGCGGAAATCTTAAGCGACATATTAACTAAATCGGGATACGAAGAAAATAGTTATATTTATATATTAAAACATGGGATGGGCAGACCCAGTATTTTGAAGGATATTAACAAACACAGAAAATCTGAAACATTCCAAATTGACAATAAAAACTTTGAACGAAGTCAAAGTATCGAAACTCATGACAGCATTGGAACATTTTCTAGTTTTGACACAGCACGGTTCGACAGCAATTCCTCATTTCCAAACAGTGATGCGGTTTCAACACAAGCAGAAAGCATAAACTCTATATCTATAAATTCATCAACTCAACATAATAAAGCACGTCGACGTACAGTTGAATTTGATTTGGGGAATGAAATTAAAGAAGAAGATGAAAATGATATGATAGAAATAGTAGATGCATCAACGCAAACAGACTTTTTATTCCAAAGTATGGATGATAATACACTAGTGAAGCAGAAATCAAAATCAGTGGCAAATGTTGTGAAAACAATTTCATTTGACAGTGATGTAAGTATTGCTGAATTTCATTGATCAATTGATGAAGATGAGAAAAAGAAATTCTCAACCACATTTGCAACTAAAAGTTAATTTATTAGCATATTTATATTTGACTTTTTGACAATTAAGATGCAATTTACAAATTTAATTTTCGCTTCTTATATTTGGATATGAAATACCGATAATATATAAACAACAAAGGTATGCTTTTAGGTTTGCTTTTTGAGAGTTAGATAATAGGTTATAATATGAATGAAGATGTCAGATGTTGATGAAACTAATTTCAGAAATCAAATACTTGATGAGTAACGCAAATGGTCCCTCAAAGCTAAAATATGGCAAAAGTAGTAGCTAGTTCGCAAGGGAAATGGATTAGAAAAACTGAGGAAGACGATAATAAAATGAATATTGGACACCAAGAGGACCTATGGATTGTTTTGTTAAATTGTTGTTGTGGTCCCTGTGTATTTCACCCCTTGTAAGAAAAACATGCTTCTGATAATTCAAAGCAATTTTGATCACCTTGCAAAAAGGAAGTCCAAACAATATGTATGAAGGATTAGAAAGGCTTAAAATAATTTTGGCCAAGATTCAAAAAATATCTGCCAAGTGATTTTATTATGATTGAAAGCAAAAATTTTCATTCATGCAGGCAAAGGTTATTAAGTCTCAGCTTTATTGTGGGTTGGTGCAGTTATCCTGTTATCAAAGTTAATTAGCCAGAAAACGGGTTTTGTTCAATCGGTCGTTTAACACTAGCTTACTGCTTTGTTTAGAAAGACAGATCTTCAGCAACAATTGGATGCCAAATATATGTAACACGCATGGGAGATGACTGGGATAGCTCAGTGTTCATATAGTACCGGGAGTATTGTACATAATGCATTATTAGGAATTTTGCGATAATTAAAGTTGATGAGGTGATTTTTTATAAATAGACATTACGCAAAGCAAATTCAAGATCTCACTCATAAGTGAAGAAAAGTTAAGCCACTGTCATAACAAGGTTTTCAATTATTTGTCAAGAACGCTATCAATTATATCAAAATGTGAAACTAGCAAAT